AAAAAGGGTTTATCAATAGAGAATAAACCCTTGGGTTTATCAGTTTGCAACGTATAACAAACCCTTCGTGGGTTTTTGAAGAAAAAAGGGTTGATCTAGGGGTAGATCAGGTTGATGAACAAATTTTTCAGTCATAAACCCTTTTTGAGGGTTAATTAAACGCCGGATTTTTTTAGAGTGAAGAACAATACAAGGATAGTGGTTAATCCTTAGAGTTCGTAGGTTTCTGTCACAAATCTTTTTACAGTATTGTTAATACTATGTGATTGAAGAGATTACCTCTTCTTGGTGATCTATGTCTATGGAAAATATGATTGTCTCAGCCGTGAGAAAGCTAATGAGCAAACATTTCTAAATGTTCAATTTCCTTTGTGTTTGTTCTTTGTGCGAAACATAAGCCCCGATAAGACATGAAAGAGTCCAAAATATTAAATCTTTTTAGGCAAGAGATAAAAAAGTGGATTCTGGATTACTACGTAGAATGTTTGGGAGACGCATTCAACCTTTTCCTGTTTCGATTCGCTCACATATGCGTTTTAGCTCTAGTCTCAGTGGTTTTAAGTAGAACTCAATGAACTCTAACGATTCCAAAAAAATATTTTCACAAGCATTCCTTCTCATTCGTTAAAACCAAAAAGATTGCAGAAAGCAGTGAAAAAAATTGTCCTGGTTCGCTTCATTAATATTTAGTAACGTTCCAAGACTGATTTCCGATTAAGCTCAACGAGTTCTATGGATTACAATCATAAAAATTTCAACTCACCCAGCGCCGAAACCCACCCACAATCGCATTAAAACATACGGCACTCCTACCGGAATCATCATTGGTGAATGTTTGTATAAGGAAACCTACAGTTTTGGACGATGCGTGTAGTTTTAAGTGTTGGGTGAGATAGGTTTTTCCGATTGGAATCGATGGAGTTGATCAAACTCTACATAAAAGCAATAAGCCTTGGGCTGAAACACATATGTGGTGAGCGAATCCGCCTCTTAGACATTCTGCATGAATTCTTTTGTATCGCAGAATTCGCTTTTTCCTCTTGACATGATGTTTAACGAAAAATTATGAATCAAAATCTTCGAGGAAGATTTCTTAATCTACTTAGTATTCCGATGCAACAAGGCTTCCTAATGTGGAGCTAAGGTTATCCGTTTGAACACATAACGAAAAGTGGACATTTTACGGATGAAAACTGTACATTCTAAAAGGCAAAAATAGTTTTCTTCGCTGAGAATGAATATTTATAAGCTTGTTTTTCGTAGGAATTTTTTTGGCGGTTCTGCCAAATATGTGCTTTTGCGTCTCATAAAATTTGATTCTTTTGTTTCTCCTTTCTGAGGAAGAACAAAAAAAGAATCACTAGAATTTATTTTTTTACCAATTCTTTGTGATGTTGTTCGAGTAATTCTGCCGTATTTCACGATTTCTCATAGCGACAGTCAGAAAAAATAATTAAATTTTGAATTTTTGCGTGACGAAAAGACTATTTATCCAATTTCTCATAGTGCTTGTGAAATTCTCTTAAAAACAAGAGCAAGTTTTAGCCTTTCTAAGCCTTTATTCCGTCAAATCATGGGTGTTTCTTTTTCGATCAAGGAATAAACCCATAGGATAATGTAATTCATTTGATTGTGATCCTTGTTCATATTCCCCAATAATATTACCGTGTCTGGAAAGTTCGTGCAACTCATGTATTATGAAACGATATGATAACAATTACTGCATTTATTAAATGTAATGTCCTTTGCTAGCAACCACACGTTGCCACCGGTCATATAAACTTTTTATCTCATTGCAAAAAAAAACCGAATCGAGATGTGTTAAGTACTCCTCAACAGTTGTTCTCACTTCGTCATCCGAGTCAAAATTCTTTCCACGAATAAATGTCTTTATACTTTTGAACAAGTAATAGTCATTAAGAGCACTATTCGGAGAATAAACAGGATGATTCAGTTCGACGAAATTCACCTTATGAATAGTACCTTGTAGAACGTTACTCTGGTGAACAGGCGCATTGTGATGAAGAATCTATTCTTGACTGTTCCATTAACTAATTCTTATGGATAGACACGATTGTGAAAACTAATTCTTTTCAGAAAATAATACAATCAGTCGAGAAGAAGATCTATATCCTGCTGTAAATTCGTCCTTTGCACGATAACTTCAACTAAACGTTTCATATATGCAACTGAGATACAGTTGCACGAACTTTCCGGACAATCTTATATAATGTATTTACTCTTTTCTTTTTCTATGATTCTCTTCAAGATACATGTCATGTAATATTTAATTCAAAGTTAATTAACGGAGTTAGTTGAAATTGATTTTTATTCTTATAAGAAATATCCAATTCTTGTTTATATACGTACGTTTCCAACTGGCACGTTCTGGGTAGGATTTCAATTGAATTGTGTAACGATGATGATATCGTTCATCTCTTTCTGTTCTTTATTCTCTCACCTCTGTATCATACTATCTCCGGGTCATATCTCTCTTTCCTCTTCTTTATATAAGCGCGTGTCTTATTGTGAAAGAGATACATTCTGGTCATGTAGAGTAGTCAATAAACATCTATACCGTGAGAAGCGGTCAGCTACTCAACCAGTTTGTCATTACAGATTGCAATCCATCAAATGACTTATACGTTTTTAACTCGCATAGTTTGGGTAGGATTGTGATCGCACTGGGAATGGAATAAGATGGCTTATACTTGTTGAAGTTGCTTAGTTCGTTTTGAGGTCAAGCGTGGATTGTAATAGTGAAATTTGCTTTCTGCAGTCAGAATTGGGTTATATGTGGAGTTTTTGGTGGCCTTTGGTATTGGGGATGAATTGTTTTGAAAGAGTGTGCCGCGTGATGCTCTTTTTTACGTGATTTTTATGGCTGAAATTTGATATTGTTGGTGGAAAAACGGCGGAAATGGAGCTTTTATGTGTTTTCCCGGTGGTTTACGTTTCCTGGGTTTAGATGGGATCCGGTTGGTTATTGGCGGAGTTTGGTTTTCGGAAACGGTCGTATGCGCGTTCTGTTGCGGGAATATTGTGGTTTTTTTTTGGAAAGATGCGGGCAACTTTTTGCAGATTTGCGTTTTTTTTTGTTTCCGTAGGTTTATGGCGGGATCCGGTTATTTTATTTGGTGGTCTGTCTTGTCGGATTGAGGCGGTCTTGCTGTTTTCCCTGCGGATATTGGAGGAAACCGGGTAATGGAATGAGTGGGAACATCGGGGATCCGTTTCCGGGGCATTCCGGCCTGGAACACTGCTTCAACATTCCTACGGCTTTCCGTGGGGAATCGGTGGGATATGGCCAGAACGGGTCGGAATGAGCCGGAAAAGGGCTGCTTTCCTGGTTAATCCAGTTGGATCCGGAGGCCGGAACGTTCTTCCTGGGTAAATAAGACGAGAAGACGCAGAATCACTATTAGTCCTTCATAAGGCTCCAAAATTGTTTTTTTATACGCAAAATATTGAGGCGCTGGACTAATGTACAAGAACATGATCGTGGTGCGCAGGAGGATAATACTTCGTATAGTTTCTCTTTCACTGAAAATTTGATATAAAATTGATTTGCAATGAGGTAAATGACGGCGATATTTTCCAAACAAAATTGACTACAGAAGCATTTCAATGTCGCCGCCAACATTGAATTTTATGCTAGACAACCGATTTAGATTCCGGGAACGGCAAATACTGGCGAAATCACTGGTATTTCCCCTTAGCTATAAATATCTACTGGATATGTACAAGTATTCGATTGATAACAATAGCAAAAGAGTCGGTTATTTGAATTGTATCCTAATATATCCGTGCTGTTCATGAAAATCGTTGTAGTGATGTAATACAGATTCAAGTTGAGTACGTGGTAAACGATCAGAACATTTATTCGAGGTGCGGATATCAGGTGACTTTGATATAGAATTAGTGAAATAAACCATTCAGTATGTGGAATTTTGAATAGTGTTCTCGATTTAGATTTGAATATTTTGTTGTAACAATGCTTGATTACTACAGAATTTTTCGAGAAAAAAGATCTTACCAGAACATCATCGATCATCTCGAACACAAAACGAGATGAATACGCCAACATTTGAAACTGTGACATCACTACTAAACAAAACTCTGATTGAGAACACGGAGAATCTAATGTACTTCTATATTGATCCACGATTTGTACGGAGTGAGAAAATGTGGGAATATTACAGTTATTGGAGATTAGTTGATTGCTTTTCAAGAGAAAACAACAGATTTTCAAAGTCAGAGATACTTAAACTGAAGTATATATCTTGAAAAGACTCTTATTGTAGAAAGTTAATATTTATTTCTCTTTTCAAAGTCTCCAATCACAAAAACCTGGTCTTTTCTCGAGCGAAAACATGATAGCCGAGAAAGTTTCTGTACTACGAGTGAAACGTAACAGTGCGGATAAATCGGAAAGAAATGATAATCATCATCCATGGTTTTCAAAGGACCATTCATCGACGAGAATGTTTGTAATACCGATAAGAAAATGAAAACGAGCAGAGATATTAACAGATAGGTTTCGTAATATTTGTCGAATATACGCAGATAAGTATCGTAGAAAACCCAAAAACCATGCCAAAGGAAGAGACACGATGCAAATGCCAACGCATGAACGATATTTCGATGAAATTGAGGAAAGTTCGACACGAAAAGTGTCCAAAATTTATTATTCCAAGTCTTATTTTCACCATAGTATTGTAAATACATCAGAGGAAAATACAGTAGATAACCGATGACGATGCAAATCCAAATAGATTTGCTGATTTCATCGGGATACAAATATTGATCGAGAATAACATAGAATCCATGCCATATGATAATCGTGATGTTCGAAATAAGAATTTCATAAAGTACAAAATTCATTAAATTTACTTTCCATCGACTCATCTTTACAAAAACAAATTCTCTCAAATATATGTACTTTATCTCCTTTCTAAACAAGAACATACCTGTTCGGTTTCTAGTGGACATTCAAATTGAATACAATATTCAATCGAGTCATAGGAGACTACAAATGGTGCGCAGATTAAATCTGATAAAGTTCCGGTAAGTGCCATTAATGCAAAAATGCCTGCCAATGAAAAAACAAACATAAATCCCCAATCTTGCGATGTATATTGATCCAAAATCGTCCACATCATCTGCCATTGAATAATATACAAAAACGCTAATATAAATATATGAATTTTCACGATAATTTGTTTGACAATCATTTTTTGTTTGTTAAGAAAATGGTAGAGAACATCTTGACCAAGGTAAAATATGAGAAATGCGATTTCATCGATCACCCACGTAACCATCAATGATTGAGGAGAATACTCACCATATCCCTGTTCAGAATAATCTAATCCATCGAGATTGTAGTTGGATGCATAGTCATTCAGTGCATTTAACATCGTCACGGTAAGATTCCATCCACAATCCCAGAACAGAACCAGTAATGGAAAAAGAAAGCAACCAGTGAGAATTGGTTCGAGAAGAAATAGTATCAGATATGAACCTTTGGGTTTGATAGTTTGTTCCTTGTTTTGATTATCGACAATGGAAATTATTTGTGTTAGCCGACGTCGAATGGTATTTCGATCCGTTGATGGAAGCGGTTGTGATATTTCCGTATCGATGACATGAGCTCGTTGTTGATTGAGCTCTTCATTATCGAACTGCTTTGAAATAACTGAAAATCGTCGCGGATTATTATTCGGAAGACTAATAACAGGAGTTTTGCCATCGACTACAAACGTCGGTGACATGATCAAAAATTTGAATAAAACAGTACGACAAACTCAATAAATCAAGATTAATCTCTTCCAACTGAGTACTATGTTAATTTTTTCGTCCATCATCTATTTACGTTTGTTTGTATATTTGCGAGAGAACGCATCGAATCGATGTTGATGAGAAAAATGTTTGTTGGTTTCAACTTGACTGACGATCGGTTCGAGTTGACGTGTCTACACGATGTTTTGATTTTTACTTGAAGAAAATTCACATCAAAGAACATTGCTCGTTAATTTCATCGTCCTACTTCACACATTATTTTGATTATAGACAAACAAACAATACTCATTAGAAATCATCGTTTCTATCGTGTTGATGTAAACATAAAATTTCACTTCTTCTTTTTTTTATTCTCCCTTGATTGACGTCAGCAACGAGAAACGTCCTTTTTCACTATTTGTTTTACATACCAAAGAAATCAACAAAGACATTTCTCAAGTGCTTAATATTATAATTATTCTCCTCAATCACGGCATACCAAATCGAGAGCAACCATCGCACTAAAAATTTCTTTTTCGTAAACAGTCGACAATATAGCACTTCGGGTTATGATACATTTCGTTTAATAGGCTATTTAACACGTGATACAATCGAATGAACTTTTACTACAGCTTGGTTATTCGAGACAAATATACACACACGCAGAACAAAAGTTCAATTACGAAATCGGTTGTGAAAAGCGCTCAATGCGATAGCGAATGCTTGCATAGCGGTGAGAGGATATCGATAATCCAGAGCATAAGTTTTGTAATCAATACGACCGAATTGCATGATAACATTGCCTTGATCTAGAACAACTGAGACGTTTGTCTTTCATCAACATAGAAATGTGACATACGTGCTAATTGAAAGTTTTTATGTGACGTTTGTTGGACACGGTTTTCAATGTATGGAAGATTGTATTTTTTACTTTCTAAAGTTAAAGAAAATAATCTAAACTGTAGAATTGGATCTCAAACGAACCATTATCGTAGATTGGTGCGACGTTTTTTATCTCAGTCCAATTGTTCGCACGTCCGGCTCGCCATTCATTAATGATTGTTTCGTTCTCCTAATAAACGACTTCATCAATAAATATTAACATACAATTTGTTTTTACTTTCAAAGGTTGACTCGTAGTTTCAGCATCATGCATTAAAACTGTTATTTTTCTTGGTTCATTTGTTCCGATTATATAAGTATTCTGCAAATTGATATTTCTTATTGACAAATTTTCTCATTTGATGTCACTTACATAGACAATGGCAAGAGATTGTTGATTCGTTTGATCATAAAGTATGTATTCGGTATCGATGATGTTCATACATTTTAGTCTTGCAATGGCATTTTCATTGGTGATATCTTTGGCAGATTTTTCATCATTTCCAATGAGATATTCCGAATGGCCACCGAGTTTGATATGTTTTCGTGCAGTTAAAAGAAATGTCTAGAAAAAGTTCAGAGTAAACTCTTTTGTCTTCTCTCAAAATCAAAATACTTGGTCGTTGTCGTTTCGTCCATTGAAATACAAAGCGAATGTTTTTGATAGGAGGCCTTCTTTGTGACAATGGACTGTACAATGAACAAAACCTGAATAATCCTTCGGACTTGGTGTATAAATGTATTTTATCGGATCCTTTTTGAGCAGATATTCGATGTCGACGTTGATATCAGTCGGTTCAATCACCTACAAAAAGAAAAGAAATGATCATATTTTTAGAAGAATGTGTGAGGGCGAAAGAGAGAACTTGTGTTGTTGTTATTGTTGTAGATTCCACTGTTGATTTCACGTCTTTTTTGTGTGGTTCTGAATACAAAGATAAAAAATCTGTTTTAACGTAAGAAAATGTGCTTTTTTTAACCTTGTGTCGTTGTGTTATACATTGTTGGTACAATTTGATATAATATATGTAATTGTTCATCATCTTCATCCACATCATCGTGAGTTTTACTAAAAAGTAAAGATTCGGGTAGTTTTTAGGAAGGAATATTCGTCTAACTCGGCGGTTGATTTTGGTTCGGGATGCGACATAGTTGCGATTGTAATAGAGAAAGTCTTCTGAGTGAAATGAACGAACTCGAGTTGTTTTATAGGTTGAAGAGGAGAAACAAGAGATTTTCTTACTGCGTTTAAAGCTTCAACGTGATTGATTCTGCGTAGTTAAATAATCTCTATTTTTAGGCAACTCAAACTCTTTACCGCTTTCTTTTTTTCTTGTTGTTTACATATTTTTACCCTTGAACATGTGTGCACATGGAAAGAAAAAGTAATGTCTGGTTTAACTAGTAAAATCTTTTCAAGGTCTTGACAAAAAAAGAAATGTGATTGTAACATATTTTTTAATATGCATTGGTAAACTAGATGATAAAATCAAATTATATCAGATGTTTGCACATGCGACTGTTCTAATACCAAATGAATCAAGACGATATGTTGCCTTATAAGTTACTTACAACTACCTGTTTCTACTCTCTCGTACTCTCAACGTATGAATCAGCGCACTTGTTAATTTTCATTCTATTCTCGTTTAAACTCATGATTTGTTTTGATTTGAAGTAAAATTTAACTGTGCAGATAGGTCGAGAAATACCTATTGGCATGATTTTTGAAAATTACTGTTTGAATCAAAGAGGAATTGAGTGAGATTATTATAAAAATAATGATTTTTTTGTCAATGTGAAAGTATTGATACGGAAAGTTTTCTCTTATACATAACTGAATATTGACATTCATTAAGCCACGACTTCAGTCAAGATTTTACTTTAACTCATCAGTAAGAGCTTTGCATTTGTGAACGGACGTAACCCGCGAGAATAGATATCGTAGGTATGCACTGTCACATTCTTTGTAATTAGGTACGTCTATTTTTGGCGTAATTGATGCTATTTAGCAAGATTTGTAAACATCTGAATGTCTTAAGAAGTCTCGGACTCCACATTCTCGGTGACACGCGTTTTGACAGACTTGCTTTTAGATTACGCATTTTATATTTTTTATGTCGTACAACTATGATGATGAATGTGCTGATGAAGAAGGCGCCGAAAAAATCCGTCAAACGGAAACATTCTGCTCAGGGTCAAAGATTAACTGTTCACAGATTGGCTCGCACGACACACTGAATGATCATTTAACAACATGTTTTTGTCAATCCTTACGATCGACCTTGGTTGAACTCAGTACCAAAAATGAACAACTAAAACAACGGATGAATGCACAACAAGCTGAAATAGATAGTTTAAAAGATCAATTATCAAGTAAGTTGAAATCTCTTTCTTTCTTTTCATTGAAAAGTGTGATTTATGAACGCTCCTGTTATGTATGAAATGCGTTTAAATGAAACATTTCTATGTAGGCTTGCTGAACAAAAAACCAAACAGTGAACTATCGTCATCAGAAAAAAGTTCGTGTAACAATTGTCGTGACTGTCTTTACCTGTCCGCTGCTGGTTGTAATCCAGCTGGTTATTATCATATCTACGCTTATAATCATACAACTTATAAATTCGATGATAAAGGAGAAAAACATGGTGTTTCAATTTCTTATTGTAAATGCCGTTGTCATAAATAGCGATTGTATGAAACATGTTCATGTTAACATATAGTACTTGCAAGGTGTAAAGATTTACACAACTTCATTATGACTTATTTGTTTTAACTTTTTCTGACATATTTTATTCTTAATATTGATCAATGTACTATGTTGCGAACGAAAAGATCGAAATGCTCTCCTTACTGACAACAGAGGGTGACATATATCAAAATAAAAAATACCACGGCTTTTGCATTATCCATCCATATGTGGTGCCATTTTTGATAAGTAAAGATAATGTTTAACCTAAGTACTTCGATAGATTCAAAATAGTCGCTGCTCTTTTTGCAAAGCTTAATAGTATATATGTATAGGTTTGTTAGTTTCTTTTTTTAAGTTCTTTGAATAATTCCCACACGTCCAGTGCGCAAATTAAAGGGCATTATTGAATGCCGACGCTTTCTAATTCCAAAAAGTTTCTTCATCTTCGTATCAAGTTCATGTGTTGCGAGACAGCAGATAAATGGAAAGAAAAAAATCAACTGAATTGAAAAATAAGTAAGATGAGTAATTAGTTTGATGAATACAGGCGAATTCATGCCACACATTACCAATGTTCTGACTATCGATCGCGGAACATTGAAAATGAAATAGAGTATTGATATGGTCAATAACTGAATTGTCATCTTACGCTGTTGTCGCCAACGGATTGGACAATTCAAACGATGCTTTTGCAATAAAACTCGAATGAGAAGACCGACGCTGAAGGTTACTATAACGAATGTTGGTATTATTTGGTGACAAATTGAGTCATACATTCCCCATAACGGCAAATTGAAAGTGCAAATAATCGGAACACCATTGATTGGTGATAACAGAATTGCTTTTTGACAGGGTGGAAGAAAGACGACGTAAAACCAGCACGCGTAGCAATAGGTCAGGATTAGTATGAAAGGTAGATAATGTATGAAGAAACGTTGTCTTTTTGTCGTCATCCAATGATGATGAAAGACGAGAATATGTCGCTCAACCGTCGCCCAAGCGAAACCTATCAATACTGATACGAAGGATGAGTTGTCGATGAATATCCAAAAGTTGGTGAAATCAAGTGTAGTATGCCAAGAATATCCAACAAGAAAGAAATGAAGCATGAATGGGACAGTGGTCAACTGATAAATCAATCCAACACACAGAAGAATAATGATAAAATGGTTGTGTGGAGCTCGACGAAGTGTTGGATTAGATAGAAGATAGCATAGTATAAACAGAGCACATGACACCGATAGAATATCTAGTATAAGATAATTCCAAAATCGAACAGAGACAGGAATAACTATGTCATAAGATGCCATTAATGCCATCGTTTGTTGATCAGTTAAATTGAGGATGCTCGTCATCGTGGCAAAGACTATTGTTAACAATTCTTGTTCCACTAATGATCTGTGATTAAAAAAAAATGCAACGGTAGAGACAACACAAGTAGATAAAAGAATATGTGGACCTACAAAGATGTTTTACTTTGATTTTATATAAGTAATGCATCTGCATAGATTTTAGAGAGGGAATCTTCATCGAAAAGTAACATTTCTTGTTTATTATTATGTGTGACAGTCTGATTTAATAAACGCAAGATATTCCGGATGCCACAGTTTCTTTTGAACATAAATTTTAATCAGTAAAGTGGATGAAGTAGATACTTTGCCCTTTGCACAGACATGAGGAGAAACAAAGAACTCTTTAAATAGATCCTCCTGCAATAGTTTGAAAGTTTCTAGTAACCGGATGTGGGTGAAATGGTAAAGTTGATTTTCAATCGAGCTATATGACCTTACTTTTTCACAATGTTTTATTAGATAGTAACAAAATTTCTTGGATTTTAAGCAGGATTAACACGTCACTCGTATTTTAGGTAAAACGATAAGTTTATTACTCGGATAGTTCGTTGGCGCGAAATCTATTAATTCTTTAACGATCGTGTAAGACGTTTATCATTTACAACCATTTGAAAAACGATACAGGCGGAGCGAACCCAGCGAGGTTCATCCATTTCCGGAAAATTCTTGTTCTCTTGTCAAGATTTCCACTTTGTCAGAAATATCTCAAGCACAGAGAATATGTTTTCTCTATAGCATAAGATAATGAGTGTTAGTTAATCTTTTTTTGAAATAATTATTTTTCGAGAGTTGTTTGAAATCTTCTAAATCATGACTTTATGTTGAACGACATGAAACATCAGACTATCTGTATCATACGTTCCGAGAGATCTGAGTTTTTTCTTTCTAAAATGGAAATCATTGCTGTTTAATGCATTCATCAGCACTAAATAATCCGAACGATTCTCATTAGATTTTTTCTGGAGACAATGATATTCACGGCGGGGTATTGCAGCTACGTTGAATTCACTTCAAACCATTGGCTTGAAACAAAATTCCAAAAATCATTAATAATACCTACAAGAAGAAACTTCATTGAAAGATATTCTCTACGAGAGATCGAGAAATTTAGCGTTTCTTAGTGCACGACTCCTTGTTATTTTAAGATCTCATTTCTGTCGGAGCATTTGATGACGTCTCCGTTGGTATGAGTAAAATCTCTAATTTGGCAGTGTTTCAAGAGCCTTATGTCGTATCTAAGTTATTTCTAACAATTAAATAGATAAATGAGGTCGTATTTCAACAAATTGGTCATCATTTATTATCATAAGTTACAGAATTGTGGCAACGAGAACCACATAGCATTTGTGCTTATTTACATCTCTTTGTTTTACAACAGCTTTTGTAATCGTATTTCAGCATTCCTTGTCCGCCAGTGAAAAGCTGACTTCGATACAGCAGATACACGATCGAGGTTGTTTCTTCGGGCAGAAGCAAAGTTTTCCATGTCAGTCAATATGAAAATGTCTAAGGATAAGTGTTATTCATAGGAAAAGACGACCTAGATGCCTCCAGACTTTCATTAAAAATAGTGTCATTTTTTCGATGAGAATCTCCTTCGACACTTCATGTCTTTCGTCATAAGATGATTCTTAACCCTTTGAGGACCGGAAACGCATATGTGCGTCTTATGTACTAAATTCTTCAGAAATAAGTAAATATAAATGTATTCAATATTCAATACCCTTCTGTGTGCGTAAAGTCATGTACAATGCAATAAATCTATGTTGTTCAACTGCTCTCTTTACGAAATAAATGTACTGAGACCTAATTGAATAATTTAATTCTGTTATAATTGATGTATTATGATTTTCAGAAAGAAATAGTCCGGTCTTGAAAGGATTAACAAGCGACTTCAGTAAAAATGTCAACAATCTTCCGACTTTTTTCATAGAGTAATTGTTTCGAAAAAACATACATGCACTCAATATTTTCTGCTACAACACTCACATTTTCCTATCAGACTGCGTATAGCTTTATGAATTCCCCACAGCTTGATGGCATCAAAATACACTGATGCGATGTTAATTTACTAGCGCAGCAGGATGGTATTCATTTCCGTATAAATCTTGAGATTGCATTACGTTGTCACCTTAGGTTCAATGGTCTAATGTCTTTCCTTTCTCATTTTTACTTTCCATTACACAGATAAAAGAGCTCATCATGGCATTGTCAAAAACTGGATTTCTTTGGTTACATATCATTCCATTGATTCCATCACTTCTACTCACTCTCTTTATTCTCTATCATCTTCTCAAAAGTCGACCACTTCGTTCAGCATTGAACAATCATGTCATTATTCTCATGCTTCTATTTGGTCTTGTTGTCGAACTCACAGACGTCGTCTGGTTTATTGCATTTTATCACAATGGCATCGCTCTCTCAGCAACACCTCAGTTTTGTCTCATTTGGGCATACATTGACTCATCACTATTCGTGTGTGTCTCACTACAAATGGCTTGGGCATCAATCGAACGACACATTCTCATTTTCTATCCCAAACTACTCGAAACACCATCAAAGCGAATCTGCTTTCATTATTTACCTCTGACTTTTGTCAGTGTGTGGCCATTGATATTCTATTTGATGATGCTGATTATCATTCCATGCGATGAACCATTGAACTACAATCGCCGACTGTGTGGTCGTTATGATTGTGTGAGTGTGATTCCATGGATCGGAATGTTTGACAGCATTGCACATTACATGGTGCCAGCATTCATCATCGTGGTTTTCAGCATTGGTCTTTTCGTTCGTGTTGTGTATCATCGGTATCATCTTCATCATAGAATTGATTGGAGGAACTATCGCAAAATGGCAGTGCAGTTGCTATCGATATCGTTGGTGTATATGGTGTTGGACGCTCCACCCATGGTCCTGAATGCTGCTTATTTGTGGGGACTATCAACAGATGTGGCAGCGCAATACTATAGTGACATGCTTGACCTTAGTTTGTGGGTGATTTTGTTCACTCCATTTGCAAGTGTAACGTCAGTACCAGATCTGAAAACAAAATCTGTAAATGCGTTGATGTTTTGGCGAGGAAGACATGCTGTTGCACCTATCACCGTGACGAACACTCATCGAGCTGCGAATCAAACAAGAACATTAACAAGAGGTGTTCATTGATTGTTGTGTATAAGATGAAGTGATTTCTCTTCTTTTTTTTTCCTTTGATATGTTTTCATGTATACAAGAAACTATGCTAATCCTCACATCATTTCTCTTTCGTCTAGTTGCCAACTAATTGAAGTTTGCTGTTTTTGTCAATCATAGATGCTTTTTCGAACAACCTGGGATATGGAAATAAAGAAGATTGAAGGGAAGTTATTCTCAAAAAGTGCTTCGATTTTCACGGACTCGCCGGAATGCATTCTCTCGATTTTAGCAATATTTCATGAAAAAAGGAACCTCTGACAGGTTACTCTCTCTGACTTCTGTTTATATTAGTTACATTCATTCTGATATGTAGAATCTAATCCAAAATAAACCCAGTCACGAAATTATTTTCTTTCACCACTTTTCTATCAAACAAACTCATACAGCTCGCATGATTCGGTGTACATTGTTAACTCATATTGTTCACCAGCAGCTGCAGGTTTACCTGTGTAGACAACGGAGCTCTGTTCAAGAGATAATACACCGTCGGGTTCTTACATGTCCCTTTTGTTTTGATAAACGATAGTTCGATATTTTATTCACTCAATTTGTCTTTAGGATGAGTGATGATTGTATCTATAGATGTAGGGCAAGAATACCGTACGACATCCGTTTTATCCTAGAGGAAAGTAATAGCTATGGACGGATTTACTGATGGTGCTTTGAGTAACACTGAACTCTATGATCCAATAACAGGTGGCTGGTCGGTGACAGGAAACATGTATATTACACCATATCGACAGGTGGCATCTTTATTACGGAATGGAAATGTTTTAATTACTGGCGGAGGGCAATAATGGCGATGAATCTTTATGATTAATAGTGGTAAGTTTCAACATGACTACATTTACCTCTTAGAACTCATGAAATGTATTTCTCTGAAAAGTTATAGTGAACTACGTTTATTTCGTGACTTCGTGTTTAAAAAAGATGAACAAAAAAATCACTTTGTCTTGTTTTTTATATGTTGAAAGATTATTCCGCTGATGAATAATCGATAACTAATGAGTCCTAGGATAAAAATGGTGCTGCTAAGATTCATTAAGAAGCCAAACGATCGATATTTTGGATAGCCAAGTGCGAAAGTTAATCGACCAAAGATAAAAAGAAGGGTAAAAACTGGCAGAAGTGTCAGTTCGTTTGATTGAAGTACCGTGCAAAGTGTGAACGAGAGAATCACTTTAACGACTAATTGTTCAAGTGTATTTTGTAAAATACGTTGTCGTTGTTCGACCAATACTTGTCCCTTTGGATCCAATGGATTGATGGCAACACTTGTGATTCGACGAGCGATCACTGCAAATATGGCGAATAATAATGCAAAACAGTCGATGAATAAAAGTTGAATAGTAAATATTAAACGCTTCTCCAAAGAGAAAGTTTTTGTATAATTTTCGATTGTTGTTGTCCATGGAAGTTTATCGAATAAAGCCATTGTTAATAGAACAATCGTAATGGTGATTGACACTATCATTAATGGAACAACTGTTCGTTGGTATTTACGAAGACCTACTTTAGCTTTGGTTTCTGCTTCACTTGTCATCTCTGGTTTCGTCCAACTGTAATAGATCGTCAACTATCTGCAGAGAAAAAAACAAGTTCAAACGTTGTTTCTTATATCTTTCTTTGTGTGGCGCATGACTAATAGGCACGCTGACTAAGAGAAAAGTATGTCGAGTGATAATGACGAATGTACTCGTGTTTCAGAAAAGCCAGTAGATCGAACAGTATATAGATGTCGCTGCATAACGCATATGACGTCATCATATTCCCATGCTGAACAATTCTTTGAAGAATAAAAGCAGTTTACACTGGTTTATTGTTGTTGAGTTTTTTTCGTTCTATTTTAATATTGAATATCTACATTGTGTGTGCAGAACTACGCAAAAGGCCAAGAAAACAATCGAATCCATGCGACAAATGAGTATAAATAAATGAAATCTTTTTTCGCAGAATATTTCAACACGAGTCACAAGACTGGTGTAAAAAAAAGAATTGAATGGTAACACTACTTTTTCAAGATGCCTTATATATTCCGTGGTGCTACCCAAATTATTCGGGTGTGAAATGGAATGACTAATGTTGTCCAAATCACAATGAAAATCTAGTTCATGTGATACTAAAAAACAGTTTCAAAACCAAATTTTCCACTATATTGAATCATGTCCAGGTCAAGATAATATTCTCGTTATCGAAATGGCAACATGTCGATAAATTCAAATGTTTTTTTCACCTTCTGACTAACAGTTCGACTATATCGTTTTAATTGATATCACTAGTCTCATAAAGATGATGACCTACGAATGGCATATTCTTTTCTTTGGTATCAATGAATACTTGTCGTCGATCACTTTCGAAAACTAAAACTTCATTGACGCGTGATCTCAAGACCTGCGTTGGTGCATACAATGTACATTGTGGTCCTTTTCCGCTAAATCGGCCAGTTTTAAATCCATTGATCATAATAAAAATCCTGTTCTCAATTAATTACACGAAGAAATGAATATAAAGGTTGTGTTGTGTTGCTTGTAAATGTGCTTCGATAAAACAATGACGATGATGTCTCATTGATAGTAGACGTCTCCGCCCAATTCAATACTATAGATTCACTGTCCAGTTTCTCACCTATTGGCAGTTTGGTGATTGTCCAATTATTTCAATCCGAAACACGGTTTGCCTTTCATACCTTTAAAATAACATCCTAAGTCTGGTAAGTCGCCACAACAACCGTCCTTTATTTTCGATTGACATATACAATATGAAACATATAACAAATGTGCGTATCATCTTCTTACAAGTCTTAGTCACTTTATCTTTACAACAAACGACGGATTATATATTCACTCGTGTTAACAGCCAAACGAAATCGATACAGCAGAGATAGCTCTCTTTATTGTTGCAAAGAATGAGAACATGTAGTTTAAGACGTCAATGACAATTAAAGTTTATTAACATTGAGTAACACTACAACAAATTGAATACTAGCCTAACGATTGTGCTTGGTTAAATACGTTCTTGTTCGAATTTTAAACAATTACAGACAGTGGCAGACATCTTTAAGACATCGACTTCCACTAAAGCCCTTTTTGGTGCATTGTAAACCACAATCAACGGGAACGCAGCGTCCACGTTGCGAATTTTTGCCTCGATTATTCTGTACAACTCTTCGACGGTCCTGAGTATGCTGTTCTTCAACATGATGGTTTGCCATTGTCGCTAGAAATAAACAAGCATCATTTCACAAATAAAACAAAGTTCAGACCACTTACTGGCGCAAACAAGCAAAAGAAGACAAAATACCATAGCCAAACGAACGATACCAACCATCTTTGTTCACGTTAAAATTCAAGTACTTGCACACGAAGAAGAATATGTTCGAACGATATGAAGATACACGGTCTTTCGCATGTCTATTTATAGCTCCAAGTTGACTATATACTGACAGACAGTTGTCTAGTTCATTAGGTGTGAATATCTACTTATGTACGCAAAGTGTGAATGTATTGTATAAGAGATGACTGCACTCACTCATCTAGATATAAGTGTTCGCCTAGAAGATGATATCATAGGAAAACAAATAACAAACAAACGTTGTATCTTAACTGTTTCACCTAGAACGTTTCTTTTGTTCTATATATACAATTCACGAAATGACACGGCGGTCTGAGAGGAAGACGAAAAAAGAATAGATGAAGATCATCGATGAAAGTCATGTCTTCATTCTTCTAGAAGTATTCATTCAGTTAAATACATTGGAAACGAAGAATAAGTAAGGCAGAATGATATAAAACAGAAGAATCGATATATTTAAAGAATTCTTTTCTATTCGTCCATCTAGATTAAATCCAAATTCGTACTCCATATGCATCACTTGTACTAACGGATAAACGTGGAAAGAAGTTGCATGATTGAGCTATTGTAATCCATGCCTGTCAATCCATCGCATAAAGATAATCTTTTAGCGAGAATTTCTCTTGAATGGGATAAAAGAGTTTTCAATTAAAAAGAATTCCAGGAGAAAACGAGTAAACGCTCCAATTATCTCGTAGCATTGTTTAATTCAAGTAGGATTTTTCTTCGCAATGGAAAACGTAGTTACTTAACAAACTGGAAGTAATTTTGCTTGACGATGCGTTAAATTTTGAAAAGCTCCTTTCGCCTTTTTTTTCTTTTCAAAGTATGCAGATAATCATGAGAACATTCTTCTTCTGAAAATGAACGACTCAACAAATGAGACACCGGCTTTTAAAGCAGACTACACTATCATCGGTCCTGTATCGATGATTTTTGCTGCGACTTCTGTCATTATTACCTCGTATATTTTAATCATTATTCTATCTACAAGACAATTACATACTGTGACTCGTTTGTTAACTTGTAACACATGTTTTGCATCGATGTTGTTTTGTGTTACTCAATTTATTGCTTACACTTATCTCTTAGTCATCAAATGGGATACAAGCGATCAGTCATGTCGATGGCGCGGCTATTTCGGATATATGTCCATGATTGCATTTATTTACTCTTATCTTCTGCAAGTCATATCGAGATTCTTCTTCATTGTTCTCTCAACTAAATATCGATGGTTAACTTCCGCAAAAACACATCTCTGCATGATTTTTATCGCATGGACTATAATTATCATTCTTCCACTACCAACAATTCTTACAAATGACATCATTTTCCGTAAAGATGATCTTTGTTGGGTGCCGAAGAAATACAAATTACATTGTTATTACATGGTTGCTGTTTGCTATGTAATACCCATTCTGTTGATTATTATCTTTAATATTAATATATTTGCTCGACTCTATCACAATAGAAAACATACCATCGCACACGGCACGACCAGACGACACGATCGTGAATATTTAGTTTCACGTAACATCATGATCTCATTTAGCGCTTATTTCATCGGCGGAGTTCCGTACATGCTCTATATATTTTCAGGTGTCGGATTACTTTATTCTATGGGCGTGGTTACTATCACATTTGCTGTTAGCATGGAAAAGTTAGTTATTATATATCTCGATGGAGAACTTCGAAGTATGATTCGAAATTATCTTTGTCAAACAAAAACTGCAGTTGTGCCATTCGCGGTAAACGTTGGTGTGACTACTCTTCGTTAATGACAAACTGCTTTCTTTGTATTTGAAATAAAACTACGGTAAACATTCAGCAAGATAAGTTACATGCGAATACCTCATATATTCACGCATAGTCGTAATACTTCCAGAAAAAGCTTCCTCGTAGGTTTATTTGTATGAATAATCGAAATATAGAAGTTTTTCAAAGATTTTACTCGTATGAAATATATCGTCTCGACAAGCAGAAGATAAATGCAGAAAATTCTGCAAATCCAATGTGAATGTTTATCAAACAATCGAACGAGAACTTTAACTCTCGAAGCAATTTGTTGTAAAAAAATATCTATCACGCCGATATGAGTGTATTGTCGGTTCATATGAATAACATTTAGACACCCGTATTAATGAAAAAGATGTTATACATAGAGCACATCCTGTTATGTCAATAATCGAGAGAACGAGGGTCGAACGTCATTGCATCTTGTCATACTGCCGAAAGTTAGAAGAACTCGTTGGATCAGGACCGTCAGAATTAGCCAAAACTTGCAAGGATTGCTGTCACAAATGGGGAGAATCATTGAATGGACGTACCGGTTGTTGCATATTAGCTAGTCAATATGGGAGACCCAACAATACATGTGGGCCCGTAGAGTTTGTCAAAAAATGTTGCTGTGTATCGCTGTGCCCATGCGAGTGACGTGCAAGGACATGAGAAGTTGCTTTCGTTTTAACTTTTACCATCGAATGTGTTCAGTAGCTTTTCTATAGTTTGTTTAATTGGCCCATCAAGTGAATAATTATTCACAATATTGATGCGTGCTTATCAAAACTAATTAATAGAATATATGAACCACTTTCACCATGAACATTACTTATGCATCCGTCTGAATGCCACCGCGAAAGAGCTTATTGTAGGATAGACTACAAGTTGTCAAAAAAAAACTATTCAATACCAAGTATTGGTATCGGTGCATGCCTAATCACACCTTTTGTTCTACGTTTTTTTCCATCAATATATCATAGATGCAATAAATGTTCCTCCGACTGAAGGGAGGGTCATATGAAAAGAAATAGTCTGTATGTTTATGGGTGCCAGGGTCAAAGGTCAAAAAAACTTTTTTCGAAAATGCTCAAAACTTCATGAAACGTCGTTTGGGAGGGATCCTAAGACTCGAGATTGGTTGGGGAAGGAGTGAAGGGCCAGGAACATGACAGAGATGAAGAAAACATTTCATCCGCAGCTGAGAGGATGACTACATAGAAAAACTTGATTACGAAAAAATAACAACACACTTGGTTGACTGTCGCATATGAAAGGCCGGTAATCCCAAAATACAATCATTGACAAGTTACATACTGGAGAACAATCTAAAATGCTGACTTTCGATCTATAGAAAGTTTTTGTAGGCCTTTAAGTTTTTTATAAGGAGATGACCTCAGATGTTCGGACGCTGATAATCTAGCCAGTTACAAAAATATAAACAGTTCGACGCGTTCGGACTCGAAATCTATACAGAGTCTCATTTTATCTTACTCAATTCATGTTTCTTTTAGAAAAAAGGAGAACGTGTTTAAAAGTGCAAATTCATAATAGGTATTTATAGGGAACTTCTGCTTCCTGTGAACACTGATTGCCATACAGTCAGGAATATCGAATAATTAAAAAGAATACAAGTAGTCCTTTAGTTCTTTTGAAGAGTGTGAGACGAATGAAGAATAGTCGCTGGGAACCCTTTCAAAGGTTATACTTCTCTCTTTTTTTGCATAAAATGCACATAAGACTATTGTAATTTCAGCCAGTGGTTCAGTCGAGAGTATAGCGAATCTGCCTCAACGAGCGTTATTAGTAATAAATACCAAGTACTATACTATTGCTGATTTTAATTATGATCACTCTCAAGATGGCTCCGGCTGCATAATCAGTTTTGCTTAATTTGGAAGGAGAGCTTTTCGGATAATACTCTAATCGTATAAACATCAATTTAATTTCTCGTCAAACACCTGTTAACGTCAGTCGCTGACGAGAGAAACTTCATTCTAAAGTCTTTATGTTAGTTACCTTCTTTTTTTTCACTCTGAAAAATCTACATTTACTTGAAGAGAAACATTACAAGTGCCAAAAACACGATCTTCGATTCGATTTTTTATACTATTCTCTGTCAGTATGCTGGTGATTGCTAATGTCATTCAATTTTGGCTCTTTCTTGTATTCGTTATTCCATCGATTCTATGCTCCATATTCACTATTTACCATCTTCTCATGAATCGTACGCTTCGCAATGCTCTCAACAATCATGTGGTCATCATCATACTTATTCTCTCTTTGATTTTTGATTTAACCGATGTTGTATGGTTAATTGATTATTTTCGCACCGGTACAGCATCGTTATCAACATACGCTTTTTGCCTTATATGGACATATATGGATTTTTCTCTATTTGCAACTGTGATAATTCTTGTGGCGTGGGCATCGATAGAACGGCATATTCTGATCTTTCATAAACGTTTAGTTGCAACACGAATGAAACGATTTGTTTTTCATTATTTACCTATGAGTATATTCACTATCTATCCATTATCGTACTATTTTGCAATGTTTTATATTTTACCGTGTAATATCACTCCTGATTACACACAATCTCGATGTGGCTTGGCCTATTGTGCATTTTCAAGCGCATCAAATGGAAAGTGGAATGGTATTGCAAATAACATTGTACCTATATTTATCATTGTGATGTTTAATCTCGCTTTGATTGCGCGGATCTGGTATACGAAATATCGTACTGGTCAAAGGTTTCAATGGAAGAACTACCGAAAATTGGCCGGTCAGCTTTTGGCAATATCGTCAATTTTCTTTATTTTCATTTTTCCACCTATGCTTTTATATACGGCCTATTCAATCGGTCTGCCGTTTGATTTTGCTACTGACTATTACATCGTTAGTTTGTTCTTAACGTATTTTGGCGCATTACTTGTCCCGGTGGTATGTGCTGTTTCGTTATCAGAACTACGAACAAAGTTATGGAATACTTTTCGAATTTTTCATCGGCCACGAGTGCACATGGTCCCTCAGATTTTGCTAGTGAATCATCCAAGAGATAACCAAATAGTTCGAGAAACACAATTTGGATCATAAAAGAGCTTTTATTTAATAGGACCTTTGTTGCACTTCAAAAAGCCAGAAGATGGATGTTTGATATTCACTATTCTATCAAACCAATGAAAATGCCTGAGGATGTGATGGTGACTACGGACTGAATGTCGCCATATATCAAGATTCATATTTAGAGAAAGACTAGTTTTTGAGAAAAATAAAGAATTGGACTAGAAGTAGTTGCTTACATTACAAAGCGCAGATCTATTAATAATATAGAAAATATACTCTCTCGCAAACTATCTGTAGTTAACTGTTTGTTTTAAGAATAGTACCAATCATAGATCTTCGAATGAATATGTCACAATTTTAGATTCTAAACTGAGCCACCGTTAGGCGATTTTTTTAATTTCTCGAGAACATTAGTCTGAAGGCATTTAAGCCGAGTTATAATAGACTGATGCATCCGGTCGTAACCTACCATTTGACTTAAAACTTGGTTTTCAATTGTCGGTCCATTCGCAATGATCGGTGTATTTTTACTTGAATCTACTGATTTTTGTTGCATACATTAACGTTCTGCGACACATGGACAAGGAAAATTTGTTAAACAGGTGAATATTCGTGGTCACGGACCTCTTCTGGAAGGTTACACGTCAGTGCGTGAATATGTAGCCAAGATAGTGCTCAGAAATGAAGGAAAAAATATGAACTCAATCGAAGAATTTGCGCGACATGAAATGAGAGAAGGACCGGCAACTTATTCGCCTTGCTGCTTAGATTCCACCGTTAGATATGCGAGAGCGGATTTCGGCTGCTTTAGTTGCGTTTCTATCAGAAAAGGCACAGCAATGAATATATTAATCGGCCGAGAAGAAGCTAAAACCGAAGCAGACGAGACCACTCTTAAAATAACAAAATACGATGCATCTGGATATTATCTCTGGGATATACCGGGTTCCCATGATAACGTTTCCATTCTGCCACTAATTTACGATATGATAGAATAGACAACAAATTCGACTCTCACAAATTCAAAGAGCGAGACGAATTAAAGAGATCTGAATTATTATCTGGACTGGATGAAAATGCTTCATTACTTGAAGTAAAAAAAGTGACATTGATGAAATTTTGTGAACTATAAGCAGAATTGTTTTCAATATTGATTACGATTTGCTTGTTCCTTTACCAAACAACATAAAGAGGTGTCAAGTTTGTACCTTTTCTGATTCTTAAGTATTGAATAGCAGACCGAAGAAACGATGTTTTTTTAAAAGTGTTAACGTTCAAAACACAACTCACGAAATACGAAAGTGTACTCATTCGCGCCCAACAAACATGAGTCATGCATGTGAGAGAAGAAGAAGTATTATCGTTCGTTCTTTTCCTCTGATCGTACGCGTTAACCGCTCCGATGAATATTGACTGTATTTTTATCGTATACTCCACCTAAAAGTAATGTAGTATATTCGATAGTTATTATTTGATCATGACGTCGGATGGAAAAAAGAACGATAGGGACAAATGTCCTTCTGATGAACTTTTGAAAACAATCGATCTTTGGCTTAAATGGGACCAATGCGAAGAGACAAGAAAACAAATTGAGCAACTCAAAGTAGTATTTTTAAAATGATCTCATTTCATCATCATTAACTCTTTGCTTTTCTATAGNAATGTGTACTTTTTCAATGTTTCTTATAGAAATCTTCACATTCGAAATTTGATTATTTGCTGTGTTTTCTAAGAAATTCAATCTTTCGCTTAGTTTGCTAATGTTGTACTCTACATTTTCACTATTTTGTTTGATACTTGTTAGTGAAAAGTATCTAATTCTTCTTCGATATTGCTTTTCAACAACTATATTCGTTAGTTGTAAGTCTTTCAATCGTTCATCTATGTCTAATTTTAATCTTTTGACTTTATCGTCAATTGCATGAAGTTTTTCATTCGTTTTATTTCATTTTGATTCGAATATATTTGTATGTTCATTAATAATTGGTACATATGTCAATCTATAATAGATATATAGGTTGAATTCGAATTGATAAAGAATGAATTGAATCAATTCGTGATACAATAATATCTTTGTGTGCATAAATCGAATATTTTCATTATAATCAGCTGGATTTATTCTATAAACTTCAATTGATTTAATACGAAAGTTTTCACTATCAAATTCAATAAATCGACGATTATTTGTAGAAAAATCAGAATTATTTTGTCTTAATTCTTCACATGTCTGTTCATTTTTATTTGTGCTGCATTATGCCATGCACTTTCTTTATACAATAATTTTAAATCATTATCAGGCACATAAGAATACGATTTGCTATGAACATCTTTCTTAGATGAATCGAAACTAAACGATCTAATGCCAATACAACAGTCCTAATCTTAACATCTCTAGTATGTTCATTTTGTAATTGTTGTAATTCATCATTTAATAAATGAACAATTCGATCCGGATGAATAATCTTCTGATGATTCCAATAGACCGAATTCTATTGTTGTTAATACTTCATTTATGAATTGATTTATATCATCAAGAAATAAATAATGTTCATGATTATTCTCAATTGATGAAAACATTAATGTTATTTAAAAGTGCGGTATTTGAGATAATCAGGCGATAAATTCGAGTGACATCTCCATACGGCTCGTGAAAGTTCAGTTGGTACCATTGTGATTTCGCAGATTTCTCTTGGTTGAATGCAACGATTATGTGTATGTGATAAATATTCTAAAATTATTTGACATAATTCATTTGTGTAGCGTGTTAATGAAATACATAACAAAATTTTTTGTCATTAAGATTTAATAAAGTCTATGTTTATGTTCATAAACAGATGTCTCACATCCTAAATATGATACGGATGTAAGAGCCGATGGTGATTAATTACATTTGTATGTATATCTTTCTCCCTTGTATACGTGGTATTTATAGTTTCGAACATCGAAGAGAATTATTATGACATTTTTTTACGCATAGTTAATATCACGGGAACCAGTAACATCATATATCTGGGTTGCCTCGATTTCGATCTGTAGGAAATGTCCATCATATAGATAGAAATATTTTTTCTTCCAGTAGAGAATATGGTGTTATTATCCTTGTTCGTACAAAGATACGAGAACATTCTTAGTCTGTGATATGTGAACAAAACTGTTAAACAAGTTTTTATCATTGACGATGAAAATAATTAAGATTGAGAAAATGAAAACGGAGACGTGTGAAACCAGCTTCGCTATTCTCACTATATCCCATTTCGTTCAAAGTCGATGGTAACGAGAAACTTACACTCTCACTGATCATTTATGTAAGCTAGTCGTTCTCATGATTCATCTGCTGGGTTTTTTCATGGCGTGCGATGACTAATAAGGGACAGTAAATATTTCGTTCTGTTGCTTCCTTTCTGTGTGATGACGCTACTCAATTACATGCCGTTTTTTTTCACACTGTTGTCGAGAAGAAAGCGTAAAAAACCCAAACTGTTTTTTCACATCCTCTCTTTTACAAAACATGGCTGAAGTAACACGCAATCCTATCGATGGTGCATCCATTTCGGTTGCACAACAGCTCGATAGGCTTCTTCTTGATTTTCATCAGTTAAAACAATCAATAGATTCCGAAGATCAGCAGTCTCTTAGATTTATTGACGAATGGGAAAGGAAGTCGATCGAAAAGATCCAACAAACTGCACATGATTATCGACAAGATTTTGCGGCGAAATTCGAGAAATACAAAGAGAAACTATGTAAACGATCAAATCATTTACACGAAGAATTAATCAATACTCAGAACTCAGGTAATCTCATGAAAGTGGATATACAAAATTTGTCAAATAAACTTGCGAGACTTAACTCCTTGGTTCAATCTCCACCCCATGTAATCACTCAGCACGATGAGTTCATCTCCAAACTTTCTATCTGTGAGTATCCTGATGACATTTTCGACATATTTGCCGGCGATTTACGCGTCGAAAATCGACAACAAACTGCCATTCACGGCCCGTCAGTTGCTCATGCAGTGGTGCGTGGCAGTGATGAATATAGCCGTGGCAAGCATCGCTTTCGCTTTCGAATTGAATCGTTCAATAACAACAAATGGATCTTTTTTGGCATTATTTCACATAAGACAACATTGCAGGCACATACTTGGGCAGTGCCAACATGTTACGGTTGGGGCGGACAAGATTCAGTCATTCTCAATTGTGCAATGCATTCTCGTTTCAATGGATATAACTGTGACTTCGAATTGAATGATACTATTGAACTAACACTCGACTGTGATCAACAAATGATCTCTATAATGAACCAACGCACGCAATGTAACTATTCAATGAAAGTTGATGTGAAAAAATGTCCTTTTCCGTGGCACTTTGTTCTCAATCTTTTCTATCCAGGTGATCAAGTGCGCATTTTGTATAAGGACACTTTGTGAAATAAATGCTTTACTTATTGGCATCTGCAATTCGATTTTTGGCCACGTCATACAGACACAAAGGATAATCATTATTTTACCGATTCATGTCTTCGAAAGGCCAACATGCATAATGTACTTGTAGAGTGACTGTTGCTACGGAAAAAGTGTCCATTTTCCTAGTAATTTATTATCAACTCGTTCCGTCTTATAGGCCAAGAGCACATTCTGTCTGAAAATATTCGTTGACATAGATATTTTAGTACTTCTTCTAGTGACATCACGAAATTGTCGTTTAGTGTAATTATAAGCCTAAATTAATTCTTCCCAATGTATAGCTTTATGACTGTTAGCATGCTCGATGTGTTCGTAGTTTATACTTAACACAGTTGCTTAGCGTCTTTGTTACTGTTGTCACTATTGAAAGATCTAGACTTGGATTTACCTATAAATTATCTATTTCAAAGATTAAAACAAAAACAAAGAGTTATCGCTTGTAAAGTATAGTTTCTTCCGTTTGATTCACCACATAATTTATTGCATCCGTCAACCATTGAATGTCAGATGTCTTCATTACACTATTATTTACAGCAAAGAAACATCTGATGAGATCAGAAAAGCACAGAATCGATCGTCTCGCATCGTATTTGTAAATTAAATATCGCCATGTCAATTCTATGTACGCATCTTGAATATGTAAAACTTGTTTAATATCGGACAGATTTTTTGCGGAGGTATTCGTATCATAAACTGTCAAGTTGATGGTCGAAAACGAAAGAATAGCAAGAAATAATTTCATAACAATCGTATCGAAACCACATCGATTGGCGATCAATTTCGCTATGGGTATAACATTCGGATGAATAATCGTTTCTAGTGTATTGTAATACGCCGGACAATTTGTTAGTTCGATTCGATTCAGAATGAAGTTCGTCGAAATACATTCGACATGTCTGAATGTGTTGCGAAGTAAGACAGAACGGTCATTGAACGATAACGAACACAAATCTCGATTGTTTGTGTATAACAATTGACAGCCGTTCATTAACGTTTGAAACAATTCAATCATTGATGCAGATTTAAAACGTAATTTCAAAGGTAAAGTACTTTGTAGAGATACATATCGTTCACATATAGATATTTGACTATGCTCATCATAACAATAGGATAAGTCAGAAAGCAGCTTCCATTGTTCAACGGTTAAAATTGGTCGAGTTGATTGCGTGGGAGTTACCATAGGGATCTAAATGAGAGTTGAACAAATAAAAATACCTCAAATAATCAACGACATGTTTTCTATACGGATGTTTTGTTTCTTTTTTGGTTGACTTTTGATAACGCACAACGGATCTTCTCGATTTGCATGCCACTGAGAAAGCATTTCCTCAGTCGACAAAATGAACAGACATGCCGATTATTCTGATCGATTTCACAATGTCTGTCGAATAAACATTTCAGCGTTTCCTAAAAGACAAACATGCATTGATGGAGTCAACAAAGGGAAATCGATTAACTTGTCCGTGCTCAGCATTTCTTTTGAAGAAAATCTTACAAGCGCGACATGAAATTGTACCAAAGTACGAATATTGAGCTGGTGCCCCGCAAATCTTGCATGTATGTTGCATAATTGTACATTTTGGTCTCCTTCCGACTGTGTTTTCCATTGCATAGTTATTAAAACGAACGAAGTAATTTTTGTAAATCCGCAAGAAAAGTGTTAAGAGCGAGAGAATGGAGCTATTACACAAGGATACATAAAAGAACAGAAAAGAAGAAAAAAAAAGAAAAAAATTTGTGTTCTTTGATAAAAACTATTACGTGTCGAGAAGTGCAATAAGAATGATTAGGTTAAAAAAAACATGGACTTTCTACTCAACGACCCTGAAACACAATCATCACACGTTCTTCTGTTCCATTTGAATCAATATAGCATCTCGCAAACAACGACGTTTTTCTCCTTCTCATGCTCTCTCACACAGACGCACACGCATTCACGTTTTGAACGGAACTGTCGAGTCTTACATGACAAAAACATCGGTGAGAACTACTCGAGACCGCACGAATGTTGATCATTTAATCCTATCGTGATATTACGAAACATAAACCTGTTTCGATCTTCGTATATGACTTTATTGGCTGACTGCAATTTGCACCAAATGTTACATTATTCAATAGCTTCAGTCAATAGGAAAAAGATACAAAAATAACCATTTTTTTATCGTGTTTAGCTATACAGATCACATGATATGTTTACGCTGACAGAAAATGATAGATATCGATATAACATAATGGAAGCATCATGCCTGTCAACACTTCGTACCGGATAATTATAATCTCTTTCTGTTTTGCCTCTTGATGGGCTTTCTCGGACGTCAGAGTCAAAGTTGATCCTTGTTTTCGACGTATTTCTCGGTGTAATCAGAATCATCTCAAGTGATAAATTTATAGAAAATTCTTGAAGCTTTTTCGCAATACTATATCAATTCTGATCATTCAGTAATAGTATGAAATCTTAGAGAGTTCACCTTAGAATCGTTATTGTTGTACTTGTCTATGATCTGTGTTACAAAGATATTCGATAATCACAGCTCTAAATACTACTATCATCGATATGTGATGCATTGTATTCAATGATACCATTCCAGGACTGTACGAAAACATATGCTTCATCCTACTTAAAACAACTTATCCTTATCGACGTCATAGTTTATTGAAGAAATATAAAAATAATATTGCTTGTCAACGCAATTAGATAACGACGATCGCAATACTACTATATATACATGAAGAAAAGGTTCTGTACTATATACAATCACTTTAAACAAAAAAACCATGGATCGTCGTTTACTTGCTCTCGTTGTAGTTGCAACCATAATGGTGTCTCTTTCAAATGGTGGTCCCGTTCGCAACAACGAATTGAATTTATTCAAACGGGATCTACATAATGTAGATATCATTGACCAAGCTGTTACGGACCTCGGTGAACAGAATTTAGGCCTACGCAAACGGGATATACAACTTTGACGCGGACTTTGACGGCACTACAGAGTGATAATCTTAATGAAAGTTTAAATATGCGTGAACGGAATTAACACAATTCAGAACGTAGATAGAAAAGAACTTGTCAGTATGAAATTGTGGCAATAAGACACATTTACAAATTTTGCTCGCGTTTTCAATCCCTTTATTTACATCAACCCATCATGTAATTAGAAAACAAAATATAAGCTTTTCTATGTCTTTTCCCAACAAATGCATATTTGAAAAATAATAAATTTTCATTTTAAAACTTCTTTCGACACTTTGTGACGGGAAAATATCCACAAACGTCGTGTGATTCTACGTACTGTGCAAAGATCTTTTCGAGAGATCAAGAGATAATATTGCATAGCTATAATTGGAGAAATTTAAATGCTTCAACTTAATTTCATTAACATAACATCATACGTTTTCTGAATTTTTATATTTAATCATCCTACTAACTTATTTAACTGGAATATTCCGGTACCAATGCTCTTGTCTTATTGACTACTGACTATTTTCTATGAAAGCTTATCAAAATTTTCATTATCTACGAAAACATAAACGTTTCTTTAATTACATTTCAGATAAAATTCATCTTTTCGCCAACAGATCATGTTATTATTCGAAAAGCTTTTAGAATAAATCATTTGTTCTTGTGTTAACCATAATGTAAACTATTACGGAATGGAGCAAATAAGACAAGTTTAAGGTCCGAAATTAATTTGATTGCGAATGATTCCATCCGAGAAAAGCGATATATATCATCTATATCGCCATCCAAGTGAGATAGTATGGTGCTTATTAGGGAAAATGTATCGTTTATGCTGATCGTTGATTGTTACTTTCCAAATTGTTTTTGAAAGATTCCGAAAGCGAATATTTCTTAAAAAACTCAATCTACTATATGAGCGATTGTTTTCGAAATTGAACAATTTAGATTTTTCTCAGATAAGAATATATCATTTCATAGCTTCATAGAATGGCACATAACCGTCGAAAGCTTTCTTGCTTCTTTTTTCACTTGACATGTAATGAAATGCTTTAAAATTGATTGGATATAACATAATCAGTTGTTCAATGTAAATCGCACAGAAGAAAAAAACATTTCAATTGATATTTGAATGCGAGAACATGATTACTGCTTGTGCATAACGATGACTATGACATTCATGTTTTTTCATTAATTGATTCTCTTGATATTGTCCATTTAATTAACATGCCTTCTATTCATTCGAACGTATTTCGTTATTTCATCATCATACATGAAACAGGTCACGCTTGATCTATTCATTCTCTATAAGCACATGTTTGTTTTCACTTCTTACTCAGATACTTTATACGACTTATTGCATCAATCATGTTAATTGCTCCATGGTTCTGTGACGGTTGTGGTCGGACAAATGGTATTACCAGATACCAATGTCAACATTGCCGAGGATTCAATACATACGATTTATGTGATCAATGTATACTGCGTGCGTCCACAATACATCCATATCATAGATTTGCCCTAGTACAACAAGCAGGAGCTGGTACACCAAATTGGAGACCACCAGTAGCCGTACAATATTGAAAAAAAACTTTTAGTCTTTTGACAGCCTGTAAAGCTATCAGCTTTGTTTTTACTACTGTATGCACGCCTCGTGTAGATGTTCATTGCTTTAATATTTGTAAAATCCGTAATAAACAGAAAGTGTGACCCGAAAGGGAAAAATTTAAGCGGCGTAAATAGAGCATTGCAATAGTATGTCGTCTAACTTTAGAAAAGAACCTGCAAAGATGAAGTCTTATGTAGTTTTAAATAAATAATTATAAAAATGCAGATGTTATCGACTGGCTTTTGTCTTGAAAAAATTTGACATAATCTATTTACATAATAAAGGGTTAAGATTAATGCTTTCATCAGTGCGATATACAATATAAAAAGGATTTAGTTGTGGACTTACAAGTCATATATGGTCAAAACAAAAATGTAATCGACTGAAACTTAATCAATACAATTCAGCGGTGTTTAGATAATTAGTACTATCATATCCACCAGTAGCTAATACTCTTTCATTCGATAAAATAGATGCTGTGTGTCCAAATCGTGCACCATTCAAATTTCCTGTTGTCGTCCAACTACCGAGTGATGGATCATACAGATCAGCACTATCAAGACTAAGACCACTACTGGCGTCTCCGCCAGTGACCAATACTTTTCCATTGACTAAAATGGATCCTGCATGGAAATATCGTCTCGAATTCATAGATCCAGTCATTCTCGGCCCTAAAAAGGAAACAAATGAGCATAGTGGCGAAGAATTATTTATTAAATAGTTTAATACAAATTTATTTAAATCTTTTATTGGTTATTTGATGAAATAGATCTATGTACTTTTCCAGTTTTACGCAGATTGATGTGTTATAAAGCTTCTGGAAAATGTACTTAAAATAGAACAAGTGGCTGTCTTATACAGTCATTCCGGGGGAACAAAGTCTTAGTTATTTGGCTTTTTTCTATAATTGTCAAACGTAAAATGGAAATTGGAACACTTCTGATAAAATGTGGATAAAAATTTACTCGAGCAACTGATTTTCCCACCAAGTCAAAAGCCATATGTGAAAAAAACTGAAGGTTTTGTCCTTTTGAAAGAAAATATTTCTGCATTTTCTTCTCAGTTCGAATGTATCGTACACACATCAGAATTTTTTAATGAATAGTTTTATTAACCTTTTTGGTCTGTGTGGAAGCATTTCCAACTGTCTAAACCCGTTCTATTCCGTTCTCACAGTCTCACCCTTAAGACCTTCATGTTTGCTATGGCATTTCAAATTACTTGTTTAGCTGTCTTGTAGCTAAATTTTTTGTAAAACTCTCAACCCTTTCTCGAAACTACGAAGCAATTCATTTATACGATCAATATTGTACGAAGATATTTACAACAATAAGGTATGAACTTTTCACGAAAAAACAAATAGTAAATAAGACGAGAAGACGTAGAATAACTATTAGTCCTCCATAAGGCCCCAAAAAGTGTTGTTTTTATATGCAAAACATCAGGGCACTGCATCAGTGTACAAGAACATGATCATGGTGCGCAGGAGGATAAATACTTCGTATAGTTCCTCTTTCACTGAAAATTTGATATAAAATTGATATGCAATTAGGTAAATGACGGCGATATTTGAATATTTCCCAAACAAAACTGACTATAAAAGCATTTCAATGTCGACGCAAACATTGAATTTTCTGCTGGACAACCGACTTCGATTCCGGGAACGGCAAATACTGGCGAAATCACCGGTATTTCCCCTTAGATATGGATACCTACTGGGTATGCACAAGTATTTGATTGACAACAATATAGCGAAAGAGTCGGTTATTGGAATTGTATCCTAATATATCCATGCTTCGCATGAGAAACGCTGTATTGATATAATACTGATTCAAGTTAAGCACGTCGTAAACGATCAGAACATTTATTCGAGGTGCGGATATCAGGTGACTTTGATATAGAATTAGTGAAATAAACCATTCAGTATGTGGAATTTTGAATAGTGTTGTCGATTTAGATTTGAATATTTTGTTGTAATAATGCTTGATTACTACAGAATTTTTCGAGAAAAAAGAATATCGGTTCGTGTTAACAGAAAATAATAACGAAATCAAATTCTGAGTGACAAATTGACTTAAATCTCTGGAATAAAATTCAAGTTGAAATGACACTATTTCACGATAATCAATGGTTGATTGAGAACACGGACAATTTAGTGCACTTCTATATTTATCCACGATTTGCTCGGAGTGAGAAAGTGTGGGAATATTACAGATATTAGAGAATAGTTGATTGCTTTTCAAAGTCAGAGATACTTAAACTGAAGTATATCGTGAAAAGACTCCTGTTTTAGAAAATTAATGTTTATTTCTCTTTTCAAAATCTCCAATGACAAAAACTTGGTCTTTTCTCGAGCGAAAACATGATAGCCGAGAGAGTTTCTGGACTACGAGCGAAACGTAACAGTGCGGATAAATCGGAAAGAAATGATAATCATCATCCATGGTTTTCAAAGGGCCATTCATCGACGAGAATGTTTGTAATATCGATAAGAAAACGAAAACGAGTAAAGATATTAGCAGATACGTTTCGTAATATTTGTCGAATATACGCAGATAAGTATCGTAGAGAACCCAAAAGCCATGCCAAAGGAAGAGACACGATGCAAATGCCAACGCGTGAACGATATTTCGATGAAATTGAGGAAAATTCGACACGAAAAGTGTCCAAAATTTATTGTTCCAAGTCTTATTTTCACCGTAGTATTGTAAATACATCAGAGGGAAATACAGTGGATAACCAATGACGATGCAAACCCAAATGGATTTGCTGATTTCATCGGGATACAAATATTGATCGAGAATAACATAGAATCCATGCCATATGATAATCGTGATATTCGAAATAAGAATTTCATAAAGTACAAAATTCATTAAATTCACTTTCCATCGACTCATCTTTACAAAAACAAATTCTCTCAAACATACTTCGTCTCCTTTCTAAACAAGAACATACCTGTTCGGTTTCTAATGGACATTCAAACTGAATACAATATTCAATTGAGTCATAGGAGACTACAAATGGTGCGCAGACTAAATCTGATAAAGTTCCAGTAAGTGCCATTAATGCAAAAATGGCTGCCAATGAAAAAACAAACATAAATCCCCAATCTTGCGACGTATATTGATCCAAAATCGTCCACATCATTTGCCATTGAATAATATACAAAAACGCTAATATAAATATATGAATTTTCATGATGATTTGTTTGACAATCATCTTTTGTTTGTTAAGAAAATGGTAGAAAACATCTTGACCAAGGTAAAAGATGAGAAATGCGATTTCATCGATCACCCACGTTACCATCAATGATTGAGGAGAATACACGCCATATCCCTGGTCGGAATAATCTAATCCATCGAGATTGTAGTTTGACGCATAGCCATTCAATGCGTTTAACATCGTCACGGTAAGATTCCATCCACAATCCCAGAACAGAACCAATAATGGAAAAAGAAAGCAACCAGTGAGAATCGGTTCGAGAAGAAATAGTATCAGATATGAACCTTTGGGTTCGATAGTTTGTTCCTTGTTTTGATTATCAACAATGGAAATTATTTGTGTTAGCCGACGTCGAATGGTATTTCGATCCGTTGATGGAAGCGGTTGTGATATTTCCGTATCGACGACATGAACTCGTTGTTGATTGAGCTCTTCATTATCGAACTGCTTTGAAATAACTGAAAATCGTCGAGGATTATTATTCGGAAGACTAATAATAGGAGTTTTGCCATCGACTACAAACGTCGGTGACATGATCAAAAATTTGAATAAAACAGTACGGCAAACTCAATAAATCAAGATTAACCTCTTCCAACTGAGTACTATGTTAATTTTTTCGTCCATCGTCTATTTACGTTTGTTTGTATATTTGCCAGAGAACGCATCGAATCGATGTTGATGAGAAAAATGTTTGTTGGTTTCAACTTGACTGACGATCGGTTCGAGTTAACGTGTCTACACGATGTTTTTATTTTTATTTGAAGCAAATTCACATAAAAGAACATTGCTCATTAATTTCATCGTCCTACTTCACATATTATTTTGATTATAGACAAACAAACAATACTCATTAGAAATTATCGTTTCTATCGTGCTGATGTAAACATAAAATTTGACTTCTCTTTTTTTATTCTCTCTTTATTGACGTCAGCAACGAGAACCGTCCTTTTTCACTATTTGTTTTACATACCAAAGAAATCGACAAAGACATTTCTCAAGTACCTAATATTATAATTATTCTTCTCAATCACGGCATACCAAATCGAGAGCAACCATTACATTAAAAATTTCTTTTTCGTAAATAGTCGACAACATAGCACTTCGGGTTATGATACATTTCGTTTAATAGGCTATTTAACACATGATACAATCGAATGAGCTTTTACTACAGCTTGGTTATAGTCGAGAAAAATATTCACACGCACAAAACAAAAGTTCAATTACGAAATCGGTTGTGAAAAGCGCTCAATGCGATAGCGAATGCTTGCATAGCGGTGAGAGGATATCGATAATCCAGAGCATAAGTTTTGTAATCAATACGACCGAATTGCATGATGACATTGCCTTGATCTAGAACAACTGAAAGATTTGTCTTTCATCAACATAGAAATGTGACATACGTGCTAGTTGAAAGTTTTTATGTGACATTTGTTGGACACGGTTTTCAATGTATGGAAGATTGTATTTTTTACTTTCTAAAGTCAAAGAAAATGATCTAAACTGTAGATTTTGATCTCAAACGAACCATTATCGTAGATTGGTGCGACGTTTTTTATTTCAGTCCAGTTGTTCGCACGTCCAGCTCGCCATTCATTAATGATTGTTTCGTTCTCCTAAAAAACGACTTCATAAAAAAAATATTAACATACAATTTGATTTACTTTCAAAGGTTGGCTCGCAGTTTCGGCATCATGCATTAAAACTGTCAGTTTTCTTGGTTCATTCGTTCCGATTATATAAGTATTCTGCAAATTGATATTTCTCATTGACAAATTTTCTCATTTGATGTCACTTACATAGATAATGGCAAGAGATTGTTGATTCATTTGATCATAAAGTATGTATTCGGTATCAATGATGTTCATACATTTTAATCTTGCAATGGCATTTTCATTGGTGATGTCTTTGGCAGATTTTTCATCATTTCCAATGAGATATTCTGAATGTCCACCGAGTTTGATATGTTTTCGTGCAGTTAAAAGAAATGTCTAGAAAAAGTTCAGAGTAAACTCTTTTGCCGTCTCTCAAAATCAAAATATACTTGATCGTTGTCGTTTCGTCCATTGAAATACAATGCGAATGTTTTTGATAGGAGGCCTTCTTTGTGACAATGGACTGTACAATGAACGAAACCTGAATAATCTTTTGGACTTGGTGTATAAATGTATTTTATCGGATCCTTTTTGAGCAGATATTCGATGTCGACGTTGATATCAGTCGGTTCAATCACCTACAAAACGAAAAGAAATGATCATTTTTTAGAAGAATATGTGAGATCGAAAGAGAGAACTTGTGTTGTTGTTATTGTTGTAGATTCCACTGTTGATTTCACATCTTTTGTGTGTGGTTCTGAATAAAAAGATAGAATTTTGTTTTGACGAAGGAAAATGTGCTTTTTTTAAACCTTGTGTCGTTGTGTTATACATTGTTGGTACAATTTGATATAATATATGTAATTGTTCATCATCTTCATCCACATCATCGTGATTTTTACTAAAAATTAAAGATTCGGGTAGTTTTTAGGAAGGAATACTCGTCTAACTCGGCGTTTGTTTTTGGTTCGGGATGTGACATAGTTGCGATTGTAATAGAGAAAAAAGTCTTCTGAATGAAATGAACGAACTCGAGTTGTTTTATAGGTCGAAGAGGAGAAACAAGAGATTTTCTTACTATGTTTAAAGCTTCAACGTGATTGATTCTGCGTAGTTAAGGGGGAACCCCCCTCAGAAAGTCGATTTTTTTGAAAAATTTCGATTTTTCAAAAAACACATAATCTTATAGTCCTGTGTGTCCTCTTCAAGAATATGTATGATTTGTGTATGAACAAAGGTTATTTGACCTAGTTTTAGCCTGTTTAGTGAGAGTACTAATGAAAAAAACTGGTTTTCATCGATTTTTCCTTAGTTACCACGGTCTCATTGAGCCCCAGTTTTGTTTCTAGTATTGTAAAGCCTTCTAATCATCACTACGCTTGTTCTGACATAGGTGGGATGATTGAAAGAAAGACTGGGAATGGTATGTGGCGTACTGAAAACCTGGTAGGTCCAGAGGTTAGCTTGCGTCACGTTTATTATAAAAAATGAAGATATAGCATTAGTTCATGAGTACTAAATAACAATACGAGCTGTTGCTGATCAAGTCCTAAGTAAAACTAACGTTGACCAGTACTAGTATTGACCACTACTAGCACTGACCGATAGAAAATTTTGGCCAATACTAAAAGTAATCTGCACCAGAATTTCCGACAGATAATACTGTATTCTTGTGTGGTTGACCACATGAGAAAAACCAAATCATAAGTTTTATTTCAACATGAAAAACGTAAATGATAATCCTATGTTATGATAATAGAAAAATATGTGGTATTTAGTTTTCAGAAAACAAATCAATAAAACTGTCGAGTGTAAATGATACCGTAACTTGCTTGTAACAGGCATAATCACGAATATCACCAGGATATCTGCATCGAATTATTTGCTTGATTATCGGTGGCCATTCGTATGTTTCATTGTTTTTCTTTGTCAATCGTTTTTGTTTACGTTTTGTTAATACTAACTGATATAAATCTTTGTAAAGTTCACGACGACATTGAATGTCATTATTATTATCCAAAACGTTTTCCTGTAATCCTTTCGCTGATGCTGGTGTAACACTGACAGGTGCAGGTGGATAGTCATACTCCTCGCTGTAGTTGCTATTGCTACTATCATCGAGACTATGGTCTTCTGTATTATCTTGGTCGTCATCATCATGCATGTTCTGCAACGTAAAATAATTATGAATTAGTTTACAAACAACAATTGCGATTTCAAAATAAATCATGAAAAGAAAATATGCAAAATGGAACGCAAAGATTGTTGAGCTAAGAAACAACGCACTACAGCTGTAGAGTTGCTTGATGACTGTGTCGTTGTTATAATAGCTGCAGGTGGTTCAAGAATATTAGCAAGTTCTTTAGGAAATGGAACACTTTTTAGTTCAAATGCAGTTTTGAAATAATTGTACGATATTTGAAAATTATCCATGACTACTTAGGTATAGAATGTAATCTAAAATATGAAATAGAATAAAAACCTATGCATATTTCATACAAAAAGGAAACAATAAATGTCAATATGCGCCAGGAATATATGCATCATCTGTAGTAATCCCGCTCATTTTCTCATGATCTGTAACTGTATGTTTAGGTCTTCCTTTTCTTTGAGCTTTGTTTTTTTCTCTTTCTTCGCGTTCTTTATCCAATCTTCTAAAAATTATTTTAGAAAAATAGCCACTTGAACGTCCTATGGAAAAGTAACACATAGAGTAAGATTATCCAGGAAAATTCATTAGCATTCACCACATAAATTCTCTAAAAGTTTTTGTAGACTTTGATAACCATCGTTAAAAACTGCTACCGAAAGAGCAACACATAAGTCCAAGATGGTACCGGATGAGTAACGTCTCTTCGGAGCCATACTCCATAATACCGAATGAAATGATTCGTTCGGATTTTGAGACGAACCATGCAGAACTTTTTTCAGAACATCAGCTGTAATTTCAACCGAAAAAAAGACAAAAATATAATATGAAAAGAACTATTTGATAACTAGAAAAAATAATCAAATCGATCTCATAAAACACAGTTCCGTTTCTAATCTAAATAGGTTGGTATTATACGTACGAGAAGCTGATTCTTCGAACACCGGCCGTATAGCCTTCATTACTCCATGAGATAGACTATGGGGAGTATGATCATACTCCTTCCCTTGAAAAAAAGATATTCAAAAACGTACTTCCTTGGAAAAAATAATGAATTGGTAATCATTACCTTCTAGCAATGCTCTCAAATACCCGCAATATATTGGATCGCACCATTCATGATGAGGTTCATTATTCGTTGAAGCCTATCATTCAATAAAAGCACTTTTTATATTCTTTCAAAAGTCATATATCAACTTTATGCTTAAAAATTGCCCACACTGATTTGACCATTTCTTCCAGATTTGTTTTATTTCTGACTATTGCTTGTCGGTAATAATACTTGAAATTGATAATCATGTCTACAAAATACGTAGATCAATAATCGAATTCAAATAAATAAGCAAAAATTAGGTGTTTTACTTTCCGTCATTCTCCCTGCACCAGATATCCCCTTCTTCCCATCGATAACAACGGTTTTCATTTCATTTTTTATCTTTTCTAATCTATGTTTCATCTTCTTGCACCAATGATTAATGTCTTCGATTTTTTGCACAACTATATCTGGATATGGTGGTTCGTCCGTTAGTTTTACCATCGTCTTAGTATCACCATCACCAATGTAACTAAAATAGAAATAATCCACAAAATATCTTTATGAATAAGATAGAAAATTCGAATTGGTAATACTTATCTAAAGAACAAGCAAATGGTAGCGGCCAATATCACGAATAATAAAAGCAAAACAAATAAAACAATATGCAAAAGAGCAAATTTGACATGGCTGTGAAAATTTTCCTTACTTGACATATTTAACATTATACAATGAAATAGAACGTGTAAATAACCGATGAATACCATCAACTTCCATCGCTCCTAATAAAGAAGAAAACGATTGCTATTTTATTTAAAAATTTTAGTTTGATACGTACCAGAAGATCCTTTGAAATTAATTTGGCAATTGTGGTTGCTAATTATTTCTTCATATTGTTGTCTGCTTTTCTCCTTTATACTTAACGCACCATCACAAACCGTGCATTTCTTTGACATTCGTTCGATATCCAACACCTGAAAACAAATTAAGACAAGCTTCATAGTTTTGATGCTACCTTTGGAGTTACACAACTCGAAAGAACAGCTGCTACACCATTGAGACTAGCAAAGCCGCGTTTCTGCCAACTTCCATCGCCTGAAACAGTCAAATTTCGAGAACCAGCTATTTGACAAGCTTCGTCAACAGCATTTTTCATTGATTCTTGTTGGTGTTGCTGTACAATAGGTACGATATCTTCCATTAACTTCACAAAGTATTCTTCTTCAATTGGAGGAGGTATGTTTAAAGCACCACAAATCTTTGTTAGTCCAGCATAGCCAACGCCAGATAAATTAGCTGCTAAAATTTGAAAAAAGTAAAGTTAGACTACCAAGTTATCAGTTCATAGAATCCATGACAGTTACCAAGAACAGAACGAATATTAATATCTCGATATCTTGTACTTGTACTTTGAGAAGACGAATTGCATCGAACTATGTTAGAGCATTGACATTCAAATTCCGTCGAACAATATAATCCTGAAATCATATTAAAAGAATTTAAAAAGATAAATAGATGCATAGTACCTTCTCGTTTTGTCAAACGCATTATACCATTCCAGTTGTGAAAACATGATTGACAAATTGTATTTCGCATTAATTCTAGTAGAAAGCTATTGTGTATCACTTGGTAGAAGTCATGTTCATCGTTGTCCTGCACAAGCTGCGATTGTTGTGCATAAGTTTGAATCTTTTTCGACGATGGCCCTACGAATTGTTCGTTTGTTTTTTGTTTTGTCGATGAAGAACGTGTCATCGGTGGAGAAATTGACATTGAATATTCTTGTGACTTCAATGATATTTGTAAATTTGATGAAATCGGTGATAATATTGTTGCATTGAACATGGTGTTTGCAACTGTTGATGACACTGGTGTAGAAGTTAAAAACGAAGTTTTTATGGAACTTTCACTCGTTTCGTTCTCCTTTGAAACCGAACGAGACGTGGATCGGGATAGATTGGTCAACCGTTGCCGTTGAGAATGACGAGCACGACTTTTGCTTTCAGGACGAGGCATATTTTATAAATGGAATGAAAGAAATCTTAGGTTCTATCTAAAATGAAAAACAAGTGAGAAGGATCTGGATTTTTATTTTTCTAGAATGTTAATCAGCGTAATTTATTCTTAATATAATAATATTGGAAAAGAAATCGTAAAAAGATAAAACGAAAAAACGTGCATTATTCAGCTCCTTGTTATATAACTGCCATGACTGATATTATAACCTACCAGTGACCTTCAAAATAGTGCAAATTCTGAAAAAGATGGCGATACAATAAACGTTAAGTAAGTTTTATTTTCGAAAACCATTTTTTTTCAAATAAAAAGTATCATAATTTCATAAGATTTTTTACGTGCTTTTCAATGATGTATAATATGTCACTAATATTTATATATAAACAATACAATCCACTTCGTAATCTTGTAACTCGTTTTTCTCAGCTTCAAGTTTTTCTGATTTTTTCTCCCTTGCGGAACATTTATCTGAACAACCAGTGAGAGTTAATTTAAACTTTTTTTTTCATTCGAAAGAGCAAAGATTTCTCTAGAGATTGCCGGAACAAATTTTCAAAAGATGGAACTGTTCTCGAGAAACATGAAATTTACTGGAACCACTAGAATCAGTTTTTGCAATTCTCAACTTGAAATAAGCGTTACAGCTGAATGAAAACGAATTTAAAAAAATCTGTTCCGGCAATTTATAGATATAAGTTTTTGCTTTATTTCAAAATAAATCCCGCCATTATTTGTGCTACCATTCGCGGGGAAAATGTTCCGCGCCAAAAGCCCTGTTTTTAGTAGTATTTGGCGGATAACTTTTTATTTACAAAAATTCATTGGTTGAAAATTTTATGAGACTCGAGTTATATTAGTTCTCAAATTTCCTGAAATTTTCGTACACATCCGTTGTACCGTTCAAAAGATCGATTTCTGAGGGGGGGTTCCCCCTTAAATAATCTCTATTTTTAGGCAACTCAAACTCTTTAGCACTTTCTTTTTTTTCTTGTTTACATATTTTTACCCTTGAACATGTGTGCACGTGGAAAGAAAAAGTGATGTCTGGTTTAACTAGTAAAATCTTTTCAAGGTCTTGACAAAAAAGAAGTGTGATTGTAATATTTTTTTCAATACGCATTGGCAAGCTGGACGATAAAATTAAAGTATATCAGGTGTTTGCATGTGCGACTGTTCTAATACTAAATGGATCAAGACGATATGTTACCTCATAAGTTACTTACAACTACCCGTTTCTACTCTCTCGTACTCTCAGCGTATGAATCAGCGCACTTGTTGATTTTCATTCTATTCTCGTCTAAATTCATGACTTGTTTTGATTTGAAGTAAAATCGAACTGTGTAGATGGGTCGAAAAATACTTTTTGGACATCACTGTCTGAATCAAAGAGGAATTGAATGAGACTATATGAAAATAATGATTTTTTCGTCGATGTAAAAGTATTGACACAGAAAGTTTTCTCTCACACACAACGGAATATTGACATTCATTAAGCCATAACTTCATTCAAAGTTTTACTTTAACTTATCAGTAAGAGTTTTGCATTTGTGAAGAGACGTAACCTGCGAGAATAGCTATCGTGGATATGCACCATCACATTCTTGTTAATTCATATAGGAGAGTTATTTATAATTAGGTACATCTATTTTTGGCATAATCGTTGCTGTTCAGCGAGATTTTCAAACATCTGAGTGTTTAGAGAAGTTTCTGACTCCACATTCTCGGCAAGAATGCGACGGAAAAATCCGGCAAATGGAAACATTCTGCTCAGGGTCAAAGATTAACCGTTCACAGATTGGCTCGTACGGCATACTGAATGATCGTCTGACAACATGTTTTTGTCAACCCTTACGATCGACCTTGATTGAACTCAGTACCAAAAATGAACAACTAAAACAACGGATGAATGCACAACAAGCTGAAATAGATAGTTTAAAAGATCAATTATCAAGTGAGTTGTGCTATCTCTTTCTTTTCATTGAAAAGTGTGATTTATAAGCGCTCCTGTTATGTATGAAACGCACTCGAATGAAACATTTCTATGTAGGCCTACTGAACAAAAAATCGAACAGTGAACTATCATCATCAGAAAAAAGTTCATATAACAATTGTCGTGATTGTCTTTACCTGACCGCTACTGGTTGTAATCCAGCCGGTTATTATCATACAACTTATGAATTCGACGATAAAGGAATAAAACATGGTGTTTCGATTTCTTATTGTAAATGCCGTTGTCCTAAATAGCGATTGTATGAAACATGTTCGTGTTAACATAGTACTTGCAAGGTGTAAAGATTTACACAACTTCATTATGACTCATTTGTTTTAAATTTTTCTGACATATTTTATTCTTAATATTGATCAATGTACTATGTTGCGAACGAAAACATCGAAATGCTCTCTTTACTGACAACAGAGGGTGTCACATATCAGAATAAAAAATACCACGGGTTTCGGATTAGACATTTCTATATGTGTTGCCATCTTTGATATGTAAAGATAATGTTTAACCTAAATACTTCGATAGATTCAAAATAATCGCTGCTCCTTTTGCAAAGCTTAATAGTATATATGTATAGGTTTGTTAGTTTCTTTTTTTAAGTTCTTTGAATAATTCCCACACGTCCAGTGCGCAAATTAAAAGGTATTATTGACTGCCGACGCTTTCTAATTCCAAAAAGTTTCTTCATCTTGGTGTCAAGTTCATGTGTTGCGAAACAGCAGATAAATGGAAAGAAAAAAATCAATTGAATAGAAAAATAAGTAAGATGAGTCATTAGTTTGATGAATACAGGTGAACTCATACCACATATTACCAGTGTTCTGACTATTGATCGCGGAACGTTGAAAATGAAATAGAGTATTGATATGGACAATAACTGAATTGTCATCTTACGCTGTTGTCGCCAACGGATTGGACAATTCAAACGATGCTTTTGCAGTAAAACTCGAATGAGAAGACCGACGCTGAAGGTTACTATAACGAATGTTGGTATTATTTGGTGACAAATTGAGTCATACGTTCCCAAAACCGGCAAGTTGAAACTGCAAATAATCGGAACACCATTTATTGGTGACAACAGAGTTGTTTTCTGACAGGGTGAAAGAAAGACGACGTAAAACCAATACGCGTAGCAATAGGTCAGGATTAGCATGAAAGGTAGATAATGCATGAAGAAACGTTGTCTTTTTGTCGTCATCCAATGATGATGAAAGACAAGGATATGCCGCTCAATCGTCGCCCAAGCGAAACCTATCAATACTGATACGAAAGATGAGTTGTCGATGAATATCCAAAAATTGGTGAAATCAAGTGTAATATGCCAAGAATATCCAACAAGAAAGAAATGAAGCATGAATGGGACAGTGGTCAACTGATAAATCAATCCAACGCATAGAAGAATAATTATAAAATGGTTGTGTGGAGCTCGACGAAGTGTTCGCTTAGATAGAATATAGCACAGTATAAACAGAGCACATGACACCGATAGAATATCTAGTATAAGATAATTCCAAAATCGAACAGAGACAGGAATAACTATGTCATAAGGTGCCATCAATGTCGCCATTTGTTGATCGTTTAAATTGAGGGTGCTCGTCATCGTGGTAAAGAATATTGTTAGCGATTGTTGTTTCACTAATGATCTGTAATAGAAAAAAAAATGCACCGGTAGAGGCAACACAAGTATATAAAAGAACATGTTGACCTACAAAGCTGTTTTACCGTGATTCTATATAAGTAATGCATCTGTGTGGTTTTTACAGAAAAAGTGGAATTAGAGAGAGAATCTTCGTCGAAGAGTGACATTTCTTGTTTATTCTTATGCGTGGTAGCCTGATTCAATAAACTCAAGATATTCCGGATGTCAGCGCTTCTTTTGAACATATATTTTAATCAGTAAAGTGGATGAAGCAGGTACTTTGCCCTTTGCAAAGACATGAGGAGAAACAAAGAAATTTTAAAATAGATCCTCCTGTAATAGCTTGAAAGTTCCTAGTAACCGATTGTTTGTGAGATAGTAAAGTTGATTTTCAATCGAGCTATGGTCTTACTCTTTCACGATGTTTTATTAAATGGTAACAAAATTTCTTGGATTTCAAGCAGGATTAACACGAAATCAAGATTGTCACGTTTTACACGTCACTCGTATTTGGGGTAAAACGATAAATTCATTACTCGGATAGCTCGTTGGCGTGAAATCTATTAATTCTTTAACGATCGTGTCAGACGTTTATCTTTTACAACCATTTGAAAAACCATACAAGGGGAGCGAATCCAGTGAAGTTCTTCTATTTCCGGAAAATTCTTATTCTCTTGTCGAAATTTCCACTTTGTCAGAAACATCTCAAGCACGGAGAATATGTTCTCTCTGGTGTAAGATAACGAGTGTTAGTTAATCTTTTCGAAATAATTATCTTTTGAGAGTTGTTTGAAACCTTCTAAGTCAGGAATTTACGTTGAAAGACATGAAACATCAAACTATCTGTATCATACGTTTCAAGAGATCTGAGTCTTTCCTTTCTAAAATGGAGATCATTACTGTTTAATACATTTATCGGCACTGAATAATCCGAACGATTCTCATTAGATTTGTTCTGGAGACAATGATATTCACGGCGGGGTATTACAACTACGTTGAATTCGCTTCAAACCATTGGCCTGAAACAAAATTCCGAAAATCATTAATAATACTTACAAGAAGAAACTCTATTGAAAGATAGTCTTTATAAGAGATCGAGAAATTTAGCGTTTCTTAGCGCACGGCTCCTTGTTATTCTAAGATCTCATTTCTGTCAGAGCATCTGACGACGCCTTCGTTGGTATATGAGTGAAAGCTCTAATTTGACAGTGTTTCGAGGTCCATACGTCGTATCGAAGTTATTTCTAACAATTAAATAGATAAATGAGGTTGTATTTCAGCAATTGGTCATCATTTATTATCGCTAGTTAAAGAATTGCGGCAACGAGAACCACATAGCATTTGTGCTTATTTACATCTCTTTGTAATCGCATTTCAGCATCCCTTGCCCACCAGTGAAAAGCTGACTTCGGCACAGCAGATACACGATCGCGGTTGTTTCTTCGGGCAAAAGCAAAGTTCTCCATGTCAGTCAAAATGAAAATGTCTAAGGACAAGTGTTATTCATAGGATAAGACGACCTAGATACCTCCAAACTTTCATTAAAAATAGTGTCAATTTTTCGATGAGAATCTTCTTCGACACTTCATATCTTTCGCCATAAGATGATTCTTAACCCTTTAGAGGCCGGAAACACACATGTGCGTCTTTTGTACTAATTCCTTCAGAAATAATTAAATATAAATAGATTCGATATTCAATATCCTTCTGTATGCGTAAAGTCATATTAACAATCTACTTCAGTAAAAATCTGAACAATTTTTCGACTTTTTTCCATAGCGTAATTGTGTCGAAAAAACATACATGCACTCAATATATTCGGCTACAAGACTCACATTTTCCTATCAGGCTGCGTATATCTTTATGAATTCCCCACAGCTTGATGGCATCAAAATACACTGATGAGATGCTAATTCACTAGCGCAGCAGGATGATATTCATTTCCGTATAAATCTTGAGATTGCATTACACTGTCACCTTAAGTTCAATAGTCTAACGTCTTTCCTTTCTCATTTTTATTTTCCATTACACCGATCAAAGAGCACACCATGGCATTGTCAAAGACTGGATTTCTTTGGTTACATATCATTCCGTTGATCCCATCGCTTCTGCTCACCCTCTTTATTCTCTATCACCTTCTCAAAAGTCGACCACTTCGTTCAGCATTGAACAATCATGTCATTATTCTCATGCTTCTATTTGGTCTTGTTGTCGAACTCACAGACGTCGTCTGGTTTATTGCATTTTATCACAATGGCATCGCTCTNCAGCGCTCTTTGCTCATGAGCAATTTCGCGTCTATCTATTCGATTCAATCACTGTTCCAACACCGATGATTTCCTTTGCAGTTAAAAAACTAAAATGCCAGGCGGGTATTGTTGTTACCGCTAGTCACAATCCAAAAGAAGATAATGGATACAAAGTCTATTGGAACAATGGAGCTCAGATCATCTCACCTGTTGATGTGAAAATAGCCGAAGAAATTGAGAAGAATTTAGAACCATGGAAAGATAAAGCCTGGCAATTAGATATACTCGATAAAAATAAATCTAAACTCGTCTCCGATCCCATTGATGAGGTATGTGATATGTACATGTCAGAGTTATCAAAATTAATTCATTTTCCGGAAATCAATGCGACCGTACCGTTAAAATTTGCTTATACGCCAGTACATGGTGTCGGTCAACCGTATGCCGAACGTGCTTTTGCAACGTTTAAATTTCCACCGTTTATTTCTGTTCAAAAACAAAGTGCGCCAGATCCTGAGTTTCCTACCGTCAAATTTCCCAACCCCGAAGAAGGCAAAGAAACATTGGCATGCGCTATCCAAACAGCTAATGAGCAAAATGTAGACTTTATCTTAGCCACAGATCCGGATGCTGATCGGTTTGCATTAGCAGAAAGAGATCCACGAGAGAACAGTGAAACTGGTTGGAGAATATTCACTGGTAATCAGCTCGGAGCTTTACTTGGTAAGTTTCTATTCGATGAGTTTGATTGACTACTAGTGATGACTATAGGCTGGTATCAGTGGTTCACATGGCGCAATCGAAATCCTACAGTTGATGTCAAGGATGTTTATATGATTTATTCAACTGTTTCATCTCATATTCTGAAATCGATTGCAGAAGTTGAGGGGTTTAATACAATTGAAACATTAACTGGATTTAAATGGATAGGAAATAAAGCTCATGAGTTACTCAATGACAAGAAGCATGTCTTATTTGCTTTTGAAGAATCGATGTGAGTCTAACAAGGATCGTCTTTTTGCGATAATGATAACATGGTTCTTTTAGCGGTTTCATGTGTGATGCACATAACGTTTTGGATAAAGATGGCATTTCAGCTATGTGTGTTGGCGCGGAAATGTGTGCGTACTTAAAGTCCATTGGACGAACATTACATCAACAACTACGCGAAGTATCCATTCTCTACGGTTATCACATTAATAGTAATTCCTATGTTACATGTAATCAAACCGATGTTATGTTGAAAATTTTCGATCGTCTTCGTCATTTTGATAAAAATGATTCTGAGGTGAGTTAATTACTTGATATTTCGTTGTTAATCATCAAATTATAGAACAGTCCTGTTGGTCGTACCAAGGAAAAAGATTCCGAACAAAAAACGCTCGTACAGTACTCCAATAAACTGAAGTCTCACATCGGTGATGATGAAAATGAAGCTGTTGATAAGAAAAAGAAAGAAGAAAGTTATGTTTACCCGAAGAATTGCGGACATTATACAATCGTAGGTATTCGTGATTTAACTGTTGGAATTGAAGTTGATTTTCGTGATGGTGGGAAAGACAAAAAGCCGGTGCTTCCATGTTCATCTGCCAATCAAATGATTACGTTTTATTTTGATAATGGATGTGAAATGACTCTTCGAGCTAGTGGAACTGAACCGAAAATCAAATGGTATTCAGAAATTCGAAAGAAACGAGAAAATGCCGAACCGACGAATGAAAATCNAAACTAAAATGCCAGGCGGGTATTGTTGTTACCGCTAGTCACAATCCAAAAGAAGATAATGGATACAAAGTCTATTGGAACAATGGAGCTCAGATCATCTCACCTGTTGATGTGAAAATAGCCGAGGAAATTGAGAAGAATCTAGAACCATGGGAAGGTAAAGCTTGGCAATTAGATATACTCGATAAAAACAAATCTGAACTCGTCTCCGATCCCATTGATGAAGTATGTGATATGTACATGTCAGAGTTATCAAAATTAATTCATTTTCCGGAAATCAATGCGACAGTACCGTTAAAATTTGCTTATACGCCGGTACATGGTGTCGGTCAACCGTATGCCGAACGTGCTTTTGCAACGTTTAGATTTCCACCGTTTATTTCTGTTCAAAAACAAAGTGCGCCCGATCCTGAGTTTCCTACCGTCAAATTTCCCAATCCCGAAGAAGGCAAAGAAACATTGGCATGCGCTATCCAAACAGCTAATGAGCAAAATGTTGATTTTATCTTAGCCACAGATCCGGATGCCGATCGGTTTGCATTAGCAGAAAGAGATCCACGAGAGGATAGTGAAACTGGTTGGAGAATATTCACTGGTAATCAGCTTGGAGCTTTGCTTGGTAAGTTTCTATTCAAAGAGTTTGGTTGACTACTAGTGATGACTATAGGTTGGTATCAGTGGTTCACATGGCGCAATCGAAATCCTACAGTTGATGTCAAGGATGTTTATATGCTTTATTCAACTGTTTCATCTCATATTCTGAAATCGATTGCAAAAGTTGAGGGGTTTAATACAATTGAGACATTAACTGGATTCAAATGGATAGGAAATAAAGCTCATGAGTTACTCAATGATAGGAAGCATGTCTTATTTGCTTTTGAAGAATCGATGTGAGTCTAATAAGGATCTTCTTTTCACCATAATGATAACATGATTCTTTTAGCGGTTTCATGTGTGATGCGCATAACGTTTTGGATAAGGATGGCATTTCAGCTATGTGTGTTGGTGCAGAAATGTGTGCGTACTTAAAGTCCATTGGACGAACATTACATCAACAATTACGCGAAGTATCTATTCTCTACGGTTATCACATTAATAACAATTCCTATGTTACATGTAATCAAACGGATGTTATGTTGAAAATTTTCAATCGTCTTCGTCATTTCGATCAAAATGATTCTCAAGTGAGTTAATTACTTGATATTTCGTTGTTAATCATCAAATTATAGAACAGTCCTGTTGGTCGTACCAAGGAAAGAGATTCCGAACAAAAAACACTCGTCCAGTATTCCAATAAACTGAAGTCTCACATCGGTGATGATGAAAATGAAGCTGTTGATAAGAAAAAGAAAGACGAAAGTTATGTTTACCCGAAGAATTGCGGACATTATACAATCGTAGGCATTCGTGATTTAACTGTTGGAATTGAAGTTGATTTTCGTGATGGTGGGAAAGACAAAAAGCCGGTGCTTCCATGTTCATCTGCCAATCAAATGATTACGTTTTATTTTGATAATGGATGTGAAATGACTCTTCGAGCTAGTGGAACTGAACCGAAAATCAAATGGTATTCAGAAATTCGAAAGAAACGAGAAAATGCCGAACCGACGAATGAAAATCCGATGATAGATGATGAAAACTTTCGACAAGAAACGAGAAAAGAACTCGAAGATTTAGTTGACATGGTTGTCAAAGAATTTCTCCAACCAGAAAAGAATCATCTCGGCGAACGAGAAACTTCGCGAAAATAACAACACATCTCTTTTTCGTTTCAAATAAAATATTCAAGCCAAAACGTATACACCTTCTCTTTTTCTCTTACGTTCTTTACAACGTGTGTTGAAGGAGTAATGTATATACATATCCTATCGTTTCCTTAGTAAATTTTATTCGCACTTAATAACCTGCTTTAACGCTTACGATGTCCTCGTCATCGGACGTACTTACAGGGCGTTGCTGCTGTGGTGATGTGAAAGCGAAAATTAGTCGTTAATCCTTAGCAGATAAATCAAACGAAGTTATGTTATGCCATTGCTCGAATTGTCAACGTGCTGGTGGTGGATTAGGATCAATGGATTGCATGTTATCTGACGACAACGTTGTTATCATTAATGATAAATCGCCAATACCGAAATATGAAGATATGGATATGAAATCGAAAGGTGCAGTCGAACGGCACGTTTGTAGTAGATATGGTAGTCCGATTTACTACAAGGCTCCGAAAAATAATCTAAGAATGACGATAATTAAATTGAGCTTGTTTGCTGAAGAATTGAACGAATTATTATGTCCATAGAAAGAAATCTTTTAATGTAACGAAATGAACAAATGGAAGAAGAAGATCGATGGTGCAAAGGATTATGATGAAAGTGTCGTCTAAACATCATCAAGTGGAAAATTGAGATTAACTTTGAATTCTTGATGTTACAGAGACTTGTTTTGTTTTACATTTTAGAATAAAACGCATAATGAACTTCAGTTGCAATATAAATTATCGTGTTCTTCGTCTGATGACTATACGTGCATTGATATGGTCGATATTTATTGTAGTACTCGCAGAATTGCAATCACAATACGACTTTCCTTCTGAATATCCATAAACATCATTCAGAAAACGTGTGTCCATAATTTGTAATTCGTTTATTAAGCACGTATCAGCACATTGCAAAAAGACATCTATCGTATCGTCGCGAGTTCGTCGAGAGATGATACAATCAATGAGTTTCAAACTCTTCGAAAATCAGGCCATTTTCGCTGATAAATCGACCGGAATAGAATTGTGGTGCTTGAAATATAGATACTCCTGTTCATCCATGGTTATTCCTGGCAGTAGAAAGATCATTCATTCATTCTTAATTGACAGAAACAGTGTTAAGTACCCACAGAACGAAATTTGTAGCCGATCTCACCGAATATTTGATGATTAATCGGAATTTGTGAATAAGTTGAATTGTTGGTGATTTAACACTCGTGGTTTGTGTAATATATATCAATGATGTGAAGAGAAGAAGACTGAATAATCGCATTATACGATATATTTCGGTAAAAACGATTAATACGCAACACTTCTCGTAAGAGAGGTCTTGTTCCGTGACATAATGGATTCGAATATACTAAGATAGACGCACTTGCGTGGCTGAATGTATTTAAGGACTCTTTTATAACTATCTCAGTCATTTCTTAGTAAAACAAAGTGAACTAAATTCAACAACACGAAACTAAACTAAGACGTGTTTATTTTTACAACTTAATTATTTAATTGTTAGTACATCATTGCTGTCCGTTAGATTGTAACCATTCTATTGATTATTATTTTCAATATTAACTTATTTGATCGACTCCCTCACAATAGGAAACATATCATCATACACGGCATGATTGTGAATATCTGGTTTCATGTAACATTATGACCTCATTTAGTCTTTTGTTTTCACCCATAGTTTCAACACTTTCTATCACGGTTTTTTTTGTTTGAGTACATGAACAAGGAGAAAAAAGACCAATTGAGACCAACGAGAATTGTTAACGTCATTCCTGTTCTTTCTTTCACTTAGCAACTGATTGTGAACGGCGGGTCTGTGGCAAACAATTTTGAAAGTGTTTTAACCCTGTTTGTGTGGAAATGATGGAGATGTGGAAAAAAAGTTTTCTAAAAAAATAGAAGAGAAACAGAGAATGTTTAAATAAAAAAAGTCTCGCATTAGGAAGGAGGAAGTGAAACCAACAGTTTTGCTTTTACCAACGTACTCATCTTGTATATAAAAAATGCTTGATTCTCGAAAAACGTTTCCGACGATAGACAAAGAAAAAGATGTTCGATCCATAGTTCCTTACGACCAATCAATACAAAAGTCTGCCGAAGATTTACTTTTTCAAGTAAGATGCACACAGAAAGATTTTTGAGCATATGAACTATGTTTTAACTCGATAGGCAGCTCGTGAAAGTGATGAAGAAAAGGCAAAAGAGAAATGGAAGAAATTCCGCCAACAAATCGAAGATGAAAATTCATCTAGCAATCAAGTGAAAACTTTGATAAATAGTTTGGATAATCATAAACGATGGGCTCCGCTGCATTATGCTGTCGAAGCGAACAATAAGTATGTATTTCAGCAATTAACTTCTGGTAACAAAACCTATCGCAGTGGTATGCATGCAGTATACCAGATAGCAAATTCATGCTCGTTTGTATTTAGATATTAACATCAACGGAGGAAATGGAGAAAATGTATTACATATAGCTGCTGAATCAGACAAAATCTGGACGAATGTAAGATTTAGATGTGAAAAATAATGTTCGCGACTCATTCTGTGTAGAAGAGTAATACTGTCCACGAAAATGCATCGGAAATCTTAACACTGGATTCGGCTGTTGAACAGACTCTATGTAATTTGCCTGATATTGTTCAAAACATGCTCAATCTTAGAGCTGATGTTAATGATCGAGATATCGAAGGTCGAACACCATTGCATCTTGCCGTACAAAACAGTCGTTATGAATATGCCAGAGCACTTATCAAACTCGGAGCTGAGATTCTGGTAAAGTATTCACACATATTCTGTAGAAAAGTGAAAAGAATAGTCATGTTCGAATTTTTTGAAGACAACTTCAATGTTCAAAGAAAGTGTTCTTCATTGTATGTTCTCATCGAGTCAGACAAACAGTCAAAAGTTAGAAGAACTAATCGATGATATACTATCTCGACTCGATGATACACAGAAGCAAAAATTTATCCAAATGACAACTCTTGACAATCATAATGCACTTGGCTATGCTCTTTGCAATTCAGCAGTTAATGAAAGTATTCTTTTCAAGCTGTTTATCGATAAGAATCATATTCCTGACAACCAATTGCTTGTTGCATTTGACACACTGGCGCATCATGCTCAGGATCTAACGGAAGATATGAAATATAATCTGACTTCACTTTTGAATAAGATGAACATCAAACATCATACGATGTTCGAACATTTGCCTCACATTTTATGCCGACATAACAATTCATCACTGCTGACGTGGTTTCATGACGAATTCATTAAGGTATTTTTTCAAATACTGCCCATGTAGAAAACTATATTGATCTGTCACAGATAAATCTTCGAAATAGTGTGCGACCCGTAGATTTTAACAGGTTCGATTCAGGCGGTTATACTTTACTGCTCACTGCTGTCTTTTACAATGCAAAAGATTGTGTCGATGTCATACTGAAACAGGCAGTAAGTAATCGAAATACTAAACATAGAAAAGAGTATCATTTGTCTAATTCCTTCTAGAGTTATAGTCGTCAATACTTAAGTGCGAGAAATAATAATGACGAAAATGTGTTGCATCTTTGTGCTAAACATAGTGTTCATGATGACTTGTTCAATATCATTTGGAACACGTTATCTGATGTTTACCAGGAAAAGATGGAGTTAGTTTTGCAGAGAGATATCGAAGAAAAGACACCACTACAAGTAGCGGCCCGATTTGCTAACGAAAACATGTGCCAACATTTATCAAATTACGCTCCATTAACGGATGACTTCAAACGCGAAGCCGCTCGTGAAGCCAGTGCAGCCGGCCATTTGAATATTTTAGAAATTATCTTCGCATATGACAAGGAAACCAAACAGTCTAGGTTGCAACCTGCGAAAATACAAAACATATCGAGAACCGGCGATAAATACGAGCATACTTGTCTCCATTTTGCGGCTGAAAAAGGTAAGGTGTAGAATTCTTCATCTTTGGCATGATTGAAATAGATTGTCTTCTTCAAGGTTATGATGATATTGTTAAGTTTTTTCTTGCAACAACGACAATCCAAGTAGATTGTCTAGACAAACGCCGTCGAACGCCGTTACATTTGGCATGTGAGAACGGACACATAAAAGTTGTTCAGTTACTACTTCAAGCCAATGCATCCACAACATTACGAAACGCTCATGTTTATAATTGTTTAGAGATTGCTATAACACATCAGCGAAAAGATATCGTCCAAGAGCTCTTCAAACATTCAGCATGGAAGGAAATGATGCGCAATGCTCAACCCATCGAAAACACCGAAGCGTTTGATACGCCCATGCGAAAATTGATTCGTTATATGCCTGACATGGCCGTCTGGTTGATTAACAATAAGTTTACTCGAATTGTCGGTGGGCCGGGAGAAAAGGTTTATAAAACAATCTATGATTACGAGTTCTATGAAGACATGTTCAAAGTTAAACACTGGTACTCTCCAAGTATGACAATCCTAGACATGTTCATCTATTCGATATCTAGTGTCTGTATAGATCCTGATTCGAACTTCGAGCTTCCAACATGCACTAGTTTATGGCGTACTCGTGGTGTTGAAGCCATTCACACATGCTGGTGTTGTTGTCATCCTACAGGTTTCGAAGGCTGTTGCGGCTACAGAAACAGAAGAGTGGACAAGGAAGAGTGCTATACAAATGATGCATATACGCTTGTACGAAATCATCCTCTCTTCATTGTCTCTCAACAAACGCATTCACCCGAGCTCGTTCAGCACTTCTATCACACGCATTTACGTCAAGTCAAACTTCGTTCATTTGGCCTTGTTTTCTTTATTTTTTCATATNGTCAAAGAATTTCTCCAACCAGAAAAGAATCATCTCGGCGAACGAGAAACTTCGCGAAAATAACAACACATCTCTTTTTCGTTTCAAATAAAATATTCAAGCCAAAACGTATACACCTTCTATTTTTCTCTTACGTTCTTTACAACGTGTGTTGACGGAGTAATGTATATATATATCCTATCGTTTTCATAGTAAATTTTTATTCGCACTTAATAACCTGCTTTAACACTTACGATGTCCTCGTCATTGGACGAATGTCATTGCTCGAATTGTTAACGTGCTGGTGGTGGATTAGGGTCGATGGACTGCATGTTATCTGATGACAAAGTTTTTATCATTAATGATAAATCGCTAATACCGAAACATGAAGATATGGATATGAAATCGAAAGCTGCAGTCGAATAGTACTTTTGTAGTAGATATATGGTAGTCCGATTTACTACAAGGCTCCGAAAAGTAATCTAGGAATTACGATGATTATAAAATGAGCTTGTTTGCTGAAGAATTGAACGAATTATTACGTCCACAGAAAGAAATAAGTAGAAAGTTGAGATTAACTTTGAATTCTTGCTGTTACAGAGACTTTTGTCTTATTTCAAATTTTGGAATAAAAGGCATGATGAACTTCAGTTGCAATATAAATTATCGTGTTCTTTGTCGCGATCACTACATATACGTGCATTGGTGTGGTCGATATTCATTGTAATACTCGCAGAATTGCAATCGCAATACGGCTTTCGTTCTGAATATTCATAAACACCATTCAGAAAACGTGTGTCCAATCTGTAATTCGTTTATTAAGCGCGTAGCAGTGCATTGCAAAAAGACATCTATCGTATCGTCGCGAGTTCGTCGAGAGATAATACAGTCATCCTTAATTGACAGAAACAGTGTTAAGTACATACAAAACGAAATTTTAGTCGATCTCGCCGAATATTTCATGGCTAATCGAAATTTGTGAATACGTTGAATTGTTGGTGATTTAACACTCGTTGTTCGTGTAGTATATATCAATGATGTGAAGAGAAGAAGAATGAATAATCGCATTATACGATATATTTCGGTAAAAACGATTAGTACGCAACACTTATCACAAGAGAGGTCTTGTTCCGTAACATTCTTAAGAATAAATATCTCAATCATTTCTTAGCAAAACAAAGTGAACTAAATTCAGTGACACGAAACTAAAACAAGGCGTGTTTATTTTTACAACTTAATGAGCTGATTGTTAGTACATCATTGCCGTCCGTTATATTGTAACCATTCTATTGATTATTACCTTCAATATTAATTTATTTGCTCGACTCTCTCACAATAGAAAACATATCATCATATAGAGTAGGATCGTGAATATCTGGTTTCACGTAACATTATGACCTCATTTAGTCTGTTGTTTTCACTCATAGTTGCAACACTTTCTATGACGGTTTTTTGTTTGAGTACATGAACAAGGCGAAAAAAGACCAATTGAGACGAACGAGAATTGTTAACGTCATTCTTATTCTTTCTTTCACCTAGTTACTGGTTGATAGCGGCGGGTCTGTGGCAAACAATTTTGAAAGTGTTTTAACCCAGTTTGTGTGGAAATGATGGAGATGCGGAAAAAAGTTTTCTCAAAAATAGAAGAGAAACAGAGAATGTTTAAATAAAAAAGTCTCGCATTAGGAAGAAGGAAGTGAAACCAATAGTTTTGTTTTTACAAACGTACTCATCTTGTATGCAAAAAATGCTTGATTGTCGAAAAACGTTTCCGACGATAAACAAAGAAAAAGAACTTCGATCCATAGTTCCCTACGATCAATCAATGCAAAAGTCTGCCGAAGATTTACTTTTTCAAGTAAGATGCACACAGAAAGATCTTTGAGCATATGAACTATGTTAACTCGATAGGCAGCCCGTGAAAGTGATGAAGAAAAGGCAAAAGAGAAATGGAAGAGATTTCGTCAACAAATCGAAGATGAAAATTCATCAAGCAATCAAGTGAAAACTTTGATAAATAGTTTGGATAATCATAAACGATGGGCTCCGCTGCATTATGCTGTCGAAGCGAACAATATGTATGTATTCCAGCAATTAACTTCTGGTAACAAAATCTATCGCAGTGGTATGCATACAGTACACCAGATGGCAAATTCATGATTGTTTCTATTTAGACATTAACATCAACGGAGGAAATGGAGAAAATGTATTACATATAGCTGCTGAATCAGACAAAATCTGGACAACTGTAAGATTTGGATGTGAAAAATAGCTTTTGCGATTTATTCTGTGTAGAAGAGTAATACTGTCCACGAAAATGCATCGGAAATCTTAACACTGGATTCGGCTGTTAACCAGACTCTATGTAATTTGCCTGGTATTGTTCAAAACATGCTCAATCTTAGAGCAGACGTTAATGATCGAGATATCGAAGGTCGAACACCATTGCATCTTGCCGTACAAAACAGTCGTTATGAATATGCCAGAGCACTCATCAAATTCGGAGCTGACATTCTGGTAAAGTATTCAGGTATATTCTGTAGAAAAGAATAGTCATGGTCGAATTTTTTGAAGACAACTTCGATGTTCAAAGAAAGCGTTCTTCATTGTATGTTCTCATCGAGTCAGACGAACAGTCAAAAGTTAGAAGAACTAATCGATGACATACTATCTCGACTCGATGATACACAGAAGCAAAAACTTATCCAAATGACAACTCTTGACAATCATAATGCACTTGGCTATGCTCTTTGCAATTCAACAGTTAACGGAAGTATTCTTTTCAAGCTGTTTATCAATCAGAATCATATTACTGACAACCAATTGCTTGTTGCATTTGACACACTGGCGCATCATGCTCAGGATCTATCGGAAGACATGAAATATAATCTGACTTCATTTTTGAACAAGATGAACATCAAACATCATACAATGTTCGAACATTTGCCTCACATTTTATGCCGACATAACAATTCATCACTGTTGACGTGGTTTCATGACGAGTTCATTAAGGTAATTTTGTCAAATACTGCCCACGTAGAAAACTATATTGATCTGTCACAGATAAATCATTCAAATAGTGTGCGACCCGTAGATTTTAATCGGTTCGATTCGGGCGGTTATACTTTACTGCTCACTGCCGTCTTTTACAATGCGAAAGATTGTGTCGATGTCATACTGAAGCAGGCAGTAAGTAATCGAAATACTAAACATAGAAACGAGTGTCATTTGTCTAATTTCTTCTAGAGTTATAGTCATCAATACTTAAATGCGAGAAATAATAATGACGAAAATGTGTTGCATCTTTGTGCTAAACGTAGTGTTCATGATGACTTGTTCAATATCATTTGGAACACGTTATCTGATGTTTACCAGGAAAAAATGGATTTAGTTTTGCAGAGAGATATCGAAGAAAAGACGCCACTACAAGTAGCGGCCCGATTTGCTAACGAAAACATGTGCCAACATTTATTAAATTACTCTCCATTAACGGATAACTTCAAACGCGAAGCCGCTCGTGAAGCCAGTGCAGCAGGCCATTTGAATATTTTAGAAGTTATCTTCGCATATGACAAGGAAACCAAACAGTCTAGGTTGCAACCAGCGAAAATACAAAACATATCGAGAACCGGCGATAAATACGAGCATACTTGTCTCCATTTAGCAGCTGGAAAAGGTAAGGTGTAGAATTCTTCATCTTTGACATGATTGAAATCGACTGTCTTCGTCAAGGTTATGATGATATTGTTAAGTTTTTTCTCGCAACAACGCCAATCCAAGTAGATTGTCTAGACAAACGCCGTCGAACGCCGTTACATTTGGCATGTGAGAACGGACACATAAAAGTTGTTCAGTTGCTACTTCAAGCCAATGCATCCACAACATTACGAAACGCTCACATTTATAATTGTTTAGAGATTGCTATAACTCATCACCGAAAAGACATCGTACAAGAACTTTTCAAACATTCCTCATGGAAGGAAATGATGCGCAATGCTCAACCCATCGAAAACACCGAAGCGTTTGATACGCCCATGCGAAAATTGATTCGTTATATGCCTGACATGGCCGTCTGGTTGATCAACAATAAGTTTACTCGAATTGTCGGCGGACCGGGAGAAAAAGTTTATAAAACAATCTATGATTACGAGTTCTACGAAGACATGTTCAAAGTTAAACACTGGTACTCTCCAAGTATGACGATCCTAGACATGTTCATCTATCAGATATCTAGTTTCTGTATAGATCCTGATTCGAACTTCGAGCCTCCAACATGCGCTAGTCTATGGCGTACTCGTGGTGTTGAAGCCATTCACACATGCTGGTGTTGCTGTCATCCTACAGGTCTCGAAGACTGTTGCGGGTACAGAAACAGAAGAGTGGACAAGGAAGAGTGCTATACAAATGATGCGTATACACTTGTATGAAATCATCCTCTCTTCATCGTCTCTCAACAGACGCATTCACCCGAGCTCGTTCAGCACTTCTATCACACGCATTTACGTCAAGTCAAACTTCGTTCATTTGGCCTTGTTTTCTTTATTTTTTCATATTTTTTATACACGGCCTACATAGGTTTATATACTTCATTTATACTGAAGGGAAAACACCCAAAATACTTCTACGATCAAGCACAAGTCAATTTAACACTCGAGTTATCGACATGCGAATATGTTAGTAACTATATCGTCAATAATGCACATGTCAACAATGAAGGGTTGAAAAGTGAAACATATAAAAGAATAAAATGGACACTCTACATTATTCTAATTATATTCACTTTCAAAAATTTGATCTGTATTGCAGCATTATTTCCAAAAGTACTTCGCATTGGAGGATCGTATGTCGAAATGTCAGCCTTAGTTCTGTCGTACATTTATATCCTTGACTGGAAAGATTGGCAAAATGACGTGACATTACGATGTCCACTTCAATATCAAATAGGTGCGATGGGTCTTCTCATAAGTTATATCAATGTGCTTGCTTATGTACGAACTAGTCCAGCGCTGGATATGGGCATCTATATTGTCATGTTGCAAGTTATCTCAACGAAGTTTCTTCGATTTCTACCAATTTTCCTTACAATTGTTTGTGGATTTGGTTTGACTTACTGGATGTTATTGCAATATCAACCTGTCTATGGTACGCCCATGGAAGCTTTGTTGCGAACTGGCTTAATGCTCTTCGACTTGGGCTATGAAGATCGATTGTACGACGCAGAAAATGGAGGTATCGGCTACTATAAATTAGTCTATGTCATTTTTGCACTAACGGCTATTGGTTGTTCAATATTTGTCATCAATTTACTGATTGGTGAGATCATTTTCGATAAGAAGAAGAAATATCATAAATGATTAATTTAATTGCATTTCAGGACTTGCTGTAGGAGAAATTCCAACATTGATGACACAAGGAACTTTGTGGCGAATTAGTATACTTTTTAATCTTGTTTCTGACTATGAAATGTTACGTGTTCGATTGGTACACGCATTTGATTGTGTCACATGCCATAAACTTCGTCACTGGCGACTTATGGGTTTTCGTCCTCGACCATATTATACTTTGGAGAAAGACGAATTGAAGAGTCCAATGGGATTGCTGGGCAAAGTATGCAACTATACAGAAAAACATTTTTTCAAGGAACAAATCCAAGATAACATAAAACCATCGTTTCAGTTACATGACGAAAAAGATTGAAAACGTGTACAAAGACATGAAGCGGTATAGCATTTTCCCTGTTGACCCATGTAGTCGCAGCTCCTTCCTTCGTTTTCTATCCTGTTTGGTGAGAAAAGCACTGCAATATATCGTGTTTTTTCTTAATCGAATCTCACACTTTGAAGATTTCTATGTAATTTAAAAGGGGTGAAATCAAGTGAAATGAAAAGAAATCACCTCAAACCTTGAATACACATGCATAAAATATAGTGACTTCTCTTGATTTCTGACTAGCTATCAATTTTTATTCAACTGTGAAAGAAAAGACAAAGTTATTTTTGACAGTGCAGATTGTTCCTAGAAAGCATCAAGTGTATAAATCAGCGATCTCGACGAGACGCGAGACAAATTTGACATAGTTTCAACTTGGTGATTTACGTCTTCTCAACATGGATCTTTAGGGAAGCTTTTCTCTGGAAAACAACCAAACTGAGTACGTAAGTAAAATTTGCAAGTGCTCCCAAAGTTCTACTACCAATATGCCATGAATATCTCTAACTGATGTTAATCAGGTAGACTTCACCATCAAGGAAATATGAACTTGTATTCTACATGAGATCCTTCTAATGAACAAAACATGGCTGGATGAGAATGCACCTGTTTTCCGATGATGAATACCTTTCTTCGCTTTTAAGTGTAGTTAATCGAACAAAAGGCCAAGCTTCTTCTTTCACCCGTCACAATCTGGGAAGCAGTACATCGACAGACGTCAGTCAATTGTGTGTGGTTCAGGGAAATGTGATGAATATTGATTAGTCATATGTTTTCATAAGAAAAAGCAATGGATGGTAAGCCATTTGAGAAAGATGCAGAAGTAAATGAGTTTTGATTCTTCCAAACAAACTTTGGATAAAATGTTTCATTATGATATTCTCGTAGATGTAAGTCGTACTTCGACAAAATATCACGATGGTTGCATTTATCATAATCACATACCAGTGAATTACTTGCAAATGTTGTGTCATAGCGCGAATAGAAAAGCATAGTATTTGTAAACGTCAGTTTTTCAGTCGATGAGCATTCGACGTCAGCGGTTGAACTGGGCGTCCAACTTGTGTGACATGTTTCTTCTGAAGAACACTGTTTAGTTTCACTGTCACTCACGAAGCATTCTCCNTTCTATCACACGCATTTACGTCAAGTCAAACTTCGTTCATTTGGCCTTGTTTTCTTTATTTTTTCATATTTTTTATACACGGCCTACATAGGTTTATATACTTCACTTATACTGAAGGGAAAGCACCCAAAATACTTCTACGATCAAGCACAAGTCAATTTAACACTCGAGTTATCCACATGCGAATATGTTAGTAACTATATCATCAATAATGGACATGTCAACAATGAAGGGTTGAAAAGTGAAACATATAAACGAATAAAATGGACACTCTACATTATTCTTATTATATTTACTATCAAAAATTTGATCTGTATTGCAGCATTATTTCCAAAAGTACTTCGCATTGGAGGATCGTATGTCGAAATGTCAGCCTTAGTTCTGTCATACATTTATATCCTTGACTGGAAAGATTGGCAAAATGATGTGACATTACGATGTCCACTTCAATATCAAATAGGTGCGATGGGTCTTCTCATAAGTTATATCAATGTGCTTGCCTATGTACGAACTAGTCCAGCGCTGGATATGGGCATCTATATTGTCATGTTGCAAGTTATCTCAACGAAGTTTCTTCGATTTCTACCAGTTTTCCTTACAATTGTTTGTGGATTTGGTTTGACTTATTGGATGTTATTGCAATATCAACCTGTCTATGGTACACCCATGGAAGCTTTGTTGCGAACTGGCTTCATGCTCTTCGACTTGGGCTATGAAGATCGATTGTACGACGCAGAAAATGGAGGTGTCGGCTACTATAAATTAGTCTATGTCATTTTTGCACTAACGGCTATTGGTTGTTCAATATTTGTCATCAATTTACTGATCGGTAAGATCAGTTTCGATAGAAAGAAGAAATATCAGAAATGATTCACTTAATTGCATTGCAGGACTTGCTGTAGGAGAAATTCCAACATTGATGACACAAGGAACTTTGTGGCGAATTAGTATACTTTTTAATCTTCTTTCTGACTATGAAATGTTACGTGTTCGATTGGTACACACATTTGATTGTGTCACATGCCATAAACTTCGTCACTGGCGAGTTATGGGTTTTCGTCCTCGACCATATTATACTTTGGAGAAAGACGAATTGAAGAGTCCAATGGGTTTGCTGGGCAAATTATGCAATTATACAAAAAAACATTTTTTCAAGGAACAAATCCAAAATAACATAAAACCATCGTTTCAGTTACATGGCGAAAAGGACTGAAAGCGTGTAGAAAGACATGAGGCAGTATAACATTTTCCCTATTCATCGATGTAGTCGCAGCTTCTTCCTTCTTTTTTTCTTTTCTGTTTAATTAGAAAAGCACTGCGATATATCGTGTTTTCTTAATTAGATCTCAGTGAAATGAAAAGAAGTCATCTCAAACCTTGAATACACATGCATAAAATATAGTGACTTCTCTTGATTTGTGACTAGATATCAATTTTCTCTCTCTCTGCCCTTGCCATCTTCTTGTTGTTAACGCACATATGAACGTGGAGGATGTATTATTCAACTGTAGACGAAATGACAAAGTTATTTTTGACAGCGCAGATTGTTCCTAGAAAGTCTCAAGTGTATATATCATAGATCTCGACGAGACATGAGACAAATTTGACACCATTTCAACGTGGTGACTTACGTCTTCTAAACATAGATCTTTAGGCAAGTTTTTCTTTGGAAAAACAACCAAACTGAGTATGTAGGTAAAATTTGCAGGTGCTCCCAAAGTTCTACCACCGATATGCTATGAATATCTCTAGCTGATGTTAATCAGGTAGACTTTACCGTCAAGGAAATATGAACTTGTATTCTACATGAGATTCTTCTGATGAACAAAGTATTACTGGATGAGAATGCACCTGTTTTCCGACGATGAATACCTTTCTTCGCTTTTCAGTGTAGTTAATCGAACAAAAGGTCAAGCGTTTTCTCTCGTCCATCATGCTTTGGGAATCAGTACATCGACAGACACCAGCCAATTGTGTGGTTCAGAGAAATGTGATGAATATTGATTAGTCATATGTTTTCATAAGAAAAAGCAATGAATGGTAAGCAATTTAAGAAAGATGTAGAAGTAAATGAGTTTTGGTATATTTTGAGAGTGACATGACGGCAAAGAGTTTGTTGAAAGAGAGGTAGTGGTTGTCATAGATGTTAGCGTTGCTGTAGCATTCGAATCAGTTGATTGTGTGACATAGACAGATGTTGTTTGTTCAATAGATTGATTCTTCCAAACAAACTTTCGATAAAATGTTTCATTGTGATATTCTCGTAGATGTAAGTTGTACTTGGACTAAATATCAGGATGGTTGCATTTATCATAATCACATACCAGGAAATGACTTGCAAATGTTGTGTTATAGTACGAATAGAAAAACATAGTATTTGTAAACGTCAGTTTTTTAGTCGATGATCATTCGACGTCAGCGTTTGAAATCGGCGTCCAACTAGTGTGACATGTTTCCTCTGAAGAACACTGCTTAGTTTCATTGTTACTCACAAAGCATTCTCCTAAAATGATTATCGAAATCCATAATTATCGAGAAAAACAAGGATATGTCATCGGCTTTTCGGGAGATGGGTTTCGTTTATCGCTAAACTGTGTTGAAAAAAATACAGATATGTGACTGTCAAAATTCGAAATACTCATCTCCACCGTACATGGCTTTATATGGCTAATTTCAACAGCAGAAATTCCATCGAGCTGTTCGCGAAACGTTTGTATATTAAATTTGTCTTTGGATATTGTCAAAGCATCTCCTCGCTGTAAACACCTCAGACAGTCGATAGTAGGGAAAAGAATAATAGCTGCAAAGATAATTGTCAACGCCATCGAATTCGAATGGCACTACAGACACAACTTTAGACTTGTTTTACAAAGAAATAAACGAGAATTTAATTAAATCGATTCGTCATTTTGTATATTATATGTAATAAGGTGACTTTGAAACATGTTGTCATGAAATGTTTATCATAATATCGGATTTCCATGAATACAGTTTACTTATCACACTACATCGACGTTTTCAAGAAATAGAAGAAAGTGAATGAACAACTAAGATGGGCAAGGATGTGGGTGCAGGCGAAAACTTTTATGATTGAAACTGGCAAGATCAGAGTTAGAACGCATATCTCAACGAATAAATCCGAGAAAAACTTGAATTGAGCGCTAAGATACCGTATGCATTCATACTTAGATGTTGCTGTTTGCTCCAGCAAAAAATGTTAGTGACAGGAGGCAAAGAAAACTGTCGGGAAGATCATAACACTCATTATTGACTTTCCAAAACAATCTTCAGTTCAATAAAAACTCCGTTTCATATATCAGGAAAGTTATACCCTATTTTAAGTTACATATTTACTTCTCTGATGTGCTTAGTTATGATAATTATGTTCGCGGGAAAGACGAACTATTTGGTTAATATCTCCGAATCAGTGCGTATCATTAGGATCTGCTTGACCTAATTACCAATGAAGATTGATATATTTCCATTCACAAAATGTTTCAACGTCAATGATCGATTTGTAAACCCAAAATAAGAGAACAGATGTGCATTTAGAACATAATTTAAACATGTGATGACTACAGAAAAAAAAACTAATTACGTTATCTTTGTTTTCAATGTGAATCTGGATGAAAAAAACATTTCTTCATCAAAAGCATAAAAAAAGAAACTAATTAATCCTATTGGATTTTTTTACAGTAGGCTTAACATGGTGATAAGAATTCTCATTTGTCAATCAACCTGAGGATGTGTGTGAACGTGTTTTTCATACACGCAAATACATTCGTATCCTTATACATACAACGCTATATTACAATAATTAGTTTCTTGACAACAAACAAAATATTAAGAAATAGATATAAAAAGGTCACGAGATTTAATCAAATATTTGACTATGAAAGTAATTATATAGCATGATTGTACATCTAATTTCAAGGACGACTCCAGTTCCTTAGAAGCAATTTTCTCTTCGATAGATAATCCTTTATTAAATATATGTGGAAATGCACCGTAATAGGTCATTCTTCTGTAAGCGCATGTTTTTATTTGTTATTCTGAGTAAAGTATGGGATGAAAGTGCATATATTTATTAATACTTTTTGTATGATAATGAAAGAGGAAAAAATGAGTAGTTTCGATGTTCATTAAGATAAAAATACACGAAATCTCATGAAACAGACAAACAAAGAAAGATCGATTTGTGTCAAAATAACTCTTTAAATGTTCAATTTCTATTAAGTGATAATGTAAGAGGATAAATTTGCACATATTGTCTTTTCCACCACAATAGATTTGCCATTTTCTTGCCAATGTCAGGTATTGTTCCTAGACAAACAAATGGGAAAAGATGTACAGAATAACAGTTAAAGAACAGCATGTAGTTTTGAACTGCGTCTAATGAACTTAATGGTAAACCAAACAAATACCATGACTCTAAAACTGCCCATGGAAATTGAAAAATGCCAAAAACTGTGACGATTGATAGAACTTGAATGATCAGCTTTCTTTGTTTCCTCCATTGCATCGATTGTCTCAGGTGAGCTCGCTGCCTTTGGAAACGAAAGAAAAGGGCAAGAGTTGAAGTGATTATAATTACTATTGGAGTGATCTGATGAACGATGATATCGATCTTTAAGTGAATTGAATTGAGGAAAAAACAAGGCAGATACACACCAATTACCGTCGATTGAATATCGACATATTGACAAATTGGATGAACTGAAATAAATATATTTAGAGCATAATAAATTAAACAATACATAGGCACAACCACCAACGGTATATAATGCACAAGAATTCGATTTGCTTTAGTTGCTAGTAATTGACTGTGAAAGATAAGTATATGTCTTTGAATAGTACACCAGGCAAAAACGACGGTTTGAGTGGGAAAAAATCCAAAGAGAGAATACGTCCAGAGTTGAGAAAACGGACGTTGTACATGCCAATTTCCACCAAGTCGATAGTAGTGAATGGCAAGAGGAAAGTAAGTACATTCCATAATCAAAACCAGTAGGAGTATCACAATGATTATATGATTACTTAATGTTTCACGAAGATTTCGATTGAATAGAAGATGAAAGAGAATGAAGAAACAGCATGGTAGTGATAAAGTGTTGGAAATGAGATAAATCCAAAATCGAACAGGAAATGTGATAGGAAGTTGTTGATAAGCTAAAGATTCTTCATTAGCAAAAGTACTGTTCATATCATTTGCCATCATTAAAAAAAAAGTTTAAACTGACGTCAACATATTTGAAATTCTTTACATATGAGATGCATATTAAAAAGTTACCTAAAGGTAAATCCGAGATTCTGCTGACTAGTCGCAGAGAGATAATTATTTTTCCAAGACTCATTTTAGTCGTTTTACAATGCTTTAACAATTCTAATCTATATTGTATACGAACTGTACTTAAAAGTTATTTTAAAAAAAGGAGCTGCAAAGTACTTCCTCTAATATAATATTTTCATAAGCGATCACAATTTTAAATATCAGCTTTAATTACAATCCTCTCGTGATCTCAAAACGCGTGGTATGCTAAAAATATCAAATTTAACAAAAAAAAAACAAGAACAACCGGTATAAAAACTACATATGAATTGTTTTCCATGTTAATTAAAGCAACATACACAGGATGAAAACGTCAAACTTTGAATTCAAGATTCGAAGTGTCTTCAGATGATATTAGTCTCATGAGATTCGTACGCTTTGAAGCATTGAGTTTTGTTCTCCTTCTTTACAATATAGATCATTTTTCGAGTACGGTCACCGGTAACGTTTTCTTATTTCTTTCCGATCGAGTTACTATACTTTTGAGCAATACTTTCACATATTCTGCAGACAAATTTTGAAACCATCAAATATCTCACAAGGCAAAACTGCAGGTTAAAAGTATTATATTAAAAAATGGTTTGACTCGTTTCTTAATAAAATATGAAAACATGAACAGAGATATTAGTAGACAAATGTTGAAATTTCCTTGATGATCATCCTTGATTTTCACATTGATCAATTATACTAGCAATTACACAATAAGAAAGAGCGTTGTTATTATATGTCAAATCCATCACATTTACCTATACCGATTTTATGCAATTACTGGTTTATTTATTCGATTGAACGTAATTTAATCGATAAAATAAATAATACAGTGACATATTTTGAACAGAAAAAAAAAGAAACAGTCATCAAGAAATAGGTAACGTTTTTCAATATCAGTCTTGTTTAACGCATAAAAGGGCGATAGTCTGTATAATTATCTGATGTTAAGGGGAAGCTTTCAGATTGGCGTCTCATTTACGTGAGCATATTCATAACAAAACCAACATATGGTAACTGATAGGATAGACACTCAGATTTAGGATCAAATTTATAATCAAGAGATTTCTCTTTAGAAAAATGATCGAACTAAGTTTGAAACGAAAACAAGCTTGTGGCGCTTCGAGTTATTCTCGTGAACAAGATATTTTTGGGTGAGAACACATTTTGCTCTCTGGTTTTTACGTAGTTTTCAGCATTGTTAACTATTGACAGACATATAAAACTAATTCCGTATTGTTTTATCTGTCACCTTCTATAAATAGATTTATGACATATGAATTAATCACATAGCATATCGTATAGATTGATGTAATTCCCAAGAGAATGTTAGGTTCTGTCTACGAAATATGCTCCCAGTAATCTACGTAATAAACTGAACATTCATTGATAAGCTATTTGAATGAGAAAAAGCGATGATTAGTAAGCAAAAGAATAATAATATAGAAAGGAATCCGGTTTTGTTGTGTTTTGGAGGTACAAAAACAACCGCAGAAAATTGTGGAAACAGGAGTGCTGGTGGTTACGAATGTTTGTGATATCGTTGAAGTGATTGAAATCGTCGACAAATCGATCAATAAAGCATTCAAAGTACTTGAATATGCAGAACTTGACGATGTCGAGCGGATTGACTGTTTGATCGAAATATTGTTTTACATAAGTGTCGTATTTCGTGAAGATGGAGGGATGATTGCTTTGGTTGTAATCGCAGCCGAATAAATTCGTTTGAAATAGTTCATAATTAATGAAGTCAAAACGTATTTCAGTTGTAAAAAAAACGTTCTTGATCGGTAGAGCAGCTAACATAAGTTGTCGAAATCGACTATTCAAAAAGCACTGCTGAGTTTTATTTTCACCCACGAAGTACTCTCCTACAATTATCATACGTAAAACCAAAACTATTCAAATAGTTAATAAGAAAAGACATGAAGAAAAAATGAAATAGCCAAGCATACATTTATTCACATTGTTTCCTTCTTAGTATTATCTGAACTGGTTGTAATTATCGTAACATTTACATCGTGTCTTGGTCTCATCCATCAATAACCCAAGAATATTCCAAATTCAAACATGCACAATTCAAACCATGCGGAACTTCTTTAGTATCATTATTCTGAAGTTGCACAAGGTTATGAAATACAATTGTTCCTCCGCGTAGTCCGGAGCCATCACCCTTGTTTTTTACTGAAACGTATCTTCAAATTAGGAAAAACATGACTAACAGTTACGCTCATATGACATGCGCCATCACTTTTAATAGCAGAAATTTCACTAAGACAGAGAGAAAGTCTTTAAACTTGCGTTTTAGCAGAATAAAAGTCGATTTAATCAAATGTGCATGTCATTTCATACTTGAAATGAAGCAGACGACGTTGAAGGAACATCATGGCTTAGTTTTATAAATACTTTTGTACTCATGTAACTTCCGATGAACTTATTTTATGAGCTACTACGGAATCTTTGCGTCTCGATTGAGAGATATGAAGTGTAACGATTCAACAACACTTTTATTGAAATCTCCCTAAATATCCAAATGCGAATGCACTATACATAAGTGCGTTTATCGCCAAATGCATACTGATAAGATACTGCTCATTCAACAACGCCACATATGAAAATGCAATGATATACAACGTCATAGCCAAGAAACCTTTATGTGTTTGAAGATGGCTGACTTTGTGGCGAATTGCGAAGCAGACTGAACTTTGCCACATGATGATATTCTCAATTATTTTCCATAAAAACAGCGTGTTTTTCATGGATACAGTTGAATGAGTATAATGGTTGCGATATTGAATAGTTGTATTGCGGACATAAGATGTCTGTGTGCCAAATTTTGGAGTGACGATCCATCTTTTAGCGGAACCAAAATTGAAAAATCCAGCTATGGCAGAGATAGCATGATGAAATAACATTGCATTACAAAAAAGTGAATAGACTAGTGTTAAATGAATTCGCTCGGGTGTGTAGAGCAAAACGTTTGAGGATAAAAGTATGGGAAGAAATGTGATGAAAATGTTCATACGGGTTGTTTTCCTCCAACAAGCGTTGATGGCAATATTCAGAAGAAATACAATGAAACGAGTAATGTAAAGACATGGCCGAAGAAGCATCCATAAGCAGTGCAACTTTCGATAAATATCCATGTGTGATGTTGTACATACCGTTTGAAATAACTTGCGAAACACTTGTGCAGGTCCACTAAACCATCGGTACTGTTGTGAGAGGTAAGCCGAAAGTGTAGGTGGAAGTTCATTAAGACATTCAACATCGATCATATAAGCAGAGTGCCAACCATTCGTAGAAGCTCGAACTGAAATATCCAAATCTTCGACCAAAGTATCTGTGTGCCAACCTCCGCATTGACAAATAGCTTTTGTTCGCCAAACGCAAGCAGATCCGTTGAATTGAAAGAAGGAGTACATACGATACTTGACGTCTTGTTCACACTTATGATGATGATTGAGAACGATTTCTTGCATTTGTGTCAGTAGGGATTCTTTTCCATTTGTAAATGTCCATCGTGCTTGCGCATAGGCCACTTTCGGATCCTTTAAAAGAATGGGTATTGTTTTAATCAAAAAGTTTTCTTGTGGCAAAAAATCAACATCGAACAATGCAATAAATTCACATTGTGGAAGTTTTTCTAAGCCATTTTTTAAGTTTCCTGCTTTAAAACCATGACGATTTTTACGCCGAACGACACTAATTCGATACCCTCGATCAAGCCATTCTAGTGCGCATCGATCAATCATCGCCATAACTATTTCATCAGTAGAATCATCGAGTACCTGAATAATTAACCGATCTTTTGGCCACTCTAAATTGCAAGCACATGTGATCATCGATATACAGAATTCTTTTTCGTTCATCATTGGTAATTGCACGGCAACTATCGGATACTCATTATCGGTTGATAAGGATGATATTATACTGCGAAGTGTTGGATGTGATTTTGACGGCAGACAGAATCGAAGAACAGTGTAGATTATTTGTTCAATGTCGTCTGAGCTTTGAATGATAAGCAACAATATTGATAGCCTTTCGATCAGATTGAGAATTGTCGGTGATCTCTGAATATGACTGACATCATCATAGACTGAACTCGTTTGTTGATCAGTAATATTTAGAAACCCGTTTGATGTTGCTGCTATTCGTTGCGACAAACATGGCAGCGCCAGAAAGGTAAAGATCATTATCGCAAGCATCACACGACTCATGATGGACTTTTTAAAATGATCTTCAATGAAGAAAAAGTGTGTTATGATGAAACTGCATCTGAATAAATAAAAGACGTTTAGAAATGCCATTGACATCTTCATCGTCAAGACAGTTTTCGTGGAGACTGTAAAGAGAAATATAGAAACCGAATTTATATGCATAGTAAATTACAGAAAAAAAAATCAACGGGCGCCAATCGAATAGATAATAACAATTAGAAAAGTGTCGAATGTGCCAAAATGCTTGTATGATGAATGTACTTCAGTGGAAAATTCTCTACATAATTATATTTAGTTGGAGATCTTAATCTGTCAGAAAAGAAAAGGCTACTGTACACTATGTTTAGAAACTTAACTTGTCTTTCGAGTAACGATTTCATCTAACTAATAATTGTCTGGTGGTTCATAGATTTCTGCACAAGTTTCACGGCCATTCCAGCAATTGGCCACCGCTACTTGTCTGTGTGTGATTCAATGATCCCTTATAGTATACTATTGCATTTTGTGAAACAATTGCATTAATCGCCTTCGTAGCACAAACATACACGATTGCTGAATCAGTGGCTGTAATATTCGCAACAAGTGGACATCTTGATTTTGTCATATGTATCGTGGAGTTTGTTGCTTGGATACGCGTTTCATTTGTCGAGCAGAGATTATTAACGGTTAATCCATCACTACCNNNGACAAAATATCACGATGGTTGCATTTATCATAATCACATACCAGTGAATTACTTGCAAATGTTGTGTCATAGCGCGAATAGAAAAGCATAGTATTTGTAAACGTCAGTTTTTCAGTCGATGAGCATTCGACGTCAGCGGTTGAACTGGGCGTCCAACTTGTGTGACATGTTTCTTCTGAAGAACACTGTTTAGTTTCACTGTCACTCACGAAGCATTCTCCTAAAATGATCATCGAATCAATTATAACACTGAACGATTGAAAAGAAGGTCGAAACAGTCATTCATAGTCTATATTCTATTTACTATTTTGCAGATTCATTTTCATATTTCCAGCACTTACGTCGTGTCTTATTCTCAGCAACCAATAGTTCAGCGACATTGTGCAAGAAATGATGATATTTCAAGGTGATGAACCATTCGATGGCATCAATCAAAAATCGTTACGAACAACGGTCAACAGTAGCACAGACATACTGTATCGTAGAATGAAAGCTATAATTAGCATTTCCATTATGGTTTACTGCGGTAATAAACATAGATTTTTCGGGCGGTGGATTTCCTCTATCGCTAAACTGTGTTGAAAAAAAATACAGATATGTGACTGTCAAAATTCGAAATAGTCATCTCCATCGTACATGGCTTTATATGGCTAGTTTCAACAGCAGAAATTCGATCGAGCTGTCCGCGAAACGTTTGCATATCAAACTTGTCTTTGGATATTGTCAGAGCATCTCTCAGCTGTAAACACCTCAGACAGTCGATAGTATGGAAAAGAATAATAGCTGCAAAGATAATCGTCAACACCATTGAATCCGAATGGTACTTCAGACACAACTTTAGACTTGTTTTACAAAGAAATAAAAAAAGAGAATTCAATTAAATCGATTCGTCATTTCGTGTATTTTATGTGACAAGTGACTTTGAAGCACGTTGTGATGAATTGTGATGTTCGACAAAGTCACGATATGTCCCTCATAATGTCTGATTTCCATGAATACACTTTACTTCTCACATCACCTTGACGGTCTCAAGAAATACAAGAATGTGTATGAACAACTAAGATGGGCGAGGACGTAGGCGCAGGCGAAAAGTTTTATGATTGAAACTGGCAAGATCAGAGTTGGGACGCATATCTCAATGAATAAATCCGAGAAAAACTCGAATTGAGCGCTAAGATATCTTACATTCATACTTAGATGTTGCTGTTTGCTACAACAAAAAATGTCAACGACAGGAAGGCAAAAACAACTGTCGGGAAGATCATAACACTCATGATTGACTTTTCAAAATAATCTTCAATTCAATAAAAACTCGGTTCCATATATCAGGAAAGTTATACCCTATTTTAAATTAGATATTTACTTCTCTGACGTGCTTAGTTATGATAACTATGCTCGCGGGGAAGGCAAACTATTTGGTCAATATCTTAGAATCAGTGCGCATCATAAGGATGGGCGTGAGGGTGTGTGTAAGCGTGGTTTTTATACACTCAGATACATTCGTACCCTTATACATATAACTCTATATTACAATAATTAGTTTCTTGACAGCACACAAAATATTAAGAAAGAGGTACAAAAAGAGAGCCACTTTTTGGGAAAGGCCACGAGATTTAATCAAATATTTGCCGATGAAAGTAATTATATAGCATGACTGTACATCTAATTTCAAAGACGCCTCCAGTTCCTTATAAGCAATTTTCTCTCCGGTAGATAATCCTTTATTAAATATATGTGAAAATGCGCCGTATTATATCATTGTTCTGTAAACGAATGTTTTTATTTATTATTCTGGGTAAAGTACGTGCTAAAAGTGCATATATTTATTAATACATTTTGTACAATAATGGAAGAGGAAAAATGCGTAGTTTCGATGTTCATTAAGATAAAAATACGCGACATCTCGTAAAACAGACAAACAAAGAGGGATCGATTTGTGTCAGAATAACTCTGTAAATGTTCAATTTCTATTAAGTGACAGTGTAAGAGGATAAACTTGCACATACGGTCTTTTCCACCACAATAGTTTTGCCATTTTCTTGCTAATTTCAGGTATTGTTCCTATGCAAACTAGTGGGAAAAGATGTACAGAGTAACAGTTAAAGAACAACATGTAGTTTTGAATCACGCCTAATGAACCAAATGGTATACCAAATAAATTCCATGACTCTAAAAGTGCCCATGGAAATTGAAAAACGCCAAAAACTGTGACGATTGATAGAACTTGAATGATCAGTTTTCTTTGTTTTTTCCATTGCATCGATCGCCTCCGGTGAACTCGCTGTCTTTGGAAACGAAAGAAGAGCGCGAGAGTTGAAGTGATTATAATTAATATTGGAATGATCTGATGAATGATGACATCGATCTTTAAGTGAATTGGATTGAAGAAAAAGCAAGGCAGATACACACCAATCACTGTCGATTGAACATCGAGATATCGACAAATTGAATGAAATGGAATAAATATATTTAGACCATAATAAGTTAAACAATACACAGGAACAACCACCAGTGGTACATAATGTACAAGAATTCGATTTGCCTTAGTTGCTAGTAAGTGATTGTGAAAGATAAGTATATGTCTTTCAATAGTACACCAGGCGAAAACGACGGTTTGAGTGGGAAAAAGTCCAAAGAGAGAATACGTCCAAAGTTGAGAAAACGGACGTGGTACATGCCAATTACCACCAAGTCGATAGTAGTGAACGGCAAGAGGAAAGTAAATGCATTCCATAGCCAAAACGAGTAGGAGTAGCACAATGATTATATGATTACTTAATGTTTCACGAAGATTTCGATTGAATAGAAGATGAAAGAGAATGAAGAAACAGAATGGTAGCGATAAAACGTTGGAAATGAGATAAATCCAAAATCGAATAGAAAAAGTGATAGGAAGTTGTTGGTAAGCTAAAGCTTCTTCATCAACAAAAGTACTGTTCATTTCATTTGCCATTATTAAAAAAGAAAGTTTAAGCTCACATCAACACATCTAAAATTCTTTACGTATGGGATGCATATTGAAAACTTATCTAAAGGTAAATCCGAGATTCTCCTGGCTAGTCTCAGAGAGATAATTATTTTTCCAAGGCTCATTTTACTCGTTTTACAATGCTTTAACATTCTAATATATGTCGTATACGAGCTGTATTCAAAAGTTATTTTAAAAAAAGCAGCTGCAAAGTACTTCCTCTAATATAATATTTTTTTTCATAAGCGATCCCAATTTGAAATGTCAAATTTAATTACAATCCTCTCCTGATCTCAAAACGCGTGATATGCTACGAACATTAGATTTAACAAAAAAAGAACAACTGTTATAAAAGTTACACATGAATTGCTTTCCATATGTTAACTAAAGCGAAATACACAAGGTGAAAGCGTTAAACTTTGAATTCAAAATTCGACGTGTCTTCGAATGATACCAGTTTCATGAGATTCGTACGCTTTTGGAGCATTGAGTTTTGTTCTTCTTCCGTACAGTAAAGATCATTTTTTCGGGTGCGGTCACCGGTAACGTTTTCATATTTCCATCTGATCGAGTTACTACTGTTGACAATACTTTCACGTATTCTGCAGACAAATTTTGAAACAATAAAAAAAAACTCACATTCTGTCTTTCCGAATGATATCTGAACTTCTTGTACTTAACATATTCTTTAAGAAAAGTGGACAGTAGCATAGATGAAGGCAAACTTGCAGGCTAAAAGTATTATATTAAAAAAATGGTTTCAATCGTTTCTTAATAAAATATGAAAACATAAACAGAGATATGGGTAGGCAAATGTTGAAATTTCCTTAATGATCATCCTTGATTTTCACATTGAACAACTATAATAGCAATTACACAATAGGAAAGAGCGTTGATATTATATGTCAAATTCATCACATTTGCCTATTCCGATTCTATGCAATTTCTAGTTTATTTAACAGATCAAACGTAATATAACCGATAAAATAAATAATACAGTAACACATTTTGAACAAAAAAAGAAACAGTCATCAAGAAATAAGTATAATGCATAAAAAGGTGATAGTCTGTATAATTATCTAATGTTAAGGGGAGACTTTCAGATTAGCGTCTCATTTACGTGAGCATACTCAAAACAAAACCAACATAATAATTGATAGGATAGACACTCAGATTTAGGATCAAACTAAGTTTGGAACGAAAACGAGCTTGTGACGCTTCGAATTATTCTGGTGAACAAGATACTTTTTACGTAGTTTTCAGCATTGTTAACTATTGACAGACATATAAGATTAATTCCGTGTTTCTTTATATGCCATCTTCTGAAATAGATTTATGATATATGAATTAATCATGTCGTATATCGTACAGATTGATGTAATTCACAAGGGAATGTTAGGTTCTGTCTACGAAATATGCTCCCGGTAATCTAATAAACTGAACTGGATGGTGTTGAGTGGATTGAATGCTTGACTGGAATATTGTTTTACATAAGCGTTGTATTTCGTGAAGATAGGGCGATGATTGCTTTGGTTGTAACCGCAGCTGAATAAATTCGTTTGAAATGGTTCATAACTAGTTAAGTCTGAGCGTATTTCAGTTTTAAAATAAAGTTCTTGGTCGGTAGAGCAGCTAACATAAGTTGTTGAAATCGACTATTCAAAAAGCACTGCTAAGTTTCATTTTCACCCACAAAGCATTCTTCTACAATTATCATAAATCCAAAACTATTCAAGTAGCTAATAGGAAAAAATATGAAGAAAAAAAGAAATAACTACGCATATATTTATTCATACTGTTTCCTTCTTAGTACTACCTGAGCTGGTTGTAATGATCCTAACATTTACATTGCGTCTTGGTCTCACCCATCAATAACTCAAGGATATTCCAAATTCAAACCATGTTGAACTTCTTTAGTATCATTATCCTGAATTTGCATAAGGTTATCAAATACTATTGTTCCTGCGCGTAGTCCGGAGTCATCACCCTTTTTTTTGACTGAAACGTATCTTCAAATTAGGAAAAACATGGCTAAAAGTTACGCTTATATGGCATGCGCCATCACTTGTAATAGCAGAAATTTCACTTAGGCAGAGAGAAAGTCTTTAAACTTGCGTTTTAAAAGAATAAAAGTCGATTTAATTAAATCTACGTGTCATTTCATATTTGAAATGAAGCAGTCGACGTTGAAGGAAAATCATAGCTTAGTTTTGTAAATAATTTTTTGTATCCATGTAACTTCCAATGAACTTATTTTATGAACTACTACGAAATATTTACGTCTCAACAATACTTTTATTGAAATCTCCCTAAATATCCGAATGCGAATGTACTATACATAAGTGCGTTTACCGTCAAATGCATACTGATAAGATACTGCTCGTTCAACAACGCCACGCATGAAAATACAATGATATACAGCATCATAGCCAAAAATCCTTTGTGTATTTGAAGGTGGCTGACTTTGTGGTGAATTGCGAGGCAGACTGAACTTTGCCACATGATGATATTCTCAATTATTCTCCATGAAAACAGCGCGTTTTTCATGGATACGGTTGAATGAGTATAGTGGTTGCGATAGTGAATAGTTGTATTGCGAACATAACACGGCTGTGTGCCAAATTTTGGAGTAACGATCCATCTTCTAGCGGAACCAAAATTGAAAAATCCAGCTATGGCAGAAATAGCATGATGAAATAGCATAGCATTACAAAAAAGTGAATAGACTAGCGTCAAATGAATTTGCCCGGGTGTGTAGAGCAAAACGTTTGAGGATAAAAGTATGGGAAGAAATGTGATGAAAACGTTCATACGGGTTGTTTTCCTCCAACAAGCGTTGATGGCAATATTCAGAAGAAATACAATGAAACGAGTAATGTAAAGACATGGCCGAAGAAGCATCCATAAGCAATGCAACTTTCGATAAATATCCATGTGTGATGTTGTACATACCGTTTGAAATAACTTGCGAAAAACTTGTGCAGGTCCACTAAACCATCGGTACTGTTGTGAGAGGTACGCCGAAAGTGTAGGTGGAAGTTCATTAAGACATTCAACATCGACTATGTAAGCAGAACGCCAACCATTCGTAAAAGCTCGAATTGAAATATCCAAATCTTCGACCAAAGTGTCTGTATGCCAACCTCCACATTGATAAATAGCGTTGGTCCGCCAAACACAAGCAGATCCGTTGAATTGAAAGAAGGAATACATACGATACTTGACGTCTTGTTCACACTTATGATGATGATTGAGAACGATTTCTTGCATGTGTGTCAGTAGCGATTCTTTTCCATTTGTAAATGTCCATCGTGCTTGCGCATAGGCCACTTTCGGATCTTTTAAAAGAATGGGTATTGTTTTAATCAAAAAGTTTTCTTGTGGCAAAAAGTCAACATCGAACAATGCAATAAATTCACATCGTGGAAGTTTTTCTAGGCCATTTTTTAAGTTTCCTGCTTTGAAACCATGTCGATTTTTACGCCGAACGACACTAATTCGATACCCTCGATCAAGCCATTCTTGTGCGCATCGATCAATCATCGCCATAACTATTTCATCAGTAGAATCATCGAGTACTTGAATAATTAACCGATCTTTTGGCCACTCTAGATTGCAAGCACATGTGATCATCGATATACAAAATTCTTTTTCGTTCATCATTGGTAATTGTACGGCAACTATCGGATACGCATTGTCGCCTGATAAGGATGATATTACACTGCTAAGTGTCGGATGTGTTTTTGACGACAGACAGAGTCGGAGAATAGTGTAGATTATTTGTTCGATGTCCTCTGAACTTTGAATAATAAGCAATAATATTGATAGCCTTTCGATCAGATTGAGAATTGTCGGCGATCTCTGAATATGACTGACATCATCATCATCATAGACTGAACTCGTTTGTTGATCAGTAATATTTAGATACCCGTTTGATGTTGCTGCTATTTGTTCCGACAAACATGACAGTACCAGAAATGTAAAAATCATCGTCGCAAGCATCGCACGACTCATGATGGGCTTTCTAAAATAATCTTCAATGAATAAAAAGTCTGCTATGATGAAACTGCATCTGAACAAATAAAAGACGTATAGAAATGCCATTGACATCTTCATCAGCAAGACGGTTTTTTAGGAGACTGTAAAAAGAAATATAGAAACCAAATTTATATGCATAGTAAATTACAAAAAGATCAACAGAGGTCAATCGCATAGATAAAAACAATTAGAAAAGTGTCGAATGTGTCACAATGCTTGTATAATGAATGTACTTCAGTGGAAAATTCTCTAGATAATTATATTTAGTCGGAGATCTTAATCTGTCAGAAAAAAAACCGGCTGCTGTACGCGATATTTAGAGACTTAACTTGTCTTTCTAGTAAAGATTTCATCTAACTAATAATTGTCTGGTAGTTTATACATTTCTGTGCAAGTTTCACGGCCATTCCAGCAATTGGCCACCGCTACTTGTCTGTGTGTGATTCAATGATCCCTTATAGTATACAATTGCATTTTGTGAAACAATTGCATTAATCGCCTTCGTAGCACAAACATACACGATTGCTGAATCAGTGGCTGTAATATTCGCAACAAGTGGACATCTTGATTTTGTCATATGTATCGTGGAGTTTGTTGCTTGGATACGCGTTTCATTTGTCGAGCAGAGATTATTAACGGTTAATCCATCACTACCTATGACAGTGGCAAAAGCAGCACAGTCAGATACACTCACATTCACAGTTGAATTCGAACCACTAATTTCCAAAGAGTCTTGTGCACAAGCATTGGCAATAGAACTATTTTGAGTAATTTTAAGAGCAGCTAACTTTGGACAAGGCCACGATGCAGTTACAGAAACATTCATAACATTACGTAGTGTTATATTCATTTCTTCACTCGCACAAAGATTGGAGACTGTAGTCATATTTTGAATACTAAGAAGAACTTTCCTTGGACAGGCCGTTGATGAATCAATGGCGATTGAACCTATGGTCGTGGCTGCTATGTTCATTTCTTCGCTTGCACAGAGATTCTCAATGTTCTGTATACTTCGAGCAGCAAGAAAAGTCTTCTTTGGACACGCGGCTGCAGAATCAATTGAAAGAAGACCTAACCTATCTGTTGCTATGTACATTTCCTCACTTGCACAGATGTTCTTAATATTTTGTGCACTTTGAACACTAAGAAGAACCCTTTCGGGACATACACCCGATGAATTCACAGTAATAGAGCCTATGCCAGCTGCTGTTATGTCCATGTGTTCACTAGCACAGAGGTTGGAAACTTCGGTTATATCTTGAGCATCAAGGACAACTTTTTGTGGACATGCTGCCGCTGAATTGATGGAAATCGTTTCCATTTGAGCGGATATTAAACTCATTTCTTCACTTGCACAAAGATCGGAAACCGAATCGACCGAGGTCATATAAAAAGCGCTGACTTTTGGACAAGTTGTTGAATTGAAAGTAATCTTATTAGCTTGAAATACCATTATATCCAAATGATCACTAGCACAAAGATTTTCAATTTCAGATGTGTTATTAACTGTAACGGTAGTCATTTTAGGACATGGTGAAGCTGGATTCATAGATACGACAGATTTATCTTCGATGTCTATCTTCATTAAATCCATTGCACATACGTTTTTGACACGAGCTGCTCCTGCTGCATGAATCTCAGTTATTTGTGGACATGATGAGGGCGTTGAAATGATGGTTGCTCTGTTCTTTGCTTTGATATTCAGCTGATTAAGCGAACAAACATTGTTCACTGTGGAACTCCCTGTGGCTGTTAAATTAAGCATCGGCGAACGGCAAGTGTGCCTATTTTCTATGTCTATTGTGTCATTATTTTGAGCCAGGACATGAACCATGTGACGAGATGCTGAAAGAGAGTAATAGGAAGTCAAAAGCTAACCACAGAAATTGCTGTTTAGATTTATATTAGAAATGTTGAAAGTTGTAGACAACAGATTCCTTAGTTTTTGTTCTCCGTATTATAAACTTACCTAATGTTGTAGTTGCGTATTTACTTGTTTGGCGTGCTTTTCTGGTCGTTCTACGTGAGTTGTAAGGAGATCGATAATAGTTTCGTTTTCCTTCGTCTTCGTCTTCGTCCTCTTCTTCTTCATAATCATCTTCTTGTATTTCGTGCGAATAGTCGTCTTCTGCCATTCCTTGATAGTCTTGAGTTTTATGAAACGAACCAAAGTTACCATGCATTCCACCGCTAAAACCACCTTTGGTAGGATTGAACACTGGGATGCTTGGACCAATCACTATAATAAAGAGCGTTGTGTATAAATAGAAAATTCTGTAATATAAACATACACGGTATCGGATTAAAATAACGAAGCATATCAATGTTTCCAGTCAAGGCCGATCCACTGCTGACTAAACTTGCATAACCTGAAGCGATGAGTTGAGCAACAGAAAATACTTGGCCATACATGTTGATCACTGGTGGAATTATGTAAACTAGAACAAACGCAAAAAATTCTCTTTACTTCGAATAATCAATAAGTATATGGTTTACCGCCTGATGATGAATAAATGATGGTTTGTTTAGATAATCGATCAGCAAAGATGGGGACCGATGGTAAGAAACTGACAAATGGACCACGTAGCGCTGGAAAAAAAAGTTAAAATGGATCAAATCAATAAGGACAATGATTTAAAGAAAACCGACGATTGTCACGACGATTGTATCGAGCTACAGGAAAACGAAATCGTTGATAGGATCGTCGATTGCTTTGATCGATGTAAATGTTCATATATCCAAGACTATTTGTTGTTGGTGGACGTCTCTTAAAAATTCATCAAACTGATTCAACTATGCACATACTAATCATTTACTTTGTTTCCTACATATGACCGCAGTTGAAGAACTGTATCATCTATCAAAATATTCAAAAGCATCAGTGACTGGCAGATCAGAAGGAAAATTATGCTCATGAGAAGAAGGTACGAATATTCACAGTAGTAGCTATACCTTCACAAAAGCTATCGATTATTGATTACATTTCACAACATTACCTTGATCGTTCGATGATGATCGAGAAAAAGCGAAGAACCTCATCGAAACAGCAACAGCGATAACAAGTACCAACACTGTACATATAATCTTCAATCTATTTCGCGTGAAAACAATCGAACACCACGATCTAAATCATTGAGATATCGAAAAACTCGTCACTCTATTCACTAAACATTTACAGCACTCACAATGGGTGTGCTCGGTGCATAATAGTTTTCTTCGAAATAGATTCCGTTTGTTCATCATTTGTAGACACCTTATTATATTCACGTCTATCCATTGAAGTTGCTCTTCAATACAGCAAACGAACTAAAATAGAAACAAAACATTGAAAAATAACTCCATTGGTTTATTATTGATTTTTGATTATATAAAGTCCTGTATAAAAATATAGTCGGACTCGTTACTCAAGAAATATATACTATTTTGGCTATCTGTCTCTCTATACTGAGCATGTTGTTTACTGTTTCGAACAAAGTATATCTTATCATTATCATCATCTGAGTTGTTATCTCATATTGAGAAACATTCATTTTTCTATTCGTTTGAGTCCATTTTCTTGCATCATATGATGTCCTCTTTCTCTCTTTGTATTTTAGTCAACATTGAAGCACAAAATATAAGCTATCAGAACTAGCTGAAATCCTAGACAAAGAGGGCTAATGACAGAATCACTGCCCATCAATTCATCAACGACATGATACAGTGATCTACGTCTATCTATGTCACCAAATTCTTCATAATCTCCTGATTACTAAGTGTTCGCTACTTTGATCATGATTTTATTTTTACGATTCAATGTATAGACAGTAACAATATTGAATATCTCATCTGATATACGTAAATATTGATGGTTGTATGCGATATGTGCATAGAATTATTCGTTTTTCGTTATTTTCTTTGCTTGCGAAATAACAGAACATGGTTTATTCAGAAAATGTGAAGTTGATAACGCTTTTTTGTTCTTCTCTAATAAAGAATCGATGCACGTGTTCTCTTGTTCGGTAGTTCTTATCAGTACTTATATGGCATTTACGAAAAGGAAAGAATCTTTTGAAAATTTTCAGATTAACTTCAATGCAGCATTTACAATGCATTCGGTCACCCTTTGTTCATCAAATGAGAAACATTGCTCACCATATTCCCTTCCATAACCGTGTTAAACAAGAATGTCTTCGTTTATCAAACGTTCCCTTATTATCTTCAATTGTGAAACAATATGAAAGCATTCAACCATTGAAACACTATTCGGTATTAAATATTCAACATGAACTAGGTGACGTTAGCGCACAAGTTGAAGCATTAATTCGTCTTGGTGCCTTGCCAAAACATGTGTATTTCCTTCCTCCGTCATATTCTCATAATAAGCAGTTCGAGGCGTTCTTAGCCAAGCATTTTCACATCCCGAAAGAAAATCTGTTCGATTCGTCATCGTATCGACTACGTTACAATTACGATAAATATCGTTTAATGAATGTTTTAGTTCATCTAAAACAAATGATTCAACTGGAATCGATGAAAACCCAGAACCAATCGAATAATTTACTTATTTTAGATGATGGCGGTTGTTTTTCTGAAGCAATAACCATCCTATTCGATATCGAAGAAAATAAACTAGATCCAAATGAACTAAGCTGCAATCTGCCATCGACGTTGGAGCTGTCGGAACGTGATGCGAAATTAATTTTATCGTTTTTAAAAACAAATCAAATCCGTCTCGTTGAGCAAACATCACGTGGTTTGTTTAAATATATTGATCAGCCAAAAATTCCGATTGCGTTGAAAAAACTTGGCATATCAATAGTTGATGTTGCTACGAGTGAACCGAAAAAACGTTTAGAATCTGTGATAATCGCTGAAACTTGTCTAAATATGTTATCTTACCTTTTTTATGACGCTCCCGCTCATTTAAAAATCCCCAAACCTTCCAAGAACGATCAATGTTTATTACTTGGATATGGGGCGATTGGACAAGCGATTGCATACGCCTTGACGCATGGTGGAGATCTAGGAATGTTTTCAAAAGATTCGGTTTACATATGGGATACAGATATGAACAAAAGAACTTCGGCAGAGAGCGATGGATTTCGACTGTTCAATCAATGGGATAAGACAAATGAATTTAATTATATTATCGGTTGTGCTGGTCGATGTTCATTATCAATGTCGTCTCTATCGCTATTACGTAACAGTTCATATTTAATCAGCGTTTCATCGGCAGCAATCGAATTTCCGTTTCATGAAATGATTCAATATGCATCGGAAAGGCGTGCTGATGATATACAAATCCGATTATCGAAGGAAGAGTTCGATAAATTGAATGATGAGGATATTCATCGAAATATTAAGTTTCTTATTGAAAATAGCAAAGAAATAACAGTTGTAAATGGTGGAATGCCGATCACATTCTTGGGAATTTTAAATCCAACAGTACCTGAAAAGTTCGACCTGACAATTAGTCTAATGGTTGCTGCGAGCATTCAAGCAACTTTGATGAAACTGGCGAACGATCAAGAGAATCGGATTATACCATTGAACACAAACTTTTCAAATTTCATTTGTAATTGGTTCGAAACTAGGAAATCCGTAGAATATTAATAAAAGTTCATATCTCAACGATCAGCGTGAGTGACTTGTATGTACCCACATTCATCGTCCTTCTCGGATATTTTATGACATTTCTTTTAATATAAAGACACACATGCAATCTTCTGAAGGTGAAAAATTCTCTGGGATGTATATCTTATGATATTGAATTAACACGCGTGTAAAACTATTCTACTCACATTAATTCACACATCTGTAATAACCTAATAACTGTGGATCACTTCGTTCGTCTTTCTTTCTCCTATTATCTGACAATTAATTACAGAAGAAGAAATCCATCTTTGTTCTTATATACCAATTACAAAAAAAAAGAAAGATTTGTAGTTACAAAACCATCAGATCACCCACACTAGCTGACAAGTTTCGTTTTTTCCTACCAGAAAAACTAAATTGCTAAAATTACATTCAACTCATGTCATCAGCAGTTGTCACAAGCCTAATCGATTCCTATCGGCAAGTGTTCATCTATATGGGCATTCCTATCTTATCATTCGGTCTTGTCGGTGATATTTTCAATATACTTGTATTCTTGAGTCTTCGAACCTTTCGACAAAGTTCATGTGCATTCTATCTGACTACAATGTCATTATTGAATCTTGGTCAACTGATCACTGGTTTATTATCGCGTATTTTAATCACTGGTTATGACATTGACCTCACACGTACTTCATTGTTTTATTGTAAATTCCGATTATTCTTCCTTCAAGTGTCTACGGCAAGTTCTCTTGGATGTATTTGTCTGGCGACAATCGATCAATACTTTGCCACATGTGCTCGACCTCGTTGGCAACAATGGTGTAATATTTATTTATCCCGACGAATTCTGTTCGGTTTGATTGTCATCGTCATTATCGAACAAAGTCCTTGTATGATTGTTTATGACCACAGGATCTTATCGGTGACATCGAATGAAACAATTTGTGTTAGTACAAGTATCGATTTTGACAAATTCAACATTTATTTTAATTCACTTGTGTTAGGGAATGTCATTCCTCTTACCATAACATCTACTTTCGGTGTCCTAATCTATCGAAATATTCAACAATTGAGCTATCGAACCGTTCCATTGGTTAGACAAGAGCTCGATAAGCAATTAAATTCTATGGTTCTTATTCTAATTTTTTGCATTCATATGACGTTTTTACCACAACTGATCGTTTACTTTATCGCAGTTTATGGAAATATTCAAAATTCTCGTACTCGAGCACAACTTAATTTGGCTTATGCAATTACTCTTTGCTTATATTATTCATTCTTTGCTGTAAGTCATCTTTGTTCATTATTTCTCAGCTTTTTTGTGTCCGTCTCATGTTTTAGTCGTCATTTTATATTTATATGATCGTTTCGGAACGTTTTCGTCGGCAGTTTGTGTACGTGATCTTTCAAATGCATATTAATCGGTATCGTCCACAACGAGTCGCTCCAAATGTAATCTTCAACTTAACATAGTTCATAACAAAAATGATATTTTCATGTTGTACAACAAATTTTTTGCTTCGAGATTGAAAAAGTCGCTCGTCGTTTCGTTTTATCCGATCTTAAATTCAGTAGAATGTTTTAGTATATTCTTATCGTTAGATCTGGAATGTAATTAAGCACGCTTTTACCGCCAATAACTGAAGTAATATATTACATACACTTAACTGAGACTTTTCTCTTATTAGAAAAAGAAGAAAGATAAATGTGAAACTATAATGATGGTTGTAATAGAGGTCGACGAATACGTCGGAAATACTGTTTAGTGTAAAGAAATGTGATCGTGATATGAAACGGCCTTCTTTCCTTGTGCTACAATCAAACAGATGCCAACTTCGTAGAAGCTGTGCATTGCCCACTGTGATGTATGGAATTGACCATTTCAGATGCTTTATCTTGTTCAGATCACATGATTCGATCTATACGTGTTAGTAACGATGAAAATGCATATTTATTTATAAAACACGAATTGAACACTGTAGCACAACAGTTCATACTATGCAGTACTAGTTGTCGTTCTCAGAATCGAAACTTGCCACTGGCATCGGACCATTTTCCCTCATCGTTTAATTTACCATATTTATCTGTGGATTGATTTCTGTACNTGTATACTTCGAGCAGCAAGAAAAGTCTTCTTTGGACACGCGGCTGCAGAATCAATTGAAAGAAGACCTAACCTATCTGTTGCTATGTACATTTCCTCACTTGCACAGATGTTCTTAATATCTTGTGCACTTTGAACACTAAGAAGAACCTTTTCGGGACATACACCCGATGAATTCACAGTAACAGAGCCTATACCAACTGCTGTTATGTCCATGTGTTCACTAGCACAGAGATTGGAAACTTCGGTTATATCCTGAGCGTCAAGGACAACTTTTTGTGGGCATGCTGTCGCTGAATTGATAGAAATCTTTTCCATTTGAGCGGATATTAAACTCATTTCTTCACTTGCACAAAGATCGGAAACAGAATCGACCGATTTCATATAAAAAGCGCTGACTTTTGGACATGATGTTGTTGAATTGAAAGTAATCTTATTAGCTTGAAATATCATTACATCCAAGTGATCACTAGCACAAAGATTTTCAATTTCAGATGTGTTATTAACTGTAACGGTAGCCATTTTAGGACATGGTGAAGATGGATCCATAGATACGACAGATTTATCTTCGATGTCTATCTTCATTAAATCCATTGCACATACGTTTTTGACACGAGCTGCTCCTGCTGCATGAATCTCAGCTGTTTGCGGACATGACGAGGGCATTGCCATGATGGTTGCTTTGCCTTTGGCTTTGATATTCAACTGATTAAGCGAACAAACATTGTTCACTGTGGAGCTACCTGTGGCTGTTAAATTAAGCATCGGCGAACGGCACGTGTGACTATTTTCTATGTCTATTGTGTCATTATTTTGAGCCAGAACATTAACCACGTGATGAGATGCTGAAAGAGAATAATAGGATGTTCAAAGTTGTAGACAATAGATCGCTTAGTTTTTGTTCTCCATACTAATTATAAACTTACCTAATGTTGTACTTGTGTATTTACTTGTTTGGCGTGCTTTTTTGGTCGTTCTACGTGAGTTGTAAGGAGATCGATAATAACTTCGTTCTCCTTCGTCTTCTTCTTCGTCTCCGTCATATCCATCTTCTTGTGTTTCTTGCGAATAGTCGCCTTCTGCCGTTGCTTCATAGTCTTGAGTTTTATGAAACGAACCAAAGTTACCATGCATTCCACCGCTAAAGCCACCTTTGGTAGGATTGAGTACTGGGATACCTGGACCAATCACTATACAATAGAGAGCGTTGCCTGTAAATAGAAAATTCTGTAATATAAACGTACATGGTATCGGATTAAAATAACGAAGCATATCGATGTTTCCAGTCAAGGCCGATCCACTGCTGACTAAACTTGCATAACCTGAAGCGATGAGTTGAGCAACAGAAAACACTTGACCATACATGTTGATCACGGGTGGAATGATGTAAACTAGAACAAACGCAAGAAATTCTCTTTGCTTCGAATAATCAATAAGTATATGGTTTACCGCCTGATGATGAATAAATGATGGTTTGTTTAGATAATCGATCGGCAAAGATGGGGACCGACGGTAAGAAACTGAAAAATGGACCACGTAGCGCTGGAAGAGAAAAGTTAAAATGGATCAAATCAATAGGGACAATAATTTAAAGAAAACTGACGATTGTCACGACGACTGTATCGAGCTACAGGAAAACGAAACCGTTGATAGGGTCGTCGATTGTCCTGGTCGATGTAAATGTTCATATATCCAAGATTATTTGTTGTTGGGCGCCTCTTGAAAATTCATCAAACTTATTTAACTATGCACATACTAATCATTTACTTTGTTTCCTACGTATGACCGCAGTTGAAGAACTGTATCGTCTATCAAAATATACAAAAGCATCAGTGACTAATAGGTTAGAATGAAAACTATGCCCATGAGAAGAAGATACGAATATTCACAGCCGTAGCTGTAACTTCACGAAAGCTATCGATTATTAATTACATTTCACAACATTACCTTGATCGTTCGATAATGGTTGAGAAAAGGCGAAGAACCCTATCGAAACAGCAACAGCGATAACAAGTACCAACGCTGTACATATAATCTTCAATCTATTTCGCGTGAAAGCAATTGAACACCACGATCTAAATCATTGAGATATCGAAAAAGTCGTCACTCTATTCATTGAACATCTACAACACTCACAATTGGTGTGCTCGGTCCATAATAGTTTTCTTCGAAATAGATTCCGTTTGTTCATCATGTGTAGGCACCTTATCATATTCACTTCTATCCATTGAATTTGCTCTTCAATACAGCAAACGAACTAAAATAGAAAAAAAACATTGACAAATAATTCCATAGGTTTATTATTGACTTTTGATTATATAAAACCCTGTATAAAAATATAGTCGGACTCGTTACTCAAGAAATATATACTATTTTGGCTATCTGTCCCTCTATACTGAGCATGTTATTTACTGTTTCGCACAAAGTATCTCTTATCATCATTATTATCTAAGTTGTTATCTCATATTGAGAAACATATTCATTTTTCTATTCGTTTGAGTCCATTTTCTTTACATGATGTGATGTCCTCTTTCTCTCTTTTTATTTTAATCAAGATCGAAGCACAAAATATAAGCTATCAGAACTAGCTGAAATTCTAGACAAAAAGGAATAATGACAGAATCACTGCCCATCAATTCGTCGACGACTTGATACAGTGATCTACGTCTATTCATGATACCAAATTCTTCATGATATCACGACTACACTAAGTGTGCGCTACTTTGATCGTTTTTCGTTATTTTCTTTGCTTGCGAAATAACAGAACATGGGTTATTCAGAAAATGTGAAGTTGATAACGCTTTTTCGCTCTCCTTGAATAAAGAATCGATGCACGTGTTCTCTTGTTCGGTAGTTCTTATCAGTGCTTATATGGCATCCTCGAAAAGCAAAGAATCTTTTGAAAATTTTCAGATTAACTTCAATGCAGCATTTACAATGTATTCGGTCACCCTTTGTTCATCAAATGAGAAACATTACTCAACATATTCCCTTCCATAACCGTGTTAAACAAGAATGTCTCCGTTTATCAAACGTTCCTTTATTATCTTCAATTGTGAGACAATACGAAGGCTTTCAACCATTGAAACAGTATTCAGTATTAAACATTCAACATGAACTGGGTGACGTTAGCGCACAAGTTGAAGCACTAATTCGTCTTGGTGCCTTGCCAAAACATGTGTATTTCCTTCCTCCGTCATATTCTCATAATACGCAGTTCGAGGCGTTCTTAGTCAAGCACTTTCAAATTCCGAAAGAAAATCTATTCAATTCGTCATCGTACCGTTTATGTTACAATTACGATAAATATCGTTTAATGAATGTTTTAGTTCATTTAAAACAAATGATTCAAATGGAATCGATGAAAACCCAGCACCAACCGAATAATTTACTTATTTTAGATGATGGCGGCTGTTTTTCCGAAGCAATAACCATCCTATTCGATATCGAAGAAAATAAACTAGATCCAAATGAACTAAGCTGCAATCTGCCATTGACGTTGGGACTATCGGAAGGTGATGCCAAATTGATTTTATCGTATTTAAAAACAAATCAAATCCGGCTCGTTGAGCAAACATCTCGTGGTTTGTTTAAATATATCGATCAGCCAAAAATTCCGATTGCGTTGAAGAAACTTGGCATATCAATAGTTGATGTTGCTACAAGTGAACCAAAAAAACGTTTAGAATCTGTGATAATCGCTGAAACTTGTCTGAATATGTTATCGTACCTTTTTTATGACGCTCCCGTTCATTTGCAAATCCCCAAGCCTTCCAAGAACGATCAATGTTTATTACTTGGATACGGGGCGATTGGACAAGCGATTGCACACGCATTGACACATGGTGGAGATCTAGGAATGTTTTCAAAAGATTCAGTTTACATATGGGATACAGATATGAACAAAAGAACTTCGGCAGAGAGCGATGGATTTCGATTGTTCAATCAATGGGATAAGACAAATGAATTTAATTATATTATCGGTTGTGCTGGTCGATGTTCATTATCGATGTCGTCTCTATCGCTATTACGTAACAATTCATATTTAATCAGCGTTTCATCGGCAGCAATCGAATTTCCGTTTCATGAAATGATTCAATATGCATCGGAAAGGCGTGCTGATGACATACAAATCCGATTATCGAAGGAAGAGTTCGATAAATTGAATGATGAGGATATTCATCGAAATATCAAGTTTCTTATTGAAAATAGCAAAGAAATAACAGTTGTAAATGGTGGAATGCCGATCACATTTTTAGGAATTTTAAATCCAACAGCAGCCGAAAAGTTCGACCTGACAATTAGTCTGATGGTTGCTGCGAGCATTCAAGCAACTTTGATGAAACTGCCGAACGATCAAGAGGATCGGATTATACCATTGAACACATACTTTTCAAATTTCATTTGTAATTGGTTCGAAAATAGGAAATCCGTAGAATATTAATAAAAGTTCGTACCTCAACGATTAGCATGAGTGACTCATATGTACTCCCATTCATCGTCCTTTTCGGATATTTTATGACATTTCTTTTAATATGAGGACACACATGCGATCTTCTGAGGGTGAAAAGTTCTCTTGGATGTATTTCTTATGATATTAAGTTGACACGCGTGTAAAAATATTCTACTCACATTAATTCGCACGTCTGTAATAATCTAATAACTACGGATCACTTCGTTCGTCTTTCTTTCTCCTATTATCTGACAACTAATTACAGAAAAAGAAATCCATCTTTATTCTTATATACCAATTACAAGGAAAAGAAAGATTTGTAGTTATAAAACTATCCATTCGCGAACAAAAGATCAGGCACAGTAGTTGACAAGTTTCGTTTGTTGTTACCAGAAAAACTAAATTGCTAAAAGTACATTCAACTCATGTCATCAGCAGTTGTCACAAGCCTAGTCGATTCCTATCGGCAAGTGTTCATCTATATGGGCATTCCTATCTTATCATTCGGTCTTGTCGGTGGTATTTTCAATATACTTGTATTCTTGAGTCTTCAAACCTTTCGACAAAGTTCATGTGCATCCTATCTGACTGTAATGTCATTATTGAATCTTGGTCAACTGATCACTGGTTTATTATCGCGTATTTTAATCACTGGTTATGACATTGACTTCACACGTACTTCATTGTTTTATTGTAAATTTCGATTATTCTTCCTTCAAGTGTCTACGGGAAGTTCTCTTGGATGTATTTGTCTGGCGACAATCGATCAATACTTTGCCACATGTGCTCGACCTCGTTGGCAACAATGGTGTAATATTCATGTTTCCCGACGAATCCTTCTCGGTTTGATTGTCATCTTCGTTATCGAACAAAGTCCTTGTATGATTGTTTATGACCACAGGATGTTATCGGTGACATCGAATGAAACAATTTGTGTTAGTACAAGTATCGATTTTGACAAATTCAACATTTATTTTAATTCAGTTGTGTTGGCAAATGTCATTCCTCTTACCATAACATCTACTTTCGGTGTCCTAATCTATCGAAATATTCAACAATTGAGCTATCGAACGGTTCCATTCGTTAGACAAGAGCTTGACAAGCAATTGAATTCTATGGTTCTTATTCTAATTTTTTGCATTAATATGATGCTTTTACCACAACTAATCGTTTACTTTATCGTAGTTTATGGAAATATTCAAGATTCTCGTGCTCGAGCACAACTTAATTTAGCTTATGCAATTACTCTTTGCTTATATTATTTATTCTTTGCTGTAAGTCATCTTTGTTTATTATTTCTCAGCTTTTTTTTGCCCGCCTCATGTTTTAGTCGCCATTTTATATTTATATGATCGTTTCCGAACGTTTTCGTCGACAGTTTGTGTACGTGATCTTTCAAATGCATATTAATCGGTATCGTCCACAACGAGTCGCTCCAAATGTAATCTTCAATTTAACATAGTTCGTAACAAAAATGATATTTCCATGTTGTACATCAAATGTTTTGCTTTGAGATCGAAACAATCGCTCATCGTTTTACTCAATCTTAACTTTAGTAAAATGGTTTAGTATATTCTTATCGTTAGATTTGGAATGTAATTAAGCACGCTTTTATCGTCAATAACTCGAGTAATATATTACATGCACCCGACTGAGTCTTTTCTAATTAGAAAAAAAGAAGAAAGTTAAATGTGAAACTATCATTATGGTTGTCAATGCATGCCTAGTGTAATAGAGGACGATGAACACGTCGGAAATACTGTTTAGTGCAAAGAAATATGATAGTGACATGAAACCGCCTTCTCTCCTTGGCCTACGATCAAACAGATGCCAACTTCAAAGAAGCTGTGCATCGTCCGCTGTGATGTATGGAATTGACCATTTCAGATGCTTCTTTTGTCCAGATCACATGATTCGATCTATACGTGTTAGTAACGATGACAATGCATATTTATTTATAAAACATGAATTGAACACTGTAGCAAAGTTCATACTATGCAGTACTATTTGTCGTCCTCAGAATCGAAACTTGCCACTGGCATCGGACCATTTCCCCTCATCGTTTAGTTTACCATATTTATCTGTGGATTGATTTCTGTACAACGCATCGATGAGTTCTTTTGCGATCAGTGGGGAATCGATCATTGTATTGATTTCCTATTGAATGTGAAATGAGAACGTACATCAGGGGAAAACAAGATGAAACTTACTTGAGAATGGCACCAAGTTTGTGTATCCATATTGCCACTACCCATGATGACTATTTGATTGTCGACGGACATGAATTTAATATGACAATTTCGCTTCTTTTCAGAGAAGTGGAAAGGACGCGTTTGATCTATAATAGAAAATCAATTGGATTGCTAAACCAGTTATTCTCGAGCATACCTTTTGCAGTATACCAGAAAATGTCGAGATTCTTCTCTGATCCATTATTGTTTTCTTTCAATTTTCGAAAGAGTTTCTTTGCCACGTGTTGGTTCGTTCCACCTTGAAATGTTCCGAAGCCTTCTTTCAAATAATCATAGCCTAAATCGAGCCATAGAGTAACTTTGATACCGCGCTGACAAGCGTTGATAACTCCGTCGACAGCAAGTGATGCATTAAACATCGGAGATTGGATAAATATCGATTGTTGAGCATATCGAAAGGCGCTCAGCCATGCACCATTCTGTGGATTAACAGTATCTCCATGACCTGGCGCACCGTGCGACATACGGCTGACAAGAGCGATGGGAACAGGTTGATGTGGCGTATGGAAAATAAAAGGATTGAAATCTTCTAAGAGCCGCTCCAACTGTTTGGCAGACAGAGTACTGGGGGTTTCCGTTCTTTGAGCAGATGGAGACGATCCATTGAGATGAACAGTGAGAGAACATTGTGAATGAGGAGTGATATAACCAATAACACTATCTTGTGGTTTTTTTGTTACTTTTGTTAGTTCAGTATGCGAATCAGCGGACTGATTGTTTGATATAGCTCGGTATGCGATCTCCGAAAAAGTCTTGTGAGATGTTGAACTTTGTTCAACGCTTCGACGACGCTGAAGTTGACGTCGTGCTCGATCAGCTGCTTTTTGTAACGAACCTTTTACAGATGCATTCAAAGCACTATCGAGTCCGAAATGGAAATCCTGATTGACTGGTGCTTCTTCTCGTAAATAGGCAGGCTCTGGCTCGAACGGTAACTGCCAAGTAATCAAATATGTATCGTAAAACGAATTGACAATATCTCCTTCGTAATGCATCATCATTTCTAAATTTGGCCGATCATAAATATTATTGGTATTCAACAAAGTGATCTTTCGGTCAACGACAAGAAATTTCGCATGAAATGCACCCATGATGAGCTGGTGGTAGATATTCACTTCTATCATGAGATTGGGAAGTTCTTCAGCCGTAGGAATACTGCATTGTGCCCATTTGTTTGGTGGTAGAATCATATGTGGATGTAGAACGTTTCCGATTTTGAAATGATCGATCATAAGCTTGACGATCACAAAACGATTTTCTTGTGCAGCGCGTTTGTTCAAATCGCGTAGAGCATCACCAATAATGCGAGCTGTTTCACCTTTTTGCCACCAACACGTGGCGAATAGAACTTCCTTCTGAGCATTCACAATAACGTGATGGTAGTGTTGCATGATATCCGGAATCGTCGATATGATTGTCAGAGGAATCACACCCGACGTACCGACTAAATTTGGTGATACACAACCGGCCATTGGATCAGCATCGAGTGTACGAATCGCACCATAAAAGAGCTAAAATTGATAGATTCTATGAAAGTTTGTTTGTTGTCGATGGAATACATACTTTAAGAAATAAATCACTTGGGCGATAAGGAAATCGACCATATTTCGCTACAGCATCCAGTTTATCTTGGGTGATTTCGTGTTCAAGTAATTCACGCTTGATTTTAGTTGCTGATTGATATACTGATTTATCAAAGAGAAGTTTAACAGCATCTTTCGGACATTTGATATTAGGATGTCCGGAAGCGTAGACAGAAGTTACAGTTTCATCAGTTAGTGGCGAAGCATTCATTTGTATACGTATTATTCTACTGAATCAAAACAAAAAAGAAAATTACATCGCTTTTTGTACTTATTTATTCTTGTACGTAATAGAACACGTGGTTACAATATTGTGAAACTTGTTTACACTTATACATATAAAAGAGATAAAGAACGGTTCGATTGTTTGAGAAAAGTGACTCATAATACGTCATAATTCAGCTTTATTGTCTTATTCATCCATTCAAATTATTTTGTATTTATGAATACGCCCAGAATTTGTTTACTCAAGCAAAGCAAAACTAACTAAAAAAAGCATTCAAAAGTCAGTCGGTTCAACGAGCAACTAAGGTTGTATTGATACACTCGTCGTGATACCTGTACTAATACTACCGCTCCATTTAGTCCAGAAACCAATTCTTAGATGTCGACCAATAGTAGTATTGAACGTCTGCTGCATATAAGTCATCGATGTGGCTCCGTTGTAGATACCATATGTTCCGTTGTGTGGTGTATTTGTCGAAATGTGACCCGTACAACCACTTCCGATCCAACATGGTGAGCATGTTCCATTTTCGAAATCACCATTGCAGAGCAGTTGTGCTGAAGTAGTTGCATCGACAACAGATATGTCATCTAACCATGTGTAGGCCGGGACATTGACTACAGCGAATGTTATTGTTTCTTTGGCACTCTGCGCAACGTACGATAATGTGACGTGCATGTAGGTAGTTTGTGGTGAGCAGGGATTGTTCATGTACCATAATGTTGTTGCTGCACCAGGTGCTACTGTTGTCGTAGCTACAGTGGAATGAGTAGGATGAATGGACTAGAATGATAGTATGAGAATTCACCTATGGTTGTCGAACTATTCGAGCAAATAGTTGAAACTAGAAGTCGACAAAAATAAAAAAATCATCGTGAAGAAAATATTAGTTTCTCTTATCAATTGTTACAATGGCTGTTACTGTCGGCATAGGGAGCAACATAATGAAATGAATAGGTAAGACAATTCCTGATGCAGTAATGCATATTTTAATGTTAACTACTGCAATCAAGCTTGACTAATTACTGACTTTCAAACGTGGAACGTCGGATTTGAAATAAGTACTTCTTCGAGTCACATAACATTTTTCTAAATTCTCTAAGCTTATTTCAGAACTTTTCGAAAATCAATCACTATCAATCTTTTAGCATAAAAATGTGTTTGCTGGAACAACTTATTTAATGGAAAGTCACAGACTTTAATAGAGAGCCATGAGAAAGGAAGTGAAACGATTTGTCTTGAATAGAAAAATACTTATTGAAGTCACTTAGAAGCCGAGTTACATACGTTTTCTCACTTTAACTTGTTCATAATTAACTCAAATCGACAAATCTTGTACCAAACAGAAAAAAATTCTCTTTCAATTGATAAAACGACCTCGAAATCGTCAAAAACGAAAGATTTTCTCACAAAGATCTCTAATAAAAGTACTTTTGTTACTTTACATACAGAGAAGGACTCAAAAGTGATCAAATCTTAAATATCAATTAAGGTCAACTTTACAACTTACATCCTGAATTGATAATCAGGTTAAATTTTTGAATTCGACTATTTCCTTGATCAACAACGAGAATATTTCCAACCGAATCAAAACTAAGAGCCGACGGATACCTTAATTGATTTGCACCTGAACCCTCTGATTGATTACATCCGAATAAACAACGAAAACCATTCGTATTCTGACCGATAATTCGATGATTACGAGAATCAACAAATAAACAAGTAACTTTCACTATTCAGCGCAATTCCAGTTGGGCAATCAAGATCAAATGTAACGTTGGGCGATCCATTTCCGACGACAGTTGTTCCCAGTAAATTTTGATACTCAAATAATTGAATTCGATGGTTTCCGCAATCTGCAACGAGTAGTTCTCGGCTTTTTTCATCAAAAAAGATTCCTCGATGATTGCGAAATGTTGCTGATGTGGAACCGGGACTCGCTGTTCCCGCAACAATTGACGAATGGCTCCATGGATTGATTAATGATCTGGAAATAACTTGATGTTGTTCAGATAATGAACAATAAAGAGTTTGATAACTTTCACTTAAGAAAAGATGAAAACATTGTTGACAGAAATTCATTCGTGGAATTGGAATCAACTTTGTCGAATTCGACTTGATTTCACTTACAACATTAGTTGAGGAGTGAAACGTATCAACAAAAATGTCTTCTTTTGTGGTTACAAACAAACTTGATGAATTTGTTATATTGACAGATATAGCTTTAATTAAACTCACATTTCCAGAGAGAAAAACGAGGATTTGTTCCTTATTTTTATTTGAAATATAAATTGTATTATTCTGATTGATAAAGAAATCAAAAGGATTTGATCCGATGATAGATTCGTTCGCAATTGTTGTGCCATTCGGATTCCATTGCGAAGTAGAAGAAAGAATTGGCCGATTATATGAAAAACCTATATTTACGAAAAGACGTGTGTTTAGATCAATTATCATCGGGATTAACCTGAAAATTTACCTGAAATTTGTTTTATAATGAATAAAATGATCAAAAAACATTGTTTTCCATTGAAGGACATAGCGCACAAATAATTGATCTCATTTTCCAACAAGTTTACATATTAGGCATTTCTTTGTTTAGAAATCAAAATTAAAAGGAAAGGTAATTTCCCTCATTTTAGTTTTCTCTCATTAAATATTGGACTGCTGATTTTCCTTGTTCAAAACTTTATTTACATTTCAGTCTACATGTAAAAGTCACGAAAGAATATTTCAAGGTGTAAGAAGTATAAATACTATGACGTCGACCCATTTCAAAATCAATTTAGAAAGTCTAGAGAACGATACGAAAAGTTCTTCAATGACAAGTTTTGATCATTTCTGAAATGAAATGAAGATTTCCGGTTGTACTATCCACTTTTTTCCCTTAATTTTTATCCTGTAACAAGAATATGTTTTTTGAAGAAACCATGATACAAATTAGTGTCACATCACCTATCAAACACTCTCATTAAGAAGACTAAGTAACTTCGCACAAAGCCATTTACGTACAAGTTGTATCCTACAAAAGTACTACTCTCGTGAACTAGTGTTCTGGTATATAATGAACTCTATAACATATGTAATGTTTTTGTTTAAATTTTCGAACTAAATGGTTCTCTCGATGGATAGAACTATTCATTGCGGAGTGACTGAACATTTTTTTTTGTAGATCACTATCTGATGAGCAAGTAATAGTTTAATCCTTTTTGATCGCGTTTTTGAAAAACAATTACNGCGTTTGATCTATGATAGAAAATCAATTGGATTGTTAAACCAGTCAGTTATTCTCGAGCATACCTTTTGCAGTATACCAGAAAATGTCGAGATTCTTCTCTGATCCATTATTGTTTTCTTTCAATTTTCGAAAGAGTTTCTTTGCCACGTGCTGGTTCGTTCCACCTTGAAATGTTCCGAAGCCTTCTTTCAAATAGTCATACCCTAAATCGAGCCATAGAGTAACTTTGATACCGCGCTGACATGCGTTGATAACTCCGTCGATAGCGAGTGATGCATTAAACATCGGAGATTGGATAAATATCGATTGTTGAGCATATCGAAAGGCGCTCAGCCATGCGCCATTCTGTGGATTAACAGTATCTCCATGACCTGGCGCACCGTGCGACATACGGCTAACGAGAGCGATTGGAACAGGTTGATGTGGCGTATGGAAAATAAAAGGATTGAAATCTTCTAAGAGCTGTTCCAGCTGTTGGGCAGATAGAGTATTCGGGGTTTCCGTTCTTTGAGCAGATGGAGACGATCCATTGAGATGAATAGTGAGAGAACATTGTGAAAGAGGAGTGATATAACCAACAACACTATTTTGTGGTTCTTTTTCTACTTTTATTAGTTCAGTGTGCGAATCAGCGGATTGATTGTTCGATATAACTCGGTGTGGGATCTCCGAGAAAGTCTTGTGAGATGTTGAACTTTGTTCAACGCTTCGACGACGCTGAAGTTGTCGTCGTGCTCGATCAGCAGCTTTTTGTAACGAACCTTTCACAGATGCATTCAAAGCACTATCGAGTCCGAAATGGAAATCCCGATTGATTGGTGCTTCTTCTCGTAAGTAGGCAGGCTCTGGCTCGAACGGTAACTGCCAAGTAATCAGATATGTATCGTAAAATGAATTGACAATATCTCCTTCGTAATGCATCATCATTTCTAAATTTGGCCGATCATAAATATTATTAGTATTCAACAAAGTGATCTTTCGGTCAACGACAAGAAATTTCGCATGAAATGCACCCATGATGAGCTGGTGGTAGATATTCACTTCTATCATGAGATTAGGAAGTTCTTCAGCTGTAGGAATACTGCATTGTGCCCATTTGTTTGGTGGTAGAATCATATGTGGATGTAGGATGTTTCCGATTTTGAAATGATCAATCATAAGCTTGACGATCACAAAACGATTTTCTTGTGCAGCGCGTTTGTTCAAATCGCGTAGAGCATCACCAATAATGCGAGCAGTTTCACCTGTTTTGCCACCAACACGTGTTGCATGATATCCGGAATCGTCGATATGATTGTCAGAGGAATCACACCCGACGTACCGACTAAATTTGGTGATACACAACCGGCCATTGGATCAGCATCGAGGGTACGAATCGCACCATAAAAGAGCTAAAATTGATAGATTCTATGAAAGTGTCTTTGTTGTCGATGGAATACATACTTTAAGAAATAAATCACTCGGACGATAAGGAAATCGACCGTATTTCGCTACAACATCCAGTTCATCTTGGGTGATTTCATGTTCATGTAATTCACGCTTGATTTTCGATGCTGACTGATATACTGATTTATCAAAGAGAAGTTTAACAGCATCTTTCGGACATGTGATATTAGGATGTCCAGAAGCGTAGACAGAAGTTACAGTTTCATCAGTTAGCGGCGAAGCATTCATTTGTATACGTATTATTCTAATGAATCAAAACAAAAAGGAAATTACATAGCCTTTTGTACTTATTTATTCTTGTACGTAATAGAACACGTGGTTACAATATTGTGAAACTTGTTTACACTTATACATATAAAAGAGATAAAGAACGGTTCGATTGTTTGAGAAAAGTGACTCATAATACGTCATAATTCAGCTTTGTTGTCTTATTCATCCTTTCAAATTATTTTGTATTTATGAATACGCCCAGAATTTGTTTACTCAAGCAAAGCAAAACTAACTAAAAAAAGCATTCAAAAGTCAGTCGGTGCAACGAACAACTACGGTTGTATTGATACACTCGTCGTGATACTGGTACTAATACTACCGCTCCATTTAGTCCAGAAACCAATGCTCAGATGTCGACCAATAGTAGTATTGAACGTCTGCTGCATATAAGTCATCGATAAGGCTCCGTTGTAGATACCATATACTCCGCTGTGCGGTGTATTTGTCGAAATGTGACCTACACAACCACTTCCGATCCAACATGGTGAGCATGTTCCATTTTCGAAACCACCATTGCAGAGCAGTTGCGCTGAAGTAGTTACATCGACAACAGATATGTCATCTAACCATGTGTAGGCTGGAACGTTGACTACAGCAAATGTTATTGTTTCTTTGGTGCTCTGAGCAACGTACGATAATGTGACGTGCCTGTAGGTAGTTTGTGGTGAGCAGGGATTGTTCATGTACCATAATGTTGTTGCTGCACCAGGTGCTACTGTTGTCGTAGCTACAGTGGAATGAGTAGGATGAATGGACTAGAATGATAGTATGAGAACTCACCGATTGTTGTCGAACTAGTCGAGCAAACAGTTGAAACTAGAAGTCGACAAAAATAGAAAAATCATCGTGAAGAAAATATTAGTTTCTCTTATCAATTGTTACAATGGCTGCTACTGTCGGCATACGGAGCAACATAATGAAATGAATAGGTAAGACAATTCCTAGTGCAGCAATGCATATTTTAATGTTAACTACTACGATCAAGCTTGACTAATTACTGACTTTCAAACGTGGAACGTCGGATTTGAAATAAGTACTTCTTCGAGCCACATAACATTTTTCTAAATTCTCTAAGCTTATTTCAGAGCTTTTCGAAAATCAATTACTATCAATCTTTTAGAATAAAAATGTGTTTGCTGGAACAAGTTATTTAATAGAAGGTCACAGACTTTAATAGAGAAATATCAGTTAAGGTCAACTTTATAACTTACAGCCTGAATTGATAATCAGGTTAAATTTTTGAATTCGACTATTTCCTTGATCAACAACGAGAATATTTCCAAACGAATCAAAACTAAGAGTCGACGGGTAACTTAATTGATTTGCATCTGAACCCTCTGATTGATTACATCCGAATAAACAACGAAAACCATTCGCATTCTGACCGATAATTCGATGATTACGAGAATCAACAATAAACAAGTAACTTTGACTATCCAGTGCAATTCCAGTTGGATAATCAAGATCAAATGTAACGTTGGGTGATCCATTTCCGGCGACAGTTGTTCCCAGTAAATTTTGATACTCAAATAATTGAATTCGATGGTTTCCGCAATCTGCAACGAGTAGTTCTTGGCTTTTTTCATCAAAAAAGATTCCTCGAGGATTGCGAAGTGTTGCTGATGTGGAACCGGGACTCGCTGTTCCCGCAACAATTGACGAATGGCTCCATGGATTGATCAAGGATTTGGAAATAACTTGATGCTGTTCAGATAATGAACAATAAAGAGTTTGATAAGTTTCACTTAGGAAAAGATCAAAACATTGTCGACAGAAATTCATTCGTGGAATTGAAATCAACTTTGTTGATTTCGACTTGATTTCACTTACAACGCTAGTTGAGGAGTGAAATGTATCAACGAAAATGTCTTCTTTTGTGGTTACAAACAAACTTGATGAATTTGTTATATTGACAGAAATAGCTTTAATTAAACTCACATTTCCAGAGAGAAAAACGAGGATTTGTCCCTTATTTTTATTCGAAATATAAATTGTATTATTCTTATTGATAAAGAAATCAAAAGGATTTGATCCGATGACAGATTCGTTCGCAATTGTTGTGCCATTCGGATTCCATTGTGAAGTAGAAGAAAAAATTGGTCGATTATATGAAAAACCTACATTTACGAAAAGGCGTGTGACTAGATCGATTATCATCGGGATTATCCTGAAAATTTACCTGAAATTTGTTTTATAATGAATAAAACGATCAGAAAACGTTGTTTTCCATTGAAGGACATAGCGCGCAAATAAATGATCTCATTTTCCAACAAGTTTACATATTAGGGATTTCTTTGTTTAGAAATCAAAATTAAAAGAAAAGGTGATTTTCCTCATTTTAGTTTTCTCTCATTAAATATTGGACTGCTGATTTTCCTTGTTCAAAACTTTATTTACGTTTCAGTCTACATGTAAAAGTCACGGAAGAATATTTCAAGGTGTAAGAAGCATAGATACTATGACGTCGACTCATTTCGGAATCAATTTAGAAAGTCTATAGCACAATATGAAAAGTTCTTCAGTGACAAGTTCTGATCATTTCTGAAATGAAATGAAGATTTCCGGTTGTACTATCCTGTAACAAGGATATGTTTTTTGAAGAAACCATGATACAAATTAGTGTCGCATCACCTATCAAAAACTCTCATTAAGAAGACTAAGTAACTTCGCACAAAGCCATTTACATACAAATCGTATCTTGCAAAAGTACTATTCTGGTGAACTAGTGTTCTGGTATATAATAAACTCTATAACATATGTAATATTTTTGTTTAAATTTTTGAACTAAACGATTCTCTCGATGGATAGAACTATCCATTGCGGAGTGACTGAACATTTTTTTTGTCGATCACTATCTGATGAGCAAGTAATAGTTTAATCCTTTTTGATCGCGTTTTTGAAAAATAATTACGTTAAAAAAAACCGTTTCCGATATGAACAGCTTGAAAATTCCAATTGGATGCAGAAAAAACGAACCTGCAGAGGCACAATTTTTTGCATAGGACGATATGTTCAAAAGGGAGATACAGTTGAAAGTTTTGCATCTTGTTCGCTGATTCAAATTATTCTGTATTCATGAATACGCCCAGAATTTGTTTACTCAAACAAATCGAAACTAATTAAAAAGCATTCAAAAGTCAGTCGGTTCAACGAACAACTAATGCTGTATTGATACTATACCACTACTACTTCATTTAGTCCAGAAACCAATGCTTAGTTGTCGACCAATGTTAAACGTCTGTTGCATACAAGTCATCGATAGGACTCCGTGGTATGTACCATGATGTTGTTGCTGCACTAGGTACTACTGTTGTCGTAGCTACGGCGGAATAAGTAGAAAATTCTGAGATTGTACATTCAATTTTTACGTACCAGTTGCTCCTGTTGCTGTTATCGTTGTTAGGTTCCTTGTTACTAAGTAAACAGGAAGGAAGGTTGTTAAGGTAATGACGCACATTGCAGGGAGGATTGCTACAATGATCAGTATTACAATCAGTATGGTCTTTTGCGAGAATACATCCTATTCCGCAATGTTACACATTTGGGAATCAGTTCCTACGATTCCGGAATTACACCCTCACCCTCAAGATTATTTGTGACATTTTGTCTCTCACAAAAATTAGATGAAAGCTTTTCTATGTACAGCATTGTATACGATCTTCCACTTATTGCAACTGTTGTGTAGAAAGGTCGTCGTGCACAATCGTAAAATGACTTTCAGTACGTCTAGCAAAGTTTGATCTCTTCTCCTTACTGAAAATAAACGTCTGATCAGAAATTTTGTGTAAATAAATCTCTCGGTCGAACTTGTTGACTGTTTAAGTTACGGCAGCAGAGAAGATAGGCGAGCGTCACAATGACTGGAATATAATTGCATTGGAATTGTTTCAAAGATCATCAGTGTGCTAATTGATCTGCACATCAAGTCAGTCATATTTCATGACTTGGATTCTCCGTAGAAGACATTTCAGAAAGTATTTAACACTGGGGATTGACTATCATATACTTAAATAAGGTAGAACTGACTGTTGGTACGATGAACTTATCGCATAACTTTGAACATTTTCTTTCTCATTATGTTTCACAGTCGTAGCCACACGATGAAACAAATCTGACATGGTAAAATCATGTTTTTGTTCGCTGCTTAAATTGAATAGCTTCAAGAAATGTAAAGTATAGGAGTGTCAACTTTTTTGAACATGAGACGTACTTTATCATCCGCGATAAATCCACTAAACAGCGCGTATAGCTAAGCAATCATTTAATATTCAACTGTAGACCTATGTAGCATATTTTTCTTATCTTGTCGTGTGTATGTGTGCACATTGATAACTGCATGTGCTCGTTCTATCTTTTCATTTGTTTGAAAGGTATCCCTTAATTGAATGACACATGGATAGAGAATCCAAGCCAAAAATTCTGTCAAATATACAAATCTATTTGAAACAACCATGGGATCTGATTAAAACTGGATATTTGATTTTAACATGGATTACCATGGTAGATTTGATCTGAGTGTAAAAATACTTTTTACATCTGACGAATTGTATTTAGGGTTTTCATCTTGAATTAATTGGTCCAACAATGCCCATTCTTGCTACAAATATTCAAGTTACATACAGTGGAATGGGCTCAGTACTTGCATCGAGAAGTGCTGGGTATTTAGTAGCAAATTGTCTCGGTGCTACGTTGCAAAGTATCGTCAAAAACCATTCGGAAGGTCTCCTTTTCTGTGCATTCTTTTTACCTGCCATTGCCGTTTTTGCTACACCTTTCATCACCTCGTTGATACTGATGTGTATTGTTTCATTTGCTCAAGGGATTTCGAAAGGTTTTACCGACCTAGGTAAGTTCAGATTGCTCGGTTATCTATTTGAATACATATACATAGGTGGGAACAATCTATTATTGAAAATGTGGACTGTTAATGCTTCAGCACCATTAAATGCAGTTCATTTAGGCTATGGAGTCGGCGCTGTTTTTGCTAATTTACTCATTCGTCCATTTCTTACTAATCGAAATATCTTCGTTCCATATTCCATCACCGCACTCATATGTCTTTTGATCTCTGTTGGACATATATTTCTCTATATCCTAGAAATAAGAAATCGAAGACAAAAGTCAAGAGTAGAGGAAGTCGAAGAGAGCTTGGAAAAGTCGTCACCTTATTCCCCGCGTACGTGTGGTCGTGGATCTTTCCAATATGGTTTAATTCTTTCGATAATGTTTATTGCTTACACATTTTTCGTGGGTGGAAATTATCAAACATTTTCCAAATTCTACTTTTCGTTTCTGAAATTCGAAAAATTTAAGTTGTCCAATGAAGATGCCAGTTGGGGAATGATTCTCTTTTGGCTTTCCAGTTCCGTATGTATATCTAGCTTTTNAACTATTCATTGCGGAGTGACTGAACATTTTTTTTGTAGATCACTATCTGATGAGCAAGTAATAGTTTAATCCTTTTTGATCGCGTTTTTGAAAAACAATTACTCTAAAAAAACCGTTCCCGATATGAACAGCTTGCAACTTCCAATCGGATGCAGAAAAACGAACCTGCAGAGCCACAATTTTTTTGCATACGATGATATGTTCAAAAGGGAGATACAGTTGAAATTTTTGCATCTTGTTCACCGGTTCCAATTATTCTGTATTTATGAATACGCCCAAAATTTGTTTACTCAAACAAATCGAAATTAATTTAGAAAAAGCATTCAAAAGTCAGTCGGTCCAACGAAACTACCACTACTACTCCATTTAGTCCAGAAACCAATGCTTAGTAGTCGACCAAAAGTAATATTAAACGTCTGTTGTATATAAGTCATCGATAGGACTCCGTGGTATGTACCATAATGTGGTTGCTGTTTTCGTTGTTAGGTTCCTTCTTACAAAGTAAACAGGAAGGAAGGTTTTTAATGTAACGATGCACATTGCAGTGAGGATTGCTAGAATGATCAGTATGACAATCAGTGGTCTTTTGCATCTATTTTGTTAAGAAGCATCGAAATACAAATGATTCACTAGTATCAATGACAAATCTTCTGGAATCTTCAGTCTGCATTGCTTGTATATGCGCTGCGAGTTGATAACAACAATCGATCAGTATATTTATTGTTCGCAGTGTATGATTTCTACAAAAAAAACTCATAATACAGTATGTTATTTGTCTTCGATTGGAATTCGAACTTGATTTTTTTACATGGATGAATCTTAGATTCGGATACTGAGTTATTCGTCACATATTGTCTTTAACAAAAATTAGATGAAAGCTTTTCTATGTATATTATTATATACGATCTTCCACTTACTGCAGCCGTTGTGTAAAAAGGTCGTCGTGCATAATCGCAAAATGATTTTCAGTGTGTCTAGCAAAGAAGATGGACGAGCGTCATAATGACTAGAATATAATTGCATTGGAATTGTTTCAAAGGCCATCGCTATGTTAATGATCTGCACATCAAGTCAGTTATATTTCATCCCTTGGCTTCTTCGTAGAAGACATTTCAGAAAGTATATCGCACTAGCAATTGACTATCTTTCGTATTGTGTTACACCCTCGTAGTGACACGATGAAACAAATTTGACATGGTAAAATCATGTTTTTGTTCGCTGCTTATATTTAATACCTTCAAGAAATGTAAAGTATAGGAGTGTCAGCTTTTTGGAACATGAGACGTACTTTATCATCCCCGATAAATCCACTAAACAGCGCGTATTGCTAAGCAATCATTTAATATTCAACTGTAGATCTATGTAACATATTTTTCTTATCTTATAGTGTGTGTGTGTGTGTGTGCACATTGATAACTGCATGTGCTCGTTCTATCTGTTTATTTGTTTGAAAGGTATCCCTTAATTGAATGACACATGGATAGAGAATCCAAGCCAAAAATTCTGTCAAATATACAAATCTATTTGAAACAACCATGGGATCTGATTAAAACTGGATATTTGATTTTAACATGGATTACCATGGTAGATTCGACCTGAGTGTAAAAATACTTTTTACATCTGACGAATTGTATTTAGGGTTNTGACACATGGATAGAGAATCCAAGCCAAAAATTCTGTCAAATATACAAATCTATTTGAAACAACCATGGGATCTGATTAAAACTGGATATTTGATTTTAACATGGATTACCATGGTAGATTCGACCTGAGTGTAAAAATACTTTTTACATCTGACGAATTGTATTTAGGGTTTTCATCTTGAATTAATCGGTCCAACAATGCCCATTCTTGCTGCAAATATTCAAGTTACATATAGTGGAATGGGCTCAGTACTTGCATCGAGAAGTGCTGGGTATTTAGTAGCAAATTGTCTCGGTGCTACTTTACAAAGTATCGTCAAAAACCATTCTGAAGGTCTCCTTTTCTGTGCATTCGTTTTACCTGCCATTGTCGTTTTCGCTACACCATTCATCACCTCGTTGATACTGATGTGTATTGTTTCATTTGCTCAAGGGATTTCGAAAGGTTTTACTGACCTAGGTAAGTTCAGATTGTTCAGTTATCTATTTGAATGGGTATACATAGGTGGGAACAATCTATTATTGAAAATGTGGACTGTCAATGCTTCAGCACCATTAAATGCAGTTCATTTAGGCTATGGAGTCGGTGCTGTTTTTGCTAATTTACTCATTCGTCCATTTCTTACTAATCGAAATATCTTTGTTCCATATTCCATCACCGCATTCGTATGTCTTTTGATCGCTCTTGGACATATGTTTCTCTATATCCTGGAAATAAGAAATCGAAGACAAAAGTCAAGAGTAGAGGAAGTCGAAGAGAGCTTGGATAAGTCATCACCTTATTCGCCACGTACGTGTGGTCGTGGATCTTTCCAATATGGTTTAATTCTTTCGATAATGTTTATTGCTTACACATTTTTCGTGGGTGGAAATTATCAAACATTTTCCAAATTCTACTTTTCGTTTCTGAAATTTGAAAAATTCAAGTTGTCCAATGAAGATGCCAGTTGGGGAATGACTCTCTTTTGGCTTTCCAGTTCCGTATGTATATCTAGCTTCTTCCTGATCATCATTAAAACTATATTTTGACATACCAGATCGGACGCTTCATTTTCGCAATTATATCAATCTTTCTATCGGTAAATATCTGTCTTAGTATTATTTGGGCAGGCGCTATATGCCTCGCAGCAGCATGGCTTACTTATGTTTGGATCGTTGGTTTATCAAGTATGAGTTTATTTATTCTGGGTGCAATAACCGGCTTAATATTTTCACCGATATTTCCTTTATCGTTTGGTTATTTCAATCAAAGGCTCAATGTTATACCAATGCTCCTTGGTTTACTTTTGTGCGGGACGGCACTCGGAGCGATGACATCGAACAAAATAGCTGGTATGTTTTGTTTCGATGAAGACTTTGTATTTGACTCTCTATGTAGGTTTAGTGATGGATCATGATCCCAACCATTTTCCAACACTGTTGGCGATTTGGATACTGATGGCAACTCTTCTCTACATTGGTTCGCATCTCGTCTACTTTTGTCATCGACGACCTTCAGCAGATACTGGTCGTGAATGCGTTAACGAAGAAGAAAAAGGAGTGATGATGGAGATAACAAATAAAGAAAACAAATAGCAACTTCGTTTTTGCTTTTTTTACGATATGAAATAAAATACGAAAAGATCTTTATTCATGTTTAAAATTTAGTTTCAGAAGTTCGTTTACCACATTCATGTTCAACGAGAAATATATTTTTCATGGAACCATCATTGATACACCTGATCCATCGACATTACGAATTAGAAAACAACACATTTGTACTGTGAATAAGGGCAAAATCGAAATAATCAAACCTGCTGATTCCCTCAATACTGTTGATGTATATCGAGATTATACGATTATTCATTTAAGCGAGAGTCAATTTATCTGTCCGGGATTTGTTGATTTACATTGCCACGCTCCGCAATATCGACAAGTGGGAAGCGCTACTGAAGTGCCTCTTCTACAATGGCTCGACAAATTCACTTTCCCGAATGAAGCTAGATGTGCCGATCTTTCCTACGCGCGGAATCTCTATACAAAACTTGTCTCGAGACTATTACGTAATGGAACGACAACAGTGCAATACTTTGCCACGATACATCTTGAAGCAACGAAAATTCTAGCAGATATCTGTCAAGAAAAAGGACAACGAGCATACATTGGTAAAGTGTGTGCAGATCGAAATTCACCTGATTTCTACATTGAAACGACGGAGGAAAGTGTTCGGCATACAGAAGAATTCATTAATTATGTTCATCGTATGGAAAAAGGTAGAGATATTGCTGAGATGAAGGCTCTGATACATCCTGTTGTTACACCTCGATTTGTACCAACATGTTCACTAGATTTACTCGTTCAACTGGGACAACTAGCGAAGAAATATGATGTCCATATACAATCACACATCGCAGAGACAGCAGATCAGGTTGCATTCGTACATGCACTTCATCCTGATGTTGGAAACGGACGAGACGTAGCTATTTTCAATCAAACCGGCCTTCTGACAAATAAAGCAGTTTTTGCTCACGGAGTCTATCTAGCTGACGATGAAGTTGACCACATGATAGCAAGTGGAAGCGCTGTAGCCAGTTGCCCAATTGCAAATTTTCTTTTTTCGAAAGGAATCACTGCCATTGAACGTTTTCGAAGAAAGGGTTTGAAAGTAGGTCTAGGAACTGACGTTGGAGGTGCATATTCAAGCAACATGCTTCCTGTCGTACGCGCTGCTGTGTTTGGTAATCGAACGATGGATTTTGTTTCGATCGATCGTTCGATTGCTGCACTTCCAGAATTTCCTGAACATAAAGATCCAGACATTGATTTCAAATTCGCTTTCTACTTGGCCACTCTGGGAGGCGCACACGCGTTGAACATCGATACACACATCGGAAGCTTCGAAATCGGAAAGGAGTTCGATGCACTACTTGTCGACTGTAACAAGGATGATCAGGCATTCGATTATTGGAGTGAAGATGAAAGTGACATCATATTTGAGAAATGGGTNAAAAGTCAAGAGTAGAGGAAGTCGAAGAGAGCTTGGAAAAGTCGTCACCTTATTCCCCGCGTACGTGTGGTCGTGGATCTTTCCAATATGGTTTAATTCTTTCGATAATGTTTATTGCTTACACATTTTTCGTGGGTGGAAATTATCAAACATTTTCCAAATTCTACTTTTCGTTTCTGAAATTCGAAAAATTTAAGTTGTCCAATGAAGATGCCAGTTGGGGAATGATTCTCTTTTGGCTTTCCAGTTCCGTATGTATATCTAGCTTTTTCCTGATCATCATTAAAACCATAGTTTGACACACCAGGTCGGACGCTTCCTTTTCGCAATTATATCAATCTTTCTATCGGTAAATATCTGTCTTAGTATTATTTGGGCAGGTGCTCTATGCCTCGCAGCAGCATGGCTTACTTATGTTTGGATCGTTGGTTTATCAAGTATGAGTTTATTTCTTCTGGGTGCAATAACCGGCTTAATATTTTCACCGATATTTCCTTTATCGTTCGGTTATTTCAATCAAAGGCTCAATGTTATACCAATGCTTCTCGGTTTACTTTTGTGCGGGACGGCACTCGGAGCGATGTCATCGAACAAAATAGCTGGTATGTTTTGTTTCGATGAAGACTTTGCATTTGACTCTCTGTATAGGCTTAGTGATGGATCATGATCCCAACCATTTTCCAACACTGTTGGCGATTTGGATACTGATGGCAACTCTTCTCTACATTGCTTCGCATCTCGTCTACTTTTGTCATCGACGACCTTCAACAGATACTGGTCGTGAATGCGTTAACGAAGAAGAAAAAGGAGTGATGATGGAGATAACAAATAAAGAAAACAAATAGCAATTTCGTTTTTGCTTTTTCTTACGATATAAAATAAAATATGAAAAGATCTTTATTCCTGTTTGAAATTTAGTTTCAGAAGTTCGTTTACCACATACATGTCCAACGGGAAATATATTTTTCATGGAACCATCATTGATACACCTGATCCATCGACATTACGAATTAGAAAACAACACATTTGTACTGTGAATAAGGGCAAAATCGAAATCATCGAACCTGCTGATTCTCTCAATACTGTTGATCTATATCGAGATTATACGATTATTCATTTAAGTGAGAGTCAATTTATCTGTCCGGGATTTGTTGATTTACATTGCCACGCTCCACAATATCGACAAGTGGGAAGCGCCACTGAAGTACCTCTTCTTCAATGGCTCGACAAATTCACTTTCCCGAATGAAGCTAGATGTGCCGATCTTTCCTACGCGCGCAATCTCTACACAAAACTTGTCTCGAGGCTATTACGTAATGGAACGACGACAGTGCAATACTTTGCCACGATACATCTTGAAGCAACGAAAACTCTAGCAGATATCTGTCAAGAAAAAGGACAACGAGCTTACATTGGTAAAGTGTGTGCAGATCGAAATTCACCAGATTTCTACATTGAAACAACGGAGGAAAGTGTTCGGTATACAGAAGAATTCATTAATTATGTGCATCGTATGGAAAAAGGTAGAGATATCGCTGAGATGAAGGCTCTGATACATCCTGTTGTTACACCTCGATTTGTACCAACATGTTCACTAGATTTACTCGCTCAACTGGGACAACTAGCGAACAAATATGATGTCCATATACAATCACACATCGCGGAGACAGCAGATCAGGTTGCATTCGTACATGCACTTCATCCTGATATTGGGAATGGACGAGACGTAGCTATTTTCAATCAAACCGGTCTTCTGACAAATAAAGCAGTTTTCGCTCATGGAGTCTATCTAGCTGACGATGAAGTTGATCACATGATAGCAAGTGGAAGCGCTGTAGCCAGTTGCCCAATTGCAAATTTCCTTTTTTCGAAAGGAATCACGGCCATTGAACGTTTTCGAAGAAAGGGTTTGAAAGTGGGTCTAGGAACTGATGTTGGGGGTGGGTATTCAAGCAACATGCTTCCGGTCGTACGCGCTGCTGTGTTCGGTAATAGAACGATGGATTTTGTTTCGATCGATCGTTCGATTGCTGCACTTCCAGAATTTCCTGAACATAAAGATCCAGACATTGATTTCACATTCGCTTTCTACTTGGCGACTCTGGGAGGCGCACACGCGTTGAACATCGATACACACATCGGAAGCTTCGAAATCGGAAAGGAGTTCGATGCACTACTTGTCGACTGTAACAAGGATGATCAGGCATTCGATTATTGGAGTGAAGATGAAAGTGACATCATATTTGAGAAATGGGTNCTTCCAGAATTTCCTGAACATAAAGATCCAGACATTGATTTCACATTCGCTTTCTACTTGGCGACTCTGGGAGGCGCACACGCGTTGAACATCGATACACACATCGGAAGCTTCGAAATCGGAAAGGAGTTCGATGCACTACTTGTCGACTGTAACAAGGATGATCAGGCATTCGATTATTGGAGTGAAGATGAAAGTGACATCATATTTGAGAAATGGGTGAATGCTGGTGATGACCGAAATATCGTTGGAGTGTGGGTGCAGGGACGAAAAGTGTGTTGAATCTGTGTGTATGCGCAGAGAACCGTTTTTTTTCTTCTCCTAAATAAATAAACATATTTTTCTCTTCCAGTAAGAGAATTTTCGATTCTGTCTTCTGTCGCGTATTATTTTGCAATTATGTTGGCATAAAGCAAAACAAGTGTTTTTTCCCATCGCATTTTACGTTTTTTCATAAAAATTCTCAACGTTTGTTTAAAAAAAGGCATACGACTGGCATGATGGCACCGACTATTTGGGTACAAATTGACAATTGTGACACGGAAAAGGTGCGGCTGGAATCGGAGATGGATATTGACGATCTTAAAAAGAAGTTACTAGGAAAGGATGCAAATAAATATCGAGCAATCTATCAGAATGTTAGGTTGAGGTCAGACACACTAATACCTGGTGACACGACATTTGAGCAACCCGTTTTGTTACAGTTACAAATAGCATCAGGTAGGACTGCTCTTCAACTTGTTTTTCTACAAAATGATGAGATGATTTTTGAATCGCAGATTTGACATCGACTCAGTCGCAGCCGTTAATCACAAATGTAGACGGTACTTTTCAACCACACTTTGAAAATCAAATGCTTGGACAGTCGACTCATGCGCACCAACGACGAGGTCAACCGCAGGCATACGATCCATATTATTCTTCGATAAATCAGGGCTTACTTAATACTAGCTACCCACCAGTCCCGGATTATTCAACTGGTCGCACATCGATCCCTTTCAGTCTGTCATCGGGAACCTATTCTTCTGGGTTAAATTCGCATTATAACTGTGATCAAACGTATCATTCATTTGCGGCACCCTCCAATTATGAAACATCATATTATTCACCAACAGGCATGAGCATGCCTACAATGGTAACTAACAACTGTTAATAGCGTGTGATTTTCGAGAGAAAAGAAGTNGTCCCGGATTATTCAACTGGTCGCACATCAAACCCTTTCAGTCTGTCATCGGGAACCTATTCTTCTGGGTTAAATTCGCATTATAACTGTGATCAAACGTATCATTCATTTGCGGCACCCTCCAATTATGAAACATCATATTATTCACCAACAGGCATGAGCATGCCTACAATGGTAACTAACAAATGTTAATAGCGTGTGATTTTCGAGAGAAAAGGAATATCTTCACGCTAAAGATTGTTCTCGTGTTCTATTCAGATGCGTCCGAGTTTTGTACCTCCGCATGAAATGCAACCAACGGGCATCGGATTCAGTTGTGTAACCAATGACATGAAAGTAGCGCACTTACAACAGTAAGAATCGATATTTATCTCAATTGAATTTATAGATTTGATTTACGTTAGAGAATGCTTTCGTCGATTGGGCCCGGAACTATTTGACAGAGCTTACGGATATCTACGACAGCAAAAAATTCGACAACGTACAGACAAGACATTAGACAATGCCCAAATACGACATGATCTGCATCAAATGACTCGAGACCCACAATCCAGTGAATTGTTAGATCAACTCGTCTTCTTTGAGCTAAATAATTAAGCGTAGGAAAAAAGAACTATATGAAATCGTGATTAAGATTTATTTCATGTGATAAAGCAATGTAAGGTAAATGTCATCGTAGGATATAGATAAAAATCAAATGAACGTTTTTCAATTTCGAGCGATTTCAGCATAGACACTGATGAGTTCTTCTAAAGTTTTTAATTCTTTGAATGTGCCACCCATTTTGTCATTAATTTTTTTCAAAAGATCCATTTGCGCAACACCGAATGCGACAGTCCAGAACTGATTAATTCTTGTTCTCAGAGTTAATAGTTTGTTGAGTTCGTTTTCGGGATAACTAGCTTGCCCATCGGTCATGAATATAATGATGAAAGATAAATTTTGAGCTGCATTAGCAGTGGAAGTTGGAAGTGGAACATTTTCTATCGTTTTAACTACTAAGTCGAATGCTTTGGTAAAATCTGTACCACCACTTGTAAATTGTATTTTGCCACTGTCAACTGCTTTTGATTCAACATTAAACATAGCGTAGTTTGCAGCACTAGCAAAAACGATAATCGTTATCCGATCTGCTGCACCACAGTCGATTCGAATTCTGATAAATTCTTTCACAGCTTGCATCAAAGCATTCCAAGGATTTCCCGCCATTGATCCTGATGCATCAAGTAATAATATATAATGAAAAGCAGCTGGAGCGGCTTGAGGTGTGTTATTTGTAACAAATTTCATATCATATTGTTCACATAAACGTTTACCAATTTTACCCCAAACATGAAGAAACTTACTTCGTAATTTGTTCAAATCGTCGGGGTTAATCGCATTGCCGAAATACGACTGAGGGTGATCTTTCTTAAANATAAATCAGGGCTTACTTAATACTAGCTACCCACCAGTCCCGGATTATTCAACTGGTCGCACATCGATCCCTTTCAGTCTGTCATCGGGAACCTATTCTTCTGGGTTAAATTCGCATTATAACTGTGATCAAACGTATCATTCATTTGCGGCACCCTCCAATTATGAAACATCATATTATTCACCAACAGGCATGAGCATGCCTACAATGGTAACTAACAACTGTTAATAGCGTGTGATTTTCGAGAGAAAAGAAGTATCTTCACGCTAAAGATTGTTCTCGTGTTCTATTCAGATGCGTCCGAGTTTTGTACCTCCTCATGAAATGTAACCAATGACATGAAAGTAGCGCACTTACAACAGTAAGAATCGATATTTATCTTAATTGAATCTATAGATTCGATTTACGTTAGAGAATACTTTCGTCGACTGGGCCCGGAACTATTTGACAGAACGTACGGATATCTACGACAGCAAAAAATTCGACAACGTACAGACAAGACATTAGACAATGCCCAAATGCGTCATGATCTGCATCAAGTGACTCGAGATCCACAATCCTGTGAATTATTAGATCAACTCGTCTTCTTTGAGCTAAATAATTAGGCGTAGGAAAAAAGAACTATATGAAATCATGATTAAGATTTATTTCATGTGATAAAACAATGTGAGGTAAATGTCATCGTAGGATATAGATAGGAATCAAATGAACGTCTTTCAATTTCGAGCGATTTCAGCATAGACACTGATGAGTTCTTCTAAAGTTTTTAATTCTTTGAATGTGCCACCCATTTTGTCATTTATTTTTTTCAAAAGATCCATTTGCGCATTACCGAATGTGACAGTCCAGAACTGATTAATTTTTGTTCTCATAGTTAATAGTTTGTTGAGCTCGTTTTCGGGATAATTAGCTTGCCCATCGGTCATGAATATAATGATGAAAGATAAATTTTGAGTTGCATTAGCAGTAGAAGTTGGAAGTGGAATAGTTTCTATCGTTTTAACTACTAAGTCGAATGCTTTGGTAAAATCTGTACCACCACCTGTAAATTGTATTTTGCCAATGTCAACTGCTTTTGATTCAACATTAAACATAGCGTACTTTGCAGCACTAGCAAAAACGATAATCGTTATCCGATCTGCTGCACCACAGTCGATTCGAATTCTGATAAATTCTTTCACAGCTTGCATCAAAGCATTCCAAGGATCTCCAGCCATTGATCCTGATGCATCAAGTAATAATATATAATGAAAAGCAGCTGGAGCGGCTTGAGGTGTGTTATTTGTGACAAATTTCATACCATATTGTTGACATAAACATTTACCAATTTTACCCCAAACATGAAGAAACTTACTTCGTAATTTGTTCAAATCGTCGGGGTTAATCGCATTGCCGAAATCCCACTGAGGATGATCTTTTTTAAATTCTAACCAGGTTTTCTTCGTACCTCTCACAATAATGGGTTTGCCATCTTCCATTTGTTCACATTGAGATAATGACGCTTCGTTTGACACTTCAAATTTTGTACCTGCCATTGCTCGTAATTGATGGCCAGTTTGACAAGCATGCCGATTATCTTCATCGCCTAAATTTACGATAACAATGTATACAAAAAAGTAAAATGATAGCCACCAGATTTTCAAGACAAGTGCAAACGCCATTATGAACATTATAAAAGCTCTCCCTACAGAAAGATCTAGATAAAAATATGGTAGCAATAGTCTACCGGGGAGAGTTTTTTCGCTGCTACGAACGTACAAAAGAGTAAATTTTGATCACATACCTGGATTAGACTTGATTAAGCTATGATCAACGTCACATGGTCGATCACAGCATGGGCATTTTGAGGTACAGCCACGTGCTTTGTCTAACAATTTGTTATATATTTGATCTTTATCGAATACAGCGAACGTGGCGAAAATTCCGTCATAATCATCTTCGAGTGTTTTTCGCGCGCCAACTATAGTTTCGAGAAACTTGTGTAGATTTTTTATGGAAGCAATGATCATAGTTGAACCATCTTCACCTTTCATTGATTTGATAACATCGGCCAATTTTGGACTTGGCGATGGCAGTTTCTCAAATAACTTCGATCCTTTTGTTTTCAAAGTATACTTATTTCGACGAACTATATAAGCCATATCGGCTTGAACTGTTCCGCCTGAAAGATACGTGTATAATAATAAACCCATGCACTGACCTTTGTTGATCAAATTATCAGAAGCCGTTCCACCAGATGCTTCGAATATATCGTCAATATATTGTACGGATGAACCTTCATTGGCCAACGAAGAAAGTAGAAACTCGATTCGATTGAAAAATTCAACTAAAGTCTGTCGCCATTGTTTCTTTTCTTTTTCTAATTGTTGATCAATTCCCTGTTGGATTCCATTCCATAAATTTTGAAATTCTTCAACGATTATATCTGTAGGTGCTTGGATATACTGGAGTAACCAATCGTTCGTAATCGAAGGCATTAGAAGTTTGCCATCACAAATTGTTTGAATCCGTTTTCGACTGAGATCGCTTTGATTATTTTGGACTTCGGTGGCGATGATTTTTTGTCCATTGCGCATTAAAATAGTTTGAATGGTGTTTTTCACTTGAGTAGCGAATAGTTTCGCACCTTCCTGGTCACACTGCGCATCAGGTACAACCATACTGATGAAATAGTTTAACAGTGACGATTTCTGAGCCTCTAATGTTTCAAGTTGTTGAGTGAAATGTTTCTTCTGTTCATTGTAATAAAAAATTGTTAATACAATTAGGACGCATAGATGAATATTCGATTTCGTTTGTTTTGACAATAACAAACGAAACACAAGCAATTCCAGATCCATTTCATTGAAGTACGTATTGATCAAGCCGACGATCTTCTGCACAATATCGATTTCGATAGGTCGAGGAACGGCATCATTTCCATTAACGATAATCATGACATCGTGTAGGATTCTGTCGAAAAACTTTGGAATGTTGCATATGTTTGAGTTTGCGTTTGATTTCTCATCGAATTCATTTAGAATCATTTCATGCGTTGCTTTCATGAAATCAAAAGGTAATGGCGTTGGAATGGCGGGTGCAGAAGGTATATTCGACGCTGCTTGCGGTGATCCAAAACCCATAACATTTCCAGCGAATTTCATACCTCTTTGCAACAACGTTCTTTTTTCTTTTTTCCGTTCTACATGTTCCACGTTCTCCTCTGGTGAGACGTTGAAGGCTTCAAAAGTGTTTGCTTGCACAGAACCCGCCTTATTGAAATCTGTCAGTATATCCTTGTTCAAATGTTTAAAATTGTGCAGAGTAGCTAAGGTATATCCAACACTAGCGTCTGATTGTTTATGACAAACTTCCAGCGCATGACTTTGAAGGTCAGTAGTTAATTTATTGAAATTTTTCTTCAATATATTTACGACGTTTCTCATATCATTGATTTCAATGAGTTTTTGAATTAATTGGAGGTGCTGGAGGACCAAATCATGCGTCGGTAAAGATTGTTTTTCGAAAATATTATAATTTGCATATACAAATTTGATGGCTTGTTTTAATCGTTCCTCTGGATTGAAATTCTGTTTGATCGACTCGATCTTCTTCAGCCACATGAGTTCGAACTCTTTTGTTGCTTCTTCTTTGTCCATTGTGTCTCCACGTTTTATGATATCATCAATGAACTTGCGCAAATCAGCAGAACCATCTTTAACGAGTCTTTCCATTTGTTTCTGATCATGTGCCTGAATAGCTGCTGTACACCACGCATTACTTATCTCCGTCACTTGCCGTTTGAGAAATTGTCGCGATCGATCTCGAATACGATCGGAGGCGTTAGTAATTTTGAAAATATTCTCTAATTGTATATCAAAATTCTCTTGATGCACTTGAAACTCTTTCTGGAAATGATTGCGAATGTCATACTCCATGAATTCACATGTATCCTGGATCATTTTTTCTCGATATGTTGCCGATAATGTTGCGGATATGAGATCACTGATTTCCTTGCGTATTTGATCATCTTGTCGGCGCTCGTTGATATCCTTGAAATAAGTTAAATCTGGAAATTTCTGCAATGTATCAAATATGTTCACAGCTGTTTTTAGCCATTGCTCGGGATCGGAAAACATCTCACTGCATCGTTCATAAGCTGACTTAGCGGATTCGATGACTTTCTGGCATAATTCTTGTGTGCGTTCAATAAAATCAGGCTCTGTTCGAAGAAAACATGCACTTGAAGTGTCATTCGATACGCGTTCTTTCTTAAAAGCCGATGGCAATGAATGAAATGTTTTGAAATTAATGTCAATAGTCTCTGCTAATTCTTTTTCTTTGAGATCGTCAATAATTTTGTAAATTGCGTCGTTATGATTTTTCAAATTTGGATCAGCTTTTTGATTTAAAACGAAATGCACAATTGGTTGATTGACCGTGTTGACACCAATTTGTTTCAACGAATCAGCGCACAATGTTAACATATCTTTTAACGTTTCATTGACATCTCCCAACATATTGACAATGACCAAATGTGATACAGCCAAGCAGAATAAAACTAAACGTCTGTCGTATTCTTTATCTCCTTTCTCGATCGATAGAAGACCTTCTGTGTCGATTAACATCATATAATCAATGTTTTGTATGTTGATATTGAGGACGTTTTCCAACTGTCCCCGACGTGCTCGATCTAGTTTAGGTAGTTTAACCAATGAACCATATATACCTCGCGTACATCGTCCGTCTCTCACATCAAATAATGTACCGAACATATAGTTTAAAAGTGTACTTTTACCACTATTTTGTGGACCTATAATACTTATCACTAATATCCGTTTCGAAGCAAACCGGTGTAGAATTTTCGATAAAAACTGATGTTGAAAATAGAAATTATCTCCATCGATAATTTCAAACGGAAAGCCAGCTGCAATGAATTCGTAATAACAATCTTGTATTAACTTTTGCGTCGCCACTGATGCATAATCATGACAAATAATTGAATTTCGCCAAAGAACTTCCAATGATAAAAATGCATGTTCAGTGTTGAGATTTCCAGCTATTTTATCCGCACCTAAACCTCGCAATGCAGATTTTAATTCAGTTGCTAACAAATCTAAACTCATTAACATGTTGTCTGACTTTAAGATATCGACGTATGATTGAAAAATATCCCCGGATGAAATTGGTGAGGAGTGTTTGCTGCGTGGGTCTAATTCGTTTTCCAATTTGAACAACTTTTCATTGATTTCAAACATATTTTCACTTTCGGAACCGTAGAAATCAAGTCGTTTGAGTTTTTGTCGTAATTTGCACAATTCTTGAAATTTCAAGTACAATGGAAAATTCTGATCATTTCGGCGTTGATTTTTGTCTAATAGTCGTCTTGTCAATGGTTGAATAATACCATCCATCTCTTTCAAGTATTGAACGTAATCTGGCTGCATTAGTTTGTGTAAATTCGACAAAATTTCAGCTCTGCTATTGATTGTGTTGATGTCTTTTGTGACTTTTTTCTGAATATCTTCTCGTAAAGACTGAATAGCGAAACCCGTATCTCGATCATTTGCATTTGAAGCATTTATTAATGGATACACATACACATTTTTTGACAATCGTGAATCTGATTGCTTCAACAATGCTTGAGCCTTTGAGAAATAATCTTGTCGATTATTGATGGGTACATCGCGGATGATCATGAGTTGAAACTTATCACGCGATAGGATCTCGAGATATTCAAGTACGGCAGACGCATTCTTATCGAAAGAAGTTTTGTCGATATGGATTAGAAATCCATCAAATAACGATTGAATTTTCTGCAAAAGCTGTTTGTCAAGTGTCCCATGTGCATCAGCAATGTTTAGTAGACGTTCGGGAACGAAACAGTAGCCGAAATCAAGGTCGATTGTTCCTTGGAAGTAAACACTATCGATTCGTTGTTCGAATGTCGATTTAAATAGTTGATTCAGTAAAGAGGATTTGCCCTGACAAGAGCCGACACCAAAAGACAAAATTGTTGGTCTTGTGTGGTCCCAAACATGGATAATTGCCGGTATAAATTCATGTTGCTGGTTCGCATCGCGGTTTAGAATAGCAGGCGAAACAAATGGCACCGGATTTCTCTTACTTGCCAATGACATGATGATACGACGTAAGAATATATCCGAGCTCATCAGTAGAACGTGTAATACCATTCGTAAACTGAGATTTGTATCGTCGCTTGGTGGATTTGTCATGTTGTATTTTTCTGTTTGATATTTGAATGTTAATGCATTCATAAAATCATCTAAATTTTGCAAGCGTTTCAAAAA